AAAAATTGTTTCAGACAATATTTGTTTAAAATACGATTTATAACCGATAATTTTAATAAAACAATTTGATATTGTTACTTGATGGCGCTATATATATATTTATATACGTATATATAAAGTTTTTTTAGGTTATCTCAATAATTATCGATTGAATCAAAAAATTTTTTAAATAAATCTTATTTAGAATTGAGTCAGTAACAATGTTTATTAAAACATTTTTATTGAATAATCGATTTTATAAAATCTAAGATTTCCCTGTGAAGAGTACGATGAAAATTCAATTTTATTAAAAATTGTTTCAGACAATATTTGTTTAAAATACGATTTATAACCGATAATTTTAATAAAACAATTTGATATTGTTACTTGATGACGCTATATATATATTTATATACATATATATAAAGTTTTTTTAGGTTATCTCGATAATTATTGATTAAATCAAAATATTTTTTAAATAAATCTTAGTTCATTAAAACATTTTTATTAAATAATCGATATTATAAAATCTAAAATTTGAACAGTAAAAATTTGATATCCTTGCTATATATTATATATATATTGAGATAAAAACTGAGTTATCAATAATGAGACGTCATCGTGTATTCCGCGTGGATTTCCCGATTTTCGACACGCTATCTACCGGCGTTTTCCGTTAAAAAAAAACAGGTATAATCCTCGGCGAGGAGGCGATCCAGACTACCATATACAGTGAGGATTTGAGAGCAATATAGATTGTTATTATAAGATATCAAAACGTTGTGGAAATACACGGTAGCCTGCGAGTAGAATACAGGATGAGCCCGTTTCTGGGGGGATTAAAGAGCAGGGCCGAGTTGGGGTTGGAGGTGGAGAAGGCGGCCTGGAGAAGAAGGGTCGTTTGGGGGTTGGGTTGGAGAGCAGCGGCAAGAGACTGCAGCGGGGAGGTCCTATTTTCTAAATTACATAATGCGCGTTACTTCCTCTATTTATAGCGGACCGGGGGTGACTTTTTGAGCACCGCATCGGGGTTACGACAGCCCCCCTCCTCCCCTTCTAAGCAAATGCGGCGGATCGCGAACAGATGGAGCCTCCGCCAAACACAATAATTACATTATCGAGACCGTTAATGGGTTTAAACTTTTCGGGGGGAATTACGTTGAGCAGCGCACCTTAATCGCGTCGAAGTTGCCAACCTTGTAAAACCAATTTTGGGGGGACCGTACTGCAAATAAGTGATTTATCGCTTCCTGTTGTTCCTTTCTTCGCGAGACGCTCGATTTGTATTCCAATTGCGTACCAGACGGCTGAAGAAGACGTTACTTTTAATTGTTTCCTACGCATCGTACGCGACGTTACGTCGCATCACGTTTTTCTCACACAATACATTACGCATCCTCGATAATATATATTGATATATTCAATACTCACTTCGCATAGATAAACAAACAAAAGGAATTTTTTACATATTGGATGATTAAGACTTACTATTGTTGACTGTACACGATTAGGCAACGAATTATATACAGTGTGTTAATTAATTATCGTACCCGACGTCATCTTTGCAAGTATGCAACCAATATCACAGTATTGGTATTGCAATACGTGATTAGCGAACACACTGTATGTGGTGATACTCTAATGAAGAATTCAACGTGTCCGGATGATACTCATTGATTATCTCTGATATTTGGAGTGGTGACTTATTAAATTTGCACATTGTATTATAAATGTTTGATTACATGATTTGATATCTGTATATCTAGATCGTTAATTTTGCATGTTTTTCTACACGATTTATCATTTTTTTTTTTTTAATTAGCTGGTGATTATTTTGACGTCGCCGCGGACTTCGTAAGCTCTAATCACGTTGAAAGCTCGTCCTTTGATATTTTTTGAAATCAAAGTACCCGCGTAAGCCGTAACGCCGCTAACCCCTTTGTGTGTGCCGGGTAATTTTTAATCTAATAACGTCAGGGGCGTATCGCGGCCATATTAATTCCCTTCCGAACGCTCTCTATCTCTCTTCTTTCTCTGCTCTTGACCAGATCTCCGCTACTGGATTCTACAGGTGTTAATGGTTTGTCAATAGCCGGGACTTTGTAAATAGTACGGGATATCGATATTTGCGAGTTGATCCTTTGTGTAATATCCCATCGCTTGGGAAAAAAGAAATGAACTTCGTTTATGCTCGTAATACGTGTGTTTACAATTGAGCGTTTCAATTTGTTTTTTTATGCTTATTTACACAAGCAAGACATCTAATTGGAAAAAAAGTAGTAGAAAAACCTAATGAGTCATCACTTGATCGATAAAAAAATCATTGTACTAGCTTGAGAAACCATGACCAAATAAAAGTATTTTTATCCGCAAAAATTCTTATTGTTGTGGTTTTGGTGGTTTCTTATAATTGCATCTTTCTATCTGGTTTGATTCATTTCTTAGATATTATATATGAAATCGAACTTTTAAGAATACCTTTTCTTTTTTATCTTACTTTCAACCTTGAACTACATAAAATACATGCGCAGTAGCATTATCGGGTACAAGAAAAAGTAATGCGATTGCGCATTACGTCACGTTTAAAAAAGTCGTATTGATGACATATTTTGATTTCGACTTATTTAGTGGTTAAAATCTCGAAAAAAGGGTGGAGACGTTCGCACGATCTTCGAATGAATATGCACGACGCGACGTCGATCGTCGGACATAACCTTTTTTTTGTTATTTCAGCGTTAGAGTCCGTGATTCACTCCTTAAATATTCCCAACATGCATATCAAGATGACGGGCATCGTATTCCTATATATATACGTATATAGATATAGTGGTCGGCGTCGACGTGACAACTCGGGGTGTCGCAACCAGACAATGCCGTTTAATGAGAAACGTACACAATGCGTTTCTTTCCGATCGCCCGATAAAAAGGATCACGAACTTAAGGCCTTTATTGGGCGCCGCGCAAAAGTTGTCCGATAGAATGTAACCCACTTTCCGTTTATCAACGTTTGCAACACAATCCGCGCTCGAAAAGTCTTTGAGTACGATTTATCGTTGTTATACGTATTAATTTGCAACTCGGTTACTTAAACATCCAACGTTTTGCAACCAGCCCAAAATATATATGCGTATAAAGCATACCGATATGGGAAACGATTGAAGTTTATTAGTATTGGTAGATGCCAATTTCCTAAAAATACCTTGGGTATTATCGCTGTTGGTTCCATCTGATCGTAAAAAGAATATTTGTCTCTACGTCGTACCATTAATTCTCTTTGACGATAAATGACAGGCTTAAACGTTAATAGCTGGCGACAATGGATTGTAAACAAATATAAAGAAGGCGAACTACCGTTCGCGTTGAATGTAGATCGATACGAAGAATTGTGGGGGTGGAACAAGGACTTTGATGTCCCCTTTTTTCTCGCTCCGACAGGGTGGTTGTTAAGACTCTGACATATTCTTGATATGTTAATAATATAACTTATAGTTTGTTGATGTAGTTTTCTTTGGTCTTAATAAAAGCGTTAGAAAGAACGTAAAATTTAAAAACTTGCAAATTAGGTTAATGTAGCCTTTCCTGTACGGTACTGAAGCCGCCTTGGTAATTTATTAAAGGAAAAAAACTCGCCTGCTAATTGCATTTGTAAAATAAAGCCCCCTTTCGGCGTAATTTGTTTTACATCCATTTCGAGCGGATGCATTTATACTTTATGCCATTCCCTGTACACCATCTATACTTTAATCTTTAATTTCATTCTTTCGGCTCCGATCTTTGAAGCGTTTTAAAATTTTATTTAAGCTTTTATTTTTAAGTTCCACCACTTTCAACATGAATTTACAAATGAAATTTTAATTTAAATAGATTTGAAAAATTCATTAGTAAATGGAAAGGGACATTGACGTAATAGAATTTTTTGTTGTTTTTTAGTAATGACGTTTGAAGAAAGCCCTGCGTGCACCAGTGGAATGCACCAGGCACCATCCCACCCATGGTTTTAAACCGAGGAGAGCGGCGCAGCTCGTCAGCTCTGGCCGGGGTCGTGGCCAGGGCCTGGCTGCTGGTTGTGGCGGCTGGATTGTGGGGCCTCGCCAGCGCGGGGGACCTACTAGCGCAATACCCGGGCCCAGACGATGAGCCGCTCCGGTTCTCACATTTGGCCCTGGACAGGAGGAACAACCGTCTATTCGCGGCAGCAACCAACAGACTCCTCCAATTCAGCGCCAACTTGACAGTAGAGCATCGCGTGGTAACCGGCCCCAAAAACGATAGTCCCCTATGTCACGCAACCGGGTGCGCAACCGGATCGGGCATACCGACGTCTCTCATGGACAACTACAACAAGATCCTCCTGATTGAACCTGAGACGGAATATTTGATATCGTGCGGGTCTTTGATGCAAGGGGCGTGCTACAAGTACAAATTAAATAATATAAGTGCAAATCCGGATTTTATCGCAAAGAGTATCGCCGCCAACGATCCCCAAGCATCTACGTACGCTTACATCGGTCCTAGGCGGTACAATTTATGGAGTAGGCCTAACGTTATGTACGTTGGTACGACATTTACGAATAACGGCGAGTATAGACACGACGTACCCGCTATATCTAGCAGAGACTTAGATACATTAGAATTAGCCGAAGATACTTTTAGTAAACAGTCACAATTGACAATTGACGTTAAGTATCGTGATCACTTCTTGGTGCAATATATTTATGGTTTCAACGCAAGCGACTACGCGTATTTCCTACTTGTTCAGAAGCAGTCGTATCTACCCGAGCAGGAAGAGCTCGGTTACGTTTCTCGATTGGCGCGCACATGTATCTCGGACGCAAACTATGACAGCTACACCGAAGTTACTCTTGAATGTACCGTCGGCGAGCGGTCTTTTAACCTCGTACAAGACGCTAAACTGACTAGAGCTAATGGTGAACTGGCATCTACGTGGGGTCTGCGACAGGGCGACCTGATACTGGTGGCAGCTTTCCGGCCTGCTAGGGGCATCACCAATGAAGCTCTCGAACATTCCGCGCTGTGCTTGTATCCGCTGCGGGACATTGAGGAAAAGTTCAACGAGAACATCCACATGTGCTTCAACGGGACGGAGAAGTATAGGAACATGGGATACGTGTCGGGCCCTATTCAAGACGGCAAGTGTCCCAGTGCCGGAAATGCCGGAAACATCCACAACTTCTGCGAAGCCGGTTTAAAAATTAGCGGAAATTTACCACTTATCGCCACCGCCTCTTTAACATATTACAACACCTCTCTATCGGCTGTTGCCACGGCTACTACGGGTACTCACGTCTTAGCCTTTTTAGGTACAACAGATGGAAGGATCAAAAAAGTTTTATTATCGTCCACACCTCATCCCACCGAATACGAAGAGGTTACAGTCGATCACGGGCATCCTATACTTCCCGATACTACTTTATCACCTCTCGGAGATTATTTATACGTTTTATCTACTTCAAAGGTACATAAACATGTATTTTATTTAATTCCCAAACTTACTAATCCATTTTTAGATCTCAAAAATTAATGTCGAACATTGCAGCAGCTACACAAATTGTTCCGAATGCTTAGAATCTCACGATCCTTATTGCGGGTGGTGTTCTTTAGAAAAAAGGTAATTAAAACATTTTTTTTTTATTTCATTTAAATCGAAAATGTACAATTGACACTTTGGAACATTTTCGAGCTTATTTCAATATTAATTTTAGTAATTATTAACCTAACAATTTTTTGAATACTTTAGATGTACTGTTCGGAGTGCATGTCAAAAAGCACATAGTTCACCACCAAGATGGTTAAGTTTGGGTACGGGACAACAGTGTATCGATTTCGAACAAGTTTTACCCGATCGAATACCTATCAATCAAATGACCACGGTGCAGCTAACTATAAGAACACTCCCCGATTTATATAACGGTGCAAAATACAAGTGCGTTTTTGGCGACGCCGAACCAATTGACGCGAATAAAACCGAATACGGGTTATCATGTCCGACGCCGAGTATTTACACTCGTCCTAAAATTCCATCGTCCAAAGACCACGTTTTGGTACCGTTAAGCGTACGTTCATCGGAAACTAATAAAGATTTCGTTTCGCGGAGTTTCGCTTATTACGATTGTTCGAAACATAGCACTTGTATGGACTGTGTCAAATCGCAATGGTCGTGCAATTGGTGTATTTACGAAAATAAATGTACTCATAATATATCTAGTTGTCAACGAAGGGTTATTAGCGGGGAGAATTCTAACGAAGACTCCCAAAATCAAGGCAGCTTATTTTGTCCGAGATTTAAAAAACGCGATGTTATTTTATTGCCAAATAACGTTCCTAAAGAAATGCAATTTGAAGTTGAAAATCTTCCGCATCCTCAATCAGATCACACCGGATTTCAATGTATTACAAATATCGAAGGTGCTAAAATGCGAGTCCCGGCACGTGTAGAATCCAACCGTTACATCGTTTGTGAAAAAAGAATCTATTCATATGAAGCCTTAACTGGTGAATATGAAGCAAGCGTAAAAGTCGTTTGGAATAGAGAGCATCACATCGATTCTATGAATATCACTCTATATAAATGCGACATTTTAGGATCGCATCGTGAACACGCGGATTGTTCGCTTTGCGTAACCCGAAATTCAAAATATGAGTGCACCTGGTGTGGGAATACGTGTAGTTATCGTGAAAGTTGTCAATATATACCGCATTCTGAATGTCCTAAACCAAGAATAGATATGATAAAACCTTTAAGCGGGCCTATAGAAGGCGGAACATTAGTAACCATTGAAGGAAGTAATTTAGGTTTAAAACGCGAAGATGTAAAAGGAAAAATAAGAATAGGTAATGTACCTTGTGAATTGGTAAATTATGAAGTATCCGTTAAAATACAATGTATAACCGGACCTTCTGGTACGGAACAAACTGCGTCAATTATAGTAGGAAACGAAGCTGGAATTACGGAGTCATCCGTAAAATTCAGTTATAAAGATATAAGATTACGCGGAGTTTATCCAACGATGGGTCCTCAATCTGGAGGAACTCTACTAGCTATAACAGGACAATATTTGAATATTGGATCGGATATAACCGCATATTTAGACGGCCATCTTTGCCAAGTGAACATAACGCAAGCTTCCAGCAGTCGATTAACTTGTATAACGTCAAAAGCAGCGAAACCAGTGAATATTGGAAAGTTAACTTTGAGTATAGATGGTGCTAATCGTACGTTAGAAGGAAATCCTTTCAATTACACATCAGATCCGACGATAATGGAGATAAAACCATTGAAAAGTTTCGCTTCCGGCGGTCGTATGATTTTCGTACATGGTTCGAATTTTGATAGTATTCAAAAACCGGAAATGGAAGTGTATCATAACGAACCGATTCCGATCAATCGCACCACTTGTACCGTCCTCTCATCAACTCAAATGGAATGTCCAAGTCCGTCGATTATCCGACATTTTTCGCGTAGCCGTGTAGTCACACGCCGATCTACTCGTAAACATAATTCAATGAAATCGTCCGAAATGCAACGTTCTTTACGCATTGGATTTATAATGGACAACGTTGTAGCCGTGCGTGATTTAGAAAAACATTTTGGTCATATACGAACACTTTTATTATACGTTGAAGATCCCATGTTTATCGAATTCCCAAAACAAACCAAATTATATAAAGGTGATACTTTAGTAATTGAAGGTGAAAATTTAAATGTAGCAAGCGACGAAACCGACGTTTATGTCACAATTGGTACTAAACCTTGTAACGTTACCAGCTTGGCGATGACCCAACTAGTTTGTTCACCCCCAGAACAACAACCAGATAGCACAGATGAAAACGGAGACAAAACAGAAAATAATTTACCATTAGTTGTGGTTAGAGTCGGCAAAAATCTTCGATTTCCAATCGGATATTTACGTTACGACGTCCTCAAACCGTTCACGTTACCTACAGAAGCCGTCTTAATGATTTCTATTGGAATCGCTTTATTCGTCATCTTTTTAGTTGGTATTCTCATCGCTTTACGGAGAAAATCCACTCAAGCCGAACGAGAATATAAAAGAATACAAATTCAAATGGATACATTGGAAAGTAACGTTCGTTACGAATGCAAATTAGGTGAGTTAAAAAAATCATTTATATACTTTTCTTTAATAATATTAATATTCTTTTATTTAAGCTTTCGCCGAACTTCAAACTGATATGACAGATTTAACAGCCGACCTTGTAAGCTCAGGAATACCCACATTAGATCACACCAGTTATATTATGAAAGTGTTTTTCCCCGGAGTAAGCGATCATCCAATTTTAATATCACCCAAAGTAAGTAAAATTTAAATATGTACAGTAAAATCTCGATGTAATGGACAAAATGATGTAGAACTATAAAACAGAAAAATACGAAAATTTGATGAATTTACAAGTTATTAATGGCACAACTCAGGAACTGGATATGTTACAAAAAAAGTTTTAACACAAAAATTGTAGTAAATTCTATTCTAAACAATATTGCTCTCTTTCAGCTCTCAGAGCCATAGATGTCGAGAAAATTACGAAAATTAGATAAATTTATTAGTTATTAATGGTGTTACACGGTATTTGGACATATTATAGAAAAACTTTTAGAATAAAAGTCGTACTAAATTCTATTCTAAACAATATTGCTCTCTTTTACATTTGCTCTCAGATCCATAAATAATGAGAAAAATACGAAAACATGAAAATTTGATGAATTTACAAGTTCTTAATGGCACAACTCAGGAACTGGACATGTTACAAAAAAACTTTTAAAACAAAAGTTGTAGTAAATACTATTCTAAACAATATTGCTCTCTTTCACTTTCGCTCTCAGAGTCGTAGATGTCGAGAAAATTACGAAAATATGAAAATTAGATAAATGTATTAGTTATTAATGGGGTTACTCGGGATTTGGACATGTCATAGAAAAACTTTTAGAACAACAGTTCTACTAAGTTCTATTCTAAACAATTTTCACATTTGCTCTCAGAAGCATAAATATTTAGAATGTTTCTAGTTCCAGGTGTAGTGTTAGTTCTAGTTTTATAGTTATTATTATTAATAAATCGAGATTTTACTGTAAAATAAATAATATTATTTCATATTAAAATAATTTTTTAATATTAGCTAAGATTAAATGGTCCAAGAACGAATTATGACGCAGCAATGCTTCAATTTGAACAATTAGTGAACAACAAAAATTTTATATTAACATTTATCGACGTTTTAGAATGCCAAAAATCGTTTAATATACGCGATAAGTAAGTATTTAAACAAAACGATTTAATCCGATCTTTATTAATAATTTTTTTTATTAGAGTAAATGTAGCGTCATTATTAATGGTCGTTTTAATGAATAAAATGGAGTATGCGACGCATATTTTAAAATGTCTCTTACTGCGTTTAATAGATAAATCAGTAAACACAAAACATCCGCAATTAATGTTGAGACGAACTGAAAGTGTGGTTGAAAAAATGTTGACGAATTGGATGGCGCTTTGCATGTATTCGTATTTAAAAGAGTACGCGGGATCCTCATTGTTCCTTTTATTCAAAGCGATAAAACATCAAATTGAAAAAGGTTTAGTGGACGCGATTACTCACGACGCAAGATATTCGTTATCGGAGGAACGGCTTTTGAGAGAACAAATCGAACATAATGTTGTGGTTAGTAAATAATGCTGTAGGGTTGTTTTCGTTAGGTGTAGTGTAGGACGTCTTATGTTTTCAGACGTTGCACATCGTCCAAGATGACCTTGATGAGAAGATTCAGTGTAAAGTCTTGGATTGTGATACGATAAGTCAGGTGAAATCGAAGATTTTAGACGCTTTATTCAAAAACACTCCGTTTTCAATGAGACCATCAATACACGAAGTTGATTTGGAGTGGCGTCACGGAAGAGGCGGGCATTTAACACTTCAAGATGAAGATTTAACAACAAAAAATATTAATAATTGGAAAAAATTAAATACGCTGGCTCATTATGGTGTTAAAGAAAGCGCTGTAATGTCGTTGATTTCACGTCAAAATGATAGTTTTAATAATTGTAAACAAGCGTGCCATAATTGCGTTTCCGGTATGTATTTTAATAATTCTTTATCGCCTATTATTGCGACAAACGGCGATATCGAATCTGGACATAACATGAGAATATATCATTTAATTAAACCCATGGATGATCAACACTATACTAATAACAAAACCGGTGAAAGAACGCATAAAGCGATTCCAGAAATTTTCTTAACAAGATTGCTATCGACGAAGGGAACCATACAAAAATTTGTTGATGATTTCTTTCAAACCATCCTCACTGTAAATGAAAATTTGCCACCCGCGGTTAAATGGTTATTCGATTTATTAGACGAGGCCGCAAGAAAACACGGAATTCAAGACCCCGAAGTTGTACATGCTTGGAAATCAAACAGTCTTCCCCTAAGATTTTGGGTCAATTTCATTAAAAACCCAGATTTTATCTTTGATATTAATAAAACAACTACACTTGATTCATGCCTTTCCGTTATTGCGCAAACTTTTATGGACTCGTGTTCGACCACAGAACATCGTCTAGGAAAAGATTCACCATCAAATAAATTATTATTCGCAAAGGTAATTAAATGAAATTTTAAATATAAATTTGTAACATTAACAAATTTTTTTAGGATATTCCAAGGTATCGTGGAATGGTCGCCAATTTTTACCAACAAGTTTCTTCTATACCTGCCATAACCGACCAAGAAATGGGCACTGCCATGCAAATTTTATCGGCCCGACAAGCTGATGAATTTGATACTATAGCTGCTCTCAAGGAACTCCATATTTACGTTACTAAGTATAGAGATCCTGTAAGTTAATAAAAAACAAATTCAATTATAGTATTAATAAAATAACTACATATTTTTTTGTATTTTAGGTAATGGAAGCATTGAATAGTGATTTAAGTTGCCGTCGATTGCACCTCGCACAAAAATTAGACAATGTGGCGTGCATATTAGGTGGTGAAGAGACATCGGCTTGCTGACCAGATGAGTCACCTGATCCCCCGTTGCCCCGAAACCCTGCGCCCTGATCCGAGCGCACCAAGCGACGAACGAAAACCGTGACGTTCCGCTAACTGTGATATGGCGCACACGATCAGGTGACTGTGATGGACACGTACTTACCCCTCCAGTGGTCGCTAGTTTCCTTCCTGAGTGCCTCGCTACGCTGAAGGGACGTGGCTCACCTTCTTGAATTCGAAGGGAGTGTATAACTATTAAGGAACACGAAGATTAAGAAAATGAAACAAAAAATAAATTAAAAAATTTTGAGAGGAAGAACGTTGTGCGCACGGTCTACAAAAAAAACAAAAATTAAATGAAAAAGATATAATAAGATAAGGCACTACCGTTCAGTCCGGAGTAGATTAGTTAGACGAGACGAAAAAAAATAAAATGAAATAAAAAAAAAATAATTAATAGGTTTAAAAAAGAAGAATTTTTAAATAAAGTTTAAATGGGTAAAATACGCTGAATGTCCGGGACTAATAATGTTTTTACTTCTCTGAAACATTCTAAATCCTGTTTGAATGTCTTTGTACATAGGATTTCGTGGCAACTATAAGTAATTGACTTAAAACGGTACCCGAGTTTTATTTTATTTACAGTTCGTAACCGAAAAATTTAAGACTGGTCAATTTTTAATAAAATAAACATCACACAAGTTTTGACACAAAAAGTTGACGAATATTTGTATACTTGTGTTATTTTAATTCAATACGAATTGAAATAATAAAACTCTTGTATATTAGGCGCGTTACTTGAGATGCGAACGTTTTTTTGGGATTTGATGTTAAAGAAAAGACTCTCGACCGACTTAAAAAAAAAATTAACATTTATTAGTCGTGCACGTTTGGTAGTAACTGTGCCGGAACTGCATTTATGTCAAATCGTCTTCACGTCCAGTGATTTGTAATGTTACTATTATTTTTAATTACATTAAAAAAACTAAGAATAATATAAACGCATATTTGTATCTCGATATTTTTTTGTAAATATATGAATTGTGCATATAGATTATTATATCTATAAAAAAAAGTTAAGGCATACAATTATTTTTTATTAGTATTGTGTTAGGCGTAACGGGAAAAAAAAACTATAAAAAAAAAGATCCATATTTTATCGTTAGTTCTTCTATGACTCCTTCAGTAGTTTGTAAATATTGATGGTCCTTGATTTTTAACGATTGATGTATCGTTTTATACACACACTGTTCGTAATTGTAATTCGGTAATAATGTTTTATTCGACCCAAGTTTTCTATTTTGAACTCGAACTTGTCTGCTACGTAAATCGACATCTTAACATCGACTCGAAACAAATTACAAAAGAAAAAATAAATAAAAAAAAAACACCTAGAAGATATTGGCTTTAAAAACCATTTTTACTCAATTTTTATTTATTACTTTTAGTACATTTTTTTATCATGGGTAACTAGATAAATATATTTTTTTTATTTATTTCCGCCAGTCAAATTCTCATTTTCTAATAATTTTTATAAAGCTTATTTCGCAACCGCAATTGTTTTTTTATATATATATTATATAAATATATTATTATTTCTTTGGTATGTGATTGTGACTTTAAAGCTTTTTATATAAAGTGTATTCTTTAGTGATATTTTTTTACTCTATTAAACATGTATTCCAAAAAAAAATTTGTCTTTTAATTCAATAACCAAACTATTTAATAATAATAATAATAATTAAATATAATAACGCAAAATAAATAATGTACAGTTTATTTAAACTGAAAGTGGAACTAATATTAGACCTAGAAACATTTGGGTTTAGCCACACGTCTCTTAAGTCGATTAAACCCGAATGTTTCTTGTTCTAGGTCTAGTATTAGTTCTAAAACTAAAATTAGAACTAATACTAGACCTAGAACTAGAAACATTCGGGTTTAGCCGCACGTCTCTAAAGACGGCTAAACCCGAATGATTCTAGTTCTAGGTATAGTGTTAGTTCTAGTTTTACACTAGCACTGTTACTATGTAAAACTAACACTATACTTAGAACTAGAAACATTCGGGTTTAGCCGCACGTCTCTTAAGACGGCTAAACCCAAATGTTTCTAGTTCTAGGTTTAGTGTTAGTTCTAAAACTAAAACTAGAACTAACACTAGACCCAGAACTTGAAACATTCGGGTTTAGCCGCACGTCTCTTAAGACGGCTAAACCCGAATGGTTCTAGTTCTAGGTCTAGTGTTAGTGCTAGTTTTAATTGTGACTCAATTCTAAATTGTTGTATAGTTTTATTGAACTAAGTTATTATCTACTAAGTTAACCTCTAGTTTTAATTGTGATTCAATCACGACGATAGATGAGAATTATTTTCTAGAATTAATTGACAATTCATCTATCAAATTTGAAGATTTCGTTCAAAGTGAAGCTTTCAATGTCAAACGTAGCGTTTTAATAATTTGTTAAAGATCTAATTCACAATTTTCTTGTCGTTTGACATTTCAAATGACAAATAAATATCGTATTTCAAAATTAATTGACATTTCATCTCTCAAAATTGAATATTTTGTTCAATGCGAAGTTTTTAATGACAAAAGTGACAATTTCATAATTTATTAAGGATCTAGTTCACAATTTTCTTGTTGTTTGACTTTTTAAACGACAGATGAAAGCTATTTTCTAGAATTAATTGATATTTCATCTGTCAAATTTGAAGATTTTATTCAAAGTGAAGCTTTCAATGTTAAATGTAGCGTTTTAATAATTTGTTAAAGATCTAATTCACAATTTTCTTGTCGTTTGATATTTCAAACGGCAGATAAATGTCGTGTTTTAGAATTAATTGACATTTCATCTGTCAAAATTGAATATTTTGTTTAATACCAAAAGTGACAATTTAATAATTTATCAAGAATCTAGTTCACAATTTTAGGGTTTAGCCGCACGTTTATTAAGACAGCTAATCTCGAGTGTTTCTAGTTCTAGGTCTAGTGTTAGTTCTAAAATTAAAACTAGAACTAACCCTAGATCTAGAACTAGAATTATTCGGGTTTAGCCACACGTCTCTTAAGACGGCTAAACCCGAATGATTCTAGTTCTAGGTGTAGTATTAGTTCTAATGCTTCTGTTAGTTCCTGCCAATTTTTTCATTGAGTTAAGTTTTTGCTCAAAATCACTTTGAAAGGAACACACTGCTTTTAAATGAGTCGTTTTTGACTTCATAATAATATTACAACCATTATACCACATTTATTAATATTTTTTTTGAATTGGGGACAAATTTAAGTTTTAATTTAACTTGTGGGAAAATTTGAATAACATAAATCTACTATTTAATATTTTCTTTTGTTAACTTATCCTTGAAAACAATGCATGAAAAGCGAAGTTTTTTTTTAAAAGTAGGTAACAATTTATGAATTCAAGTCACAACTTTCGCAATTGGTCCTTCCATAAGAAATCCTTGCGGTTGTGTATACGAAATATGCTAATTATATTTGTTCAGAAAGTAAAAAATAAAAAAAAATTTAAAAAGGCGGAATTTTAAAGAAATTGTAAGAACCGGTTTTTTGGTCTAAATTCGAAACAAACGAAATAACCGTTAAGTTGTGAGATGAATAAGCTTTAAATTCATACAAAATGTTTGTATATATGCATAAAATTGTCTCTCCCTATGTATTTAGATCCAGGTGATTTAGAATATATACATGTTATGTATAGTTATTGTATAGGTGATATAGTAGTTACATCACGCATGCGCTAAATGGCAATTTAGCGGAAACGTCGTTACTCGCGTTTGTATTTCGTCGGAAGCAAAAACAAATAGTTGAGAGAGCGTAACCGACGTATTTCATATTGAAAAGGGGTTCGTAAACGGTTAAATGCATTGTTTTATTGGTGGTGCAAGCGTAAAGATTGGTTGCCGTAGTTCAAGAATTGGTTTAAAACCATTGTTTTCCAAAGATTTTGACCGTTCTTAAAGATGGCGGACAGTAAATTCGGTTGCTTTTGTACCCAGTAAGTATTGAACGGCCCCCTTTTCTTTTTGGTATTTGTCCTCCCAGCGTTGGCTTTCACCATTAACATATTTAACACAATTAAATTTCAAAAATAATTATTTCCTTTATCATCCCACAAAAGTCACCGTAGTTTTAACGTTTCTCCCATTCTTAACACATTCTTCTCCAAAACATTGAATGCGCCCCAATTCGTCTTTATTTCTGAGTGAGTAATTTGGGGGGCCTGTGTGTGTTTTTAACGTGTTGTTTTATAGGTGGTTGCTTCACAATGAGTGTAACCGGGGACGCGGCTGTATTTTCGTTCACGCTGATTATTCGGATGTGAATGTTTTCACTGAACCCAACGAACATTTGGACTATGTTAAGGGTATTTACGAGCCAAACCGCTGTCGCAAAGGCAGAAATAGACGAAACAACGCCAAGTCTAGACAATATTCAACAGCCCAAACACAATATGCCAATAATAACGGTGGCTGCAGGTAGGATATTAACATCCAAAGAGGAAATACAACTCAAATTGTCTTCCCAATGGCTCAGTATACAAGATAATTCACATAATATGTACTCTATATTAAGTTGTATTATAGGCTTCAAAGTTGGGTCTTCAATTTTTAAAACATTCAATATCTTAGTAATACATAAACCTAAAAAAACCAACCCAACCCAACCCTACATTTTGATACACTTTTTTTACCTTTTGGCAGATTTAATACATTTCTCAAAAATGAGGTAATCATGTATTAAATCTGCCAAAAGGTTAAAAAAGTGTATCAACATTCACCATCACCCTTAATCAACCTTTTGGAATGCCTCAATTGATCTCAACTTGCTCAACTCATAACATACAGTGTCCGCCAAAAAATCAGCAACACCCGTTTTATTTCTGTTCCATTGCATCAACGTTTCTGACACTTAGCTTATATGGGAGGTTCACACCGATCTTTCAATCTAAAGTATTTTCAAGATGGTGACCACTTCCGGTCCCCCAGAAGTAGACCTCAACTTCGTTATTTTAAATGGATTGCTATAGTTTTTATTGCACCTCTTAATTGTATGCAAAAAATAAGTTGACTTTGATAAAAGTTATTGGTACCTAGCATTTTTCGTTTTTGAGTTATTTTGATTTTAAGTTTTTGTAAACCCCATAGCTCAGCCAATATTTATTCAAGACAGCTCTAACTTGGTAAGATTATTCTTCAAATGATATCAAATAAATTGTCATTTGTTGTATCAGAGTATCTTATACAGGCTGGTCAAAAATTGAATTGTCGTTTCTCCATATTCAATGGCAAGAAACCAAAGAGAGATTTAATTTTTTACCCAAACCTAATTTTTGTTTTCATTAATTCATTTATTTGTTGTTCTATTTGTTATTTTTGGTAAATAAAAGATTATCAATCAAAGTTAATTCAAAAATAAATTAAACGAAAAACCGTCAAAATATCATGTCCTAATAAAAATATAACCGATTTCCGGCATTTCCCAGCAAATTCCTTTTCTGGTGCGCTAATAAAACATTTACACCATTTAAAATTCACCTTTTGTCAATGAATCCAGAAAAAAGGTAATTCACTTTTAGACCATCCTGTACAAGATACAGTGATACAACAAATTACGATCTATTTGACAGCATTTAAAGAGTAATCGTGCCAATTTAGAGGTTTTTTGAATGAACGTTTGCTAAAAAAAATTTTAAATCAATATAACTCGTAAACGAAAAGCGCAAAGTACCAATAACTTTTATCAAAATCAACTTATTTTTTCGCATATAATTAAAAGGTGCAATAAAAACTATGGTAATAAAAAGTTGTGGTCTATTTCCGGGGGACCGGAAGTGGCCACCATCTTGAAAATACTTTAGATCGAAAGGTCGGTATGAACTTCCCACATAAACTAAATATCAGAAATGTAAATGCAATGGAACAGAAATAAAACCAAATTTGGTTTTTCTAGCTGACTTACAAATATATTGAATGTATATTGAATACAACTTGGTATAGAGGTAAATTGCGTTAAATAATCTCAATTTATTGTCCTTTACAACTCCATATCGGTTTTTATGTGAATCACCCTGTATATAATTTTTTAAAATTTTATTATAAATCTGTTTTATATCACATATATGTTACCATTATCTATATTCAATCTTTGATATTGAATTGTATTAAACTTGAATTAATTTATTGACTACATTTTGGTGAATCCCCAGAACGTCTTATCATATTAGTTTACTGCTACGTGAGTTGTATTTCATTAATTTTATCATTAATAAGGATTAGATTACGACGCTACTCAAACGAAAAGTGATTGTGTTCGCGGAAGAATAATTCGACTTAATCAAGAAGGAATCTGTGAATAATAAGTAAAGATTTTAACTATTAGTGGTAACATATACATTGATATAAAAGCGGTTATATTTCGTAAAAAGAAATGTTTCAATCATTTCGTCGGAAAGTTTTATGTTCTTATTTTTCGATTGTAAAAGTGTTTTATTGCTGTTTCAGTTTAATTTTCTCTTTGTTCCGCGAAAAAAATCAAACGGTATTTTCAAACATTTTTAATAAATATCGTGATAAAGTTGAAAATTTCAACTATAAAAAGAGTCATAAACGCCGTTTACACATTTTTATAAAATGCGTCAATAATAGTTGTTTCATCAATTAAATAGCGAAATTTGAATGATTGCGATTTTTGTTAATTTAAACTGAACCAGCAGTTCAACGGCTTGCTGAACCAGCGATAAAATTTATATCAAGCGTGTTGAGTTCTTAGTTTAGTTATTAGATAGTATGAGTTTCCATGACAGCTTGTACTGGTAAGTACACTTATTTTACGCGTAGTTTGGAGCTTTTTACACCTGAGTAACACAGCACGCGGTAAAAGGGTCTCTTTGTCTTGGCGTTTGCACAGCTGCACAAATTTCTTGTTGCAACCCAAAGACTAAAAATAAAACTCCCCAGTTCAATTTTTATTTAAATTATTTGTTTTTTAACAGCGGAATCAATATGCCTTCTACGTCGTCACACAATAGTGCCTCTTCATCGTTAGCCAACGCTCCCAAGTCTGAAGAATCGATTCACACGGCCAGCTGCAGTACCGGATCAAAGTAAGATTTCAAAATAAAAGGATTATTTAATTCTTAAACGATCTTAACAGAAAGAAAACGAAGAATCATAACAACGGAAACATCTCCCATACAGCAACATCCGGCGCGTTAAATAAAGACGCATTAAAAAAATCATCCGAAGGGGAATCTTCGCGGAATTTAATGAATCTTAAAACGACCATCAATCTCGAAGAATGGGTTAAAGCACCTGAATTCATTCCGAGAGGTTATTCCAACACAGCTACATTGAACAATTTCTCGAATTTAACCCTTGATGAGGATAAAAGCAAACGGAAGCTTTGCCCATACGCTGAACGCGACGGGCTTTGCAAATACCCACCGGGCGAATGCACCTATTTACATGGAATGCTTTGCGAATTGTGTAGCCGCGCCGCTTTACACCCCTATAATGAAGAACAACGTAAACAACACACCCAAGAATGCATTAAACAACACGAACGCGACATGGAACTATCATTCGCTATCGCTCGGTCAAAAGAGAAAATCTGCGGAATTTGCTTCGAAACTATCATGCAAAAAACGGCGGTTGAACAACGTTTCGGGATTTTACCAAATTGTAACCACTGCTTTTGTCTAACTTGCATTAGACGGTGGCGACAAGCTAAACAGTTCGAAAATAAAATCATCAGAGCTTGTCCTGAATGTCGCGTCACATCCGATTTTGTTTGTCCAAGTACATATTGGGTCGACACAAAAGAAGAAAAGGAAAAGGTTATAGAAAACTACAAACAAGTACTATCAAAAAAAGACTGTAAATATTTCAAGAAAGGTAACGGTAGTTGTCCTTTTGGAAACAAATGCTTCTATCTACATGCATTAAACGATGGGTCCAAAGTTGACGTTGGACCACCACCAAGTCACAGATCTAATGAATATACTCCAGGATTTAATTTAATTCAGGTTAGCAAATCAAAAATTAATTCCTTTCAATTAAACTTCGCGGAATAAATCGTATTCGAACTAAAATAATGTTTCAGGAGGAATGGTGATTACAATTAGGAAATTATCTACATTATTCTGCATAAGCAGATTGACCACCTTTGAAATTCAGATTGTAGTGGTTATATTTTAGAATTTAGTAATAATAATTTGTTATTTGGATTATTATGGGCAATCTCCGCAACAAGAAGTACTCTATAAAAGTAAACCAATTTTTTTAATTCGTTTATTATCATATGTGGCAGCGAGGGATAAACAGATAGAATTACTTATGATAACAACCCACCCATAGGAATTAATACATTGAATTTTATATCTTGTTGTATCAACAGGAAAGCATATTCTTTCTTTTGAACATAAATAAAAATAAATTATATAATCCCACATAATCAATTTTTCAAATTTTATCAGTTAAATCAAAAAAATAACCCAAAAAAAAATCTAAAAAAACAATTACAATTGAATTTCAAAGACGTTTTCTTACCTTTACTTCGTACATAAATCTACATAAATATTTTTAATCGTTATACAATTCCTCTTGAAACAATTTAATACTACAAAATATAAAAAATGATCCAAGTTCTACAAAATACAAATATAAAATTAGATTTACCTTGTATAGGAAAAAGAAAATGTATCCTCACGTTTCAAAAAATAAACCATTGTTTCTGTAACAATCACCTCGTAAAACGCGCAATAAACTCGCGCACCATGAGTGTTGGTCTGATTCGAGTCGGGTTTCTAATTCAATTCCGCTTCTAAACTCGTAATAACGCATGCGTTCAACGTTCTCGAATAACAAAGCGAGACTAACGAAAATTTAGCTCGACTTTTTAATAAATAAGTTTGAACGTAGACGATGTTAATCTGGTAGTGGCGACGGGCGTCAGTCCCGCAGATGTTGCTACTATAAACATATTTTTCAACTTCTAAAATAATTGTTTGATGCGACATCGCTTTGCAATGATAATTTTATTCACAATATTTCTCCATCAGTTTTAATACTGACGTTATAGCTGATTTTATTAAGCAATTTTGTGATTTATGCTGTATAATTAGAAACCGGTGATAGATAAATATGAAATAATTATGGATTATGATTTCTTGATGCATTAGGAACAACTTTTATTCATAATGGTTTTCTCCATCAGTTTTAGTACTTAGGTTATAGCTGATTTTATTAAGAAAAATCGTCCAATTTTGCCATTTTGTGATTTATGCTGTATCATTAGAAACCGGTGATAGATAAATATGAAATAATTATGGATTATGATTTCTTGGTGCATTAGGAACATTTTTTATTCATAACGTTTTTCTCCATCAGTTTTAATACTTAAGTTATAGTTGATTTTATTAAGAAAAATCGTCCACTTTGACCACGAAATTGTTATTTGTACGGATTTTGAGTAATTTTATTACAGTATCGTTGTAGTGGCCTTAAATACACTTAATTTTATTTTAACGTAATGTTAATTTTAATACAAATTTCTTATACAAAAATGTAATTAATTGTTTTTTTCTTTTTTACAGCGGTTATTAATGTTGGGGTACTTGCGTGATAATCTAAGCAGTGATTCGCTGGAATTCGACGATTTGCTTGGATGGGTCGACTTGGAGATGTTTTCGGATACGGACGATTCTGTATTTTCAGATTGCGATTTCTCGCATGAGTTCTACTAGCTCTGGGGGCCGCTACCGCCGCCGTCATACGTGCTGCGGCTTAGCGTATACGTCGTCGTCATGTACTAGCAATAACCTGTGTATTTCTTTTGAGCCATCGCATTATTACGATACCTGTCCATCCTGGAAAAGTAGTTTAAATCCGCGTTTCGGTGCTTCTCCATGGGAATCTACGACCTGAGCAAAAAAAAAAAAAATAATTCAAGTAATCTAGTTAAGAGTAAAAACAAAAAACTAGGGTTAGCGTTTTTTATATCGTTTCTTTTAGCTTGTAGTTGAGATTATTCCGATATTTTTCTTTAACGTTTATGTCTGCTCTGCGAAGTAAAGCGTTTTGACGTTTGCTCTTTCGTTTCCGATTTATGTGATAGACGCTTTAAATTCTAATAATAATTAGTGTTAATATTAATTATTATTATCAATTGATTTAATACTAACTTCTTGCGGATTGATTCAAAAAAACAAAAAAAAACGTTGGTAAGGAAACTGGAAAATATGAAACAAAAAAATTAAAAAAACTACAAAAAATAATATATATAATATACATATAATATATATTTCACGTCAGCTAAAGGTAGTTTTTAGATTATTTTGCAAATGTATCAGTGCCCTTAAACTGTGTCCGTAATGTTTATTAACGTCGTTTAGTTTCCGCAAAAAGTGCATGGGCCAGTTTTTTGGTTACTTCAACAATAATCAAGCTAAAAATACATCAACGCACGATAACCTCTCTCTAGTTTATTGAGTAAACGAAGAGGCTCCTTGAAATATATATTTAAAAATGAAAAAATCTCGATGTTGAAGCTTGTTGTTTAATTCGCATCATCAATTAGGAGTCTGTACATAGCCTCGCGGAAAAGATTCATTAAATCTGACTTTATTTGTAAATAAATATAACCAACCGGCCGATTAATGCATTTTTCTCGAATGTTTTTTTAAATATTGTTAATTATTTTTTTTTTGGGAGCCCAAATGAACATACTCCTGCGCCCGTGCCAACCTTGCAAATTTTTCTATCTGTGTTTATATCTGTGAGTTCTTGCAAATGTTTTACCTCCGATTAATACTGTACTATAGTTATACTTCTGTTGGGAATTATTGTTTATACGTTATATGATATACAGCTAATAAAATTGTTTTGGTCTATCTACTTAATTCTTTTTATTTTAGTAATGTTATGGTCCTTCTTCACTATGGCTCATGGTGGACCATTAGAATGGTCATCATGATGGCCCACTGATGTGGACATGCCACTGCGCAGTTAGCTGCGCATGATGGCGCCCTTTGATGTGTGGCCTTTACATCCTTTACCATTATTTATAGCCACTTCAGGCCCAAGTCCATACTGCGCATTACGTCACATGTGGAAAATAATACCGCCAAGCAATTCAAATTAAACAAAGGCATGGAGCACCACATGGCCATGAGGTTGCGTGCGCAATCCATGATCGCTTACGTCACGAAACACTCCTGCTCTTGTCCCTCGCCCACAAACTCAAATCAAAGTATTGCAGCATAGGAACTTAGACAACCTTTAATATATAAACGATTTCTCGCAGTGTTCCATGATAAGCCATAATGAAGAGAGGTTTAAAAAATAAATAATAAACAAATAATTTTGGTGGACATTTTTTAATCAGTCACTTATATAAATCACAAAAATCGAAAATACTAATAACAAGTGAATAAGTAAATCCTTAATATTAAATGCGGAAAATATATTATAAATAAGGTGGGTATCACCAAAAAGAAAAATAATAATAATCAAAGGGTTAAGGCGTGTCTTGCTGGCACCTAACGGAAGGGCGCTAGCACTTGAAGATTTAGCGCGCCGCCCCCATTTCGATCTGAATGTTTTTAGTAATCCCCACTTCACCTTAATGTTACAATCAAACGAAACAGTATCTCATTTCTTAGCTAGTTCGTAGGATAACCAATCTAAACCTTCATACAATCCTTGTCCTTGACTCGCGCAAGTTGCTTGTATAAACCACTATACAAAAAAACGAAGTTATTAATAAATTTTAAAGAAATAAAATAATCTTACATGGCGGTTTCGTATTTGATTCAAATTCAATTTATCTGTGAGTTCAGCAGCTGTCATAGCATTGGGTAAATCTTGTTTATTAGCAAATACTAACAAAACAGCGTCTCGCAATTCATCTTCTTGCAACTAAAAAAACAAAGAAAAAACATAAATATTTATACATATTGCTTCATTGTGATTTACCATGTTTTGTAGTTCTTTTTCAGCTTCACTGATTCTTTCTCGATCGTTAGAATCGACGACAAAAATAAGTCCCTGGGTGTTTTGGAAGTAATGTCTCCATAAAGGACGAATTTTTCCTTGGCCGCCCACGTCCCAAACAGTAAAGCAAATATTTTTGTACTCGACAGTTTCAACGTTGAACCCAATCGTTGGAATAGTAGTAACGATCTCGCCGAGTTTTAATTTGTACAATATCGTTGTTTTACCGGCAGCATCCAAACCGACTAAGTAAATAAGAACGTTAATGGTTAAAAGAAAATATGAAAGAGGGGTTTACTTATTACCCATCAAAATCCGCATTTGCTTCTTTCCAAAAAGGCGATTCAAAGCGTTAGAAATCGTTAGCCCCATGGTCTATTCGATCTTGCCACGTTGGATTTAAGAAAACTTCGAATGATAATTACGAGAGTAACTCAACTGACAGGACAGTTTTACAACACATACGTGTCTTACAGTTATGGTGTATACTTCAGTGTTACCAATTTGCTATTTTTATTTTACCCTAAACTTTAATGAAGTTATACTACTTTCAATACTTCATTTTAAATTTTTATTTATATATAAAACTGTCTAAAAAATCATTACAATCTTCATTTCTTATACTTATTCGATATTTTAGTCCCTCAAATAATTCAACCCCAATTAATTAGCGAAGTTTTAGAATTTGAAATATCGCACATTTCAAGAGTGTTTTTTGGTTACAAATAAATCTTCTTTTTCACCTTGTCTCTATCTACTCCTGATGTAGGCTTACTCGATGTGTTTCACGCCATTTATACTCTGTACTCTCATTTGCAACTCTTTTGCGATCTTCCCACACTCCAATTTGTTGTCTGGGTGTTTTTCCACAATACCGGTATTTTTCAGTATTTTCGTATTGTATATTATTTCGATGCAGATCTCTTAACGGCAAATGTAGCTGTATCATTTATGATTGAAACTCTTAAACAATCAAATTTCCCAAAGTTCTAATTTCATTAAATAGACTAACGGACGAAAACAAAGAAAATCTACCGAGTACATCACATGAACAAAAATATTTTGCTAGTACATCAAGTGAACAAGAATCATTAACATTAGCAAACAAATTAAATATGGCTATTAAAGAAAAATTATCATCTTCTTCACTAATTTCCAAAAATCTCACTTTGGAAGCATTGGTAGAAAAGGAAATGAGTTGCTTTGAAAACGAGGGTATTCGAGGTATAAATCTTCAAAAAATTTATGACTACTTAATCACCATTCCTCCAAGAAGCGTGGAATCAGAGAGGGTTTTTTCATCAGTTCAAAGTCTTTGTACAAATGTATTTTAATAGCACATATTAATAAGTCGTATTACAAATACCTATTTTGTATTAAGCATTTGCACTACGACTTATTGATATATATATATATATATATATATATATATACATATATGAATAATTATTTATTTATTTTACATTTTTATAATAAATTTATTATCAAATTTCGTTTAATTCATTATTTTACCTCTTCATTTTTAGCTTCCTTATATTTTTTTCCAATACCCGTATTACTATTTTCGGTCGGTATTTCCAACCCTATCTGTCTCTGAGGCTAATCCCCAGCATCTTTGGTTTCTCCTTAGCCTCCTACATCACTAGATTATGGATTATGATTTCTTAATGTTTTAGGAACATTTTTTATTAATAACGCCTTTTTCCATCAATTTTAGTACTCGCGTTATAGCTGATTTTATTAAGAAAAATCGTCAAATTTAGACATTTTGTGATTTATGCTACATCACTAGAAACTGGTGATAGATAAATATGAAGCAAGTATGGATTATGATTTGTTGTTGTATTAGGAACATTTTTTATCCATAACATCTTTCTCCATCCTTTTTAGTACTCACGTTATAGCTCATTTTATTAAGAAAAATCGTCAAATTTAGACATTTTGTGATTTATGCTACATCACTAGAAACTGGTGATAGATAAATATGAAATAATTACGAATTATGATTTCTTGATGTATTAGGAACATTTTTTATTCATAACGTCTTTCTCCATCAGTTTTAGTACTTAGGTTATAGCGGATTTTATTAAGAAAAATCGTCAAATTTTGACATTTTGTGATTTATGCTACATCACTAGAAACTGGTGATAGATAAATATGAAGCAAGTATGGATTATGATTTGTTGTTGTATTAGGAACATTTTTTATCCATAACGTCTTTCTCCATCCTTTTTAGTACTCACGTTATAGCTCATTTTATTAAGAAAAATCGTCAAATTTAGACATTTTGTGATTTATGCTACATCACTAGAAATTGGTGATAGATAAATATGAAATAATTACGAATTATGATTTCTTGATGTATTAGGAACATTTTTTATTAATAACGTCTTTTTCCATCAGTTTTAGTACTCGCGTTATAGCTGATTTTATTAAGAAAAATCGTCAAATTTTGACATTTTGTGATTTATGCTATATCACTAGAAACGAGTGATAGATAAATATGAAATAATTACGAATTATGATTTCTTGATGTATTAGGAACATTTTTTATTCATAACCTCTTTCTACATCAATTTTAGTACTCAGGCTATAGCTGATTTTGTTAAGAAAAATCGTCAAATTTTGACATTTTGTGATTTATGCTATATCACTAGAAACGAGTGATAGATAAATATGAAATAATTATGGATTATGATTTCATGATGTGTTAGGAACATTTTTGATTCATAACGTGTTCCTCCATCAGTTTTAATACTTAGGTTATAGCGGATTTTATTAAGAAAAATCGTCAAATTTTGACATTTTGTGATTTATGCTATATCACTAGAAACGAGTGATAGATAAATATGAAATAATTATGGATTATGATTTCTTGATGTGTTAGGAACATTTTTTATTCATAACGCCTTTCTCCATCAGTTTTAGTACTTAGGTTATAGCTGATTTTATTAAAAAAAATCGTCCAATTTTGACATTTTGTGATTTTTACTGTATCATTAGAAACTGGTGATAGATAAATATGAAATAATTATGGATTATGATTTCTTGATGCATTAGGAACACTTTTTATTCATAACGTCTTACTCCATCACTTTTAGTACTTAGCTGATTTTATTAAGAAAAATTGTCCAATAGGATCTTAGTAAACCTTCGAATTGCGCACTCTGCCTCTGAGACTGATTCCCAGCATCTTTGGTTTGTTCTTAGCCTCTTGGCACTTTTTTTTCGTGAACGCGGCGGTATCATCCCAACCTAACCGAATTTCTTCCATAAATGAAATGTCAGATTTTAAAATGAAATTACCCCAGAGAAGTAGAGTCAGCCTCCCTGATTCTGAGAGACAAATTCGATGATATTGAATGATAGATTAAATTCAAAATACTAAGAAATTATTTATTTAACATCTTCCTGAACAGAAAAAAAAATTTATAATATTTTTTATTGATAGAAAATTTGTTTAAATCAAAAATCAAATTAAATCAGCCAGCAATAATAATAATAATAATACTTTATGATCTCGTTTTTTCCCTAATTAGTACGAAGTTGATAGTCCCCATTTTGAGTGATATATCTCACCCATGGTAATGCTTGGTATCCGCTTTTTTCAATAATTTTTAAGTAACGAACCTAAAAATAAATGAATTTAATAAAAAAAACGATTGTTATAAAGTTAATTAATGAATTAATAACCTGGATTCCGGAAGTGGTGAAATAAGGTATTTCAAATTTAACTTGAATAGGTGGTTTTCCTTCGGAATCTTCGCACTCAACGCTTGGTAATCCAAAATGAGCTCTCATTAAGTACTCTTTACCGCCTGGAAATGATTTAATCGACCAAGTAATAGCGTTTTGTTCTGGAGCATACTTTGCACTCCCAATTGTTGTTTTAAATTTAGGTGAATCTGCATCACCGGGAACCGGAATAACGATTTCGACGTTATTTGCAGTGGAACGTCGTTTAAACTGCGATTTTGCTTTAATCATGTACTCAACCCTGCTATGAGCGTGACGTTCGATTATCGATTCAATCCAAATTAACGGTTTCACGTGAGTGTTTAACCGATACGACATCAATTCAAATTCGCCATCTGGCGGAATAAATGAAATGGTCCTATCGGTTTCAAATCTTGATAATCGAACGCATTGATGAAATTTAACGTCTTCCAGTTCGACGGATTTTGATTTACCACGACCGGTACTTTCAAATAGAACCTTATCGTTTAGTCCTAATCGTAATTCTGGCATACCGGACAGGTATACGCGCATTTTTATTGCACCAACGATTTCGCTACGTAAAACATTGCCGTTAGCGTTTGCTAATAAATTAACTGATTCGATAACGTCAAGAAATACTTCATTTTTTCTATATTTGATACCCTCAGATCGCCAAGAAACGGCGTTTGTTACCGCTAAAGGTATCCTGGGTTGTATTTCAAGTTTATGGCCTTCTTGGGTTATGTATTCTTGCAGGATTTTACTATCCGTCGTTTGTGGATAACCAAAATCGAGCAATTCATCTAACAACTCGTAAATAACGACGAAATTATCGCGGATACTTTCTTCCTCTAATTCTTTAAAATACTCAGTCATCACTTGGACTATTTTATGTAAAAATACAAACACAAGTGCTATGTTAGCATTTTTCTTTGTCGTGCTTACAATATACAAATTATTCGTTTTTATATAAGCAAAAGTGCAGTCTGCTGTTTGTAATATAGGCGTTAACAAACCTTCCTCTTCTTTTTCCATTAATAGGGGCATAAACTTCTCGATCACTCCAAGGTCTATATCACCTCTATAGTTCCGTGATATTAAAACCTAATTTTAAAAATTACATAATTAATTTCAACTCATTTTCATTATTTGAAGTAGCATAAATAACATTTCTTTATTATTAATTACTCAAATAGGGGCAATTTCATAACTGTTGCCTAAAACATTTTGTTAATAACTTAGTCATGATTTAATTTGTTAACCAGTTCCCTCATACATTCCACAATCCAATAATAAATCTTGTGTGTACCTTAAACATTGATTTCTGCAGACTTGTACTGCAGACTCTTAAATAATCTTGGTTATTAATTATTAAAGTAATAAAGAAATGTTATTTATAACATTAACGTTAATAAACTTACCTTTCCCTTAACATCTAAAATATAAATCGCCGACGACGACATAACGATGGCTTTTTAAGGTATATTTAATAGAATCACACCTGGTACAACTAACCTCTACACTGTACTATCAAAAATTCCAATAAAAATATATCAATGTGAATCTCGTGAAACGTAACTAGTTAATATCATTTTTTTAACGATTATATTAAACTGGGTTATTTGTTTATCGTAAAATTACAACATTTACATTACACGTTTAGTGTTGACTTTGACGCCATCTATAATTGATTTAAAGACACTATTTGGCAACGATGTCAACCAACCTTAATTTTTTTCTATTTTATTCTCGCACAATCAAACTCAATAATTATTATTTTATTACTTAATATTTCTAATTTTCCGAGTAATTTAAATAATTCGCATTTTAACATAGTTTTTTTTTACAACGTTGCCAAATTTTCCAAATTAACACCTCTCTGATTCATTCATTTCTACCTGTATAGATCAACAAAACTAACCTGATTGTTTATTGAAAATATAGGTTTTCCTAAATCAATATTTTAATACAAATTCAATCATTTTTATCAATAATTATTTCATCGAAATGTAATATTAGTTTTTTAATTCATAATTATACATTTTTAAATAAGATAAATATTGATAATTATTTAAAACTGTCTGGTTTAAATAACCTTTTTTTCCTACGCCTTTTTTTATTATCTAATTATTTTCTTAAAATGTACATTTATATGAAAAGAAAAATGGAATGTTGAAAACTGCTAGCTGCATCATAATCAGGAGAAGCCATAAATTCTTAAACCTTAGCTGAGGTTGCTTGCAATCAAGGCGTTGTATTATGCATTGTTCAAGTTACCATTGGTATTGCATAAATTGCTCCACATCGCCCACAAAGGATCTCAACTTAATCACTTGACATCTTACATCCTCTATTTGAAGTCTAACCAAGGTTGCTTGCAGCCGAAACGCTGCATGTATCAATAACATTTAGGGCGATATGGTATTTATTGCAGCGTCTTGGCACCAAATAAATCATGCGAAATAATACATTTCTATCATAATTAATGGAAGCCATAGATTCTACATTATAAACTTTAGCTGAGGTTGCTTGCAATCAAGGCGTTGTATTATGTATTGTTCAAGTTACCATGGTATTGCACGAATTGCTCGAAATCGTCTCTATAAGTTTAGCCAATATGTTACATTATGTATAATAAAAAATATAAAATAAATTAGAATTATTTTTTAATTAAAATCATCTATTTTTTTACTATGTTATAACAAATATTATCATAAGCTTCATTTATCTTCAACAGCTCCTCTTTCATCCTGTAGTTTTCTCCCATTATTAATTAATAAAAAATTTGAATAGGAGCGAGATAAGTTAAAAATGTTATTATTAGGAGAAAGAGTCAGAAACACGTTTGTTGTTATTTGGCACAGCGTTCTCAATTTCTTCTTGTACTGCTCCAACAATGCCATTCATAGTATTCTTATGATTCAAATTCCCAACTTTGTTCAATATGACCTAAAATCACAACAACTTTACGATTGCACACTAAATATTGTTTTTGTCTGCAGTTGCAAGTATCAAGAAATGCTGGAGGTAACTTTCCAGAAACAGAGGAGCAAGAATAAGGAGAGAATAGTATGGAGAAAATATCTACAAAAGAGTGTCAAAGCACAAAACATCTACATGATAGCATTAATAATATAGCTACTATATGATAGCCAAAGACGAGGTTTGAAAATTAACATCAGCAGCACCAAACTTATGGTGGTTAGTAGGAATGATACTCCATACACTTGAATAGATATTGATGGAGAGATCATCGAACAGGACAAACAATTAAGATACTTGGTATGGATGGTCAATGAGGATTGGAATTTCAACAAGCTACAACAACTTTTCTAAGACTTTGAAAATTTCTCACGGACAAGAACCTTTTTCAGCCTCAGATATAGGATGGTAAAGTGCTACGTCTTGTCCGTTTTCCTATATGGGGTTGAGACATGAACGCTGAAAATATCAAACATCAATAAAATTGTAGTCTTTGAAATATAAATCTTGCGGCGACTGTTGAAGGTGTCTTGAAAGATACCATTTCCAACGCCTCATTCTCCAGTTAAAAATTGAGGGAGGAAAAAGAGGAATAGCTAGAAAAAAATTTTCGTGGCTAAGAAATATCCGTCAGTGGACTTCCAAATATTACAGAACGCAGGAATCTGCACTTTAAGAAGAAGTGGCATCAAAATTGCGTTGCTTCAAATCCTGTTAATCATTTCATTGAAGAATTAGTTCAGATATAAATAAAAAATAATACAACTTACCTGAATAGTCTCTTAATTATTAACTTCTGGAACTATCCCTGATTGCTGACTTTGAAATTTTAAATAAATATTGAAGACTGGAATAAGAATCAAGAGTAGCCAAAAACCGTAAAAAATTCAAAATCGTAACTAAATCCTAACCAAATTTATATACAATCGGCTTACAGATAAAACATTCATATCGGGTAATAAATTTGATGCCCGATACTTCTCCCTTTTTATGTATAACCGAATCATCATTCTGCTCTTTCGAACCATCAAATGCTTTAGGTACTCCAATGGCTAAATACGCCATCTATAAAAAACTTGTATCTCAAGAAACAGCAAATAGTTCTTGTTTGCCAACATAAACAAAATTCCCTGGTGAAATATTAAAATATTATGGCGGCAAATTTAAACAAATTCAATGTTAGTATTAAAAATTAATGAGATTTAATTAAAATAACGAATACAAAAATAGTATAAAGATTGAAATTAAATTTAATTATTAAATTAAAGAATTACAGATTGACTTGAAGAAAAAAATAAAATGTTGTGGTAGCAATGACTGAGAGGTGACGCGGCAAATTTAAATTTGGGCGAAAAGATTTCTATTTAACTAGAAATGAAGTTGAATTTTGATGTAAATTATATAAAAGGATGGATTTCGATGATTGTTTTTAGTAAAATGCGATGAATGTTAACGTAACGCGTTGGGGAAAAAAGAGAAAAATGGTAAAAAAAATCCGCCGTCCGTATTTCGATCTATGTGCAGTTCCCGGCATGCAACCGTAAGTGGGAGTAATGTCTGCCTTTTCCTATACGCGACCTGCATGTCATCTGTGGAGGTCCTCTTTAATCTGAGGTTTACGGGTACTCGGCGAATGATGTACGCGTTTCGTCATTAACGATGGGGCCTCGTTACGCCCTGATAGAGAAATGTAAGTGAAACGGCCGTTTATTGGCGGCGAACTGGCGGTATTTGTGTGACAATTGTGTCCCGGAGCCTGGTGACGTAGTACTCCATTGTACTTGAAGTTTGTACTCTGGAAAGTTGTGTTCTTTTTCCTATTTTTACCTCGGAGGGGAGCCCCCTAAATGTAGGTACGTTAATCGTTTCGACAAATTGTTTTTCACGTTTTTCCTATTTCTAAAGTTTAAGTGAAACGTTTATCTCCTACACGACATATGCGAGGTAAAAAATCCTCTTTTACTCCGTACTACGACATAGTATGTAAACACATAAGACCCCGCCCCACACGATATTGTCATTTATTAATCAATTCTCGTACGTTATCGATGCTTCTTTTACTTGAAACGACACTTTTTCGGACAGTTTCATTTCTATATTGATAAATCGAAACCGGGAACGCGCCCGTTAGGTCACTTTTTATACATAACCTAAAGAACATCAATTAGTTCACCAACCCCTCAATTTACCACCACTTTTTTTATCAATATTTATTAACAACCTTTTTAACAATATGTGCTTGTGATCGATAAAGGTGTGTATATTAAAATTACATATATAAGAATTAGCCTACTTTTATTTTACTTGTTCTACTTAATATATATAGTTTTCTTATTATGATATATGAGACATTAAACCTTACATAATACAGTTAATTCTGCGTTAATCTTAATTATCAGTTCGTTATTGATTGTAAATCATCTTTTATACTATATATTTTCCAAATAATTATTTACAGCGCTTTTTTATGCAGGGTGCGGCAGCGACTTATAACAACTGTTGATATATATATTTGATGTACTTTATATTTAAGCTAGATTAAGGTTTCTACATTTATTATTTCATAACGCTAGTCGAAAATTATTACATATTTATTTCGTACTACAAAATCCTATATAATTATGACGAATTTAAAAAAAAAATGTTACATTTCTTTGTAGGGATAAATTAATGCAAATATAAGTCCGAAAGAAAAGCTGAAATAAAAATTGGACCAAAAAACATTTTGGATTTTTGAAAAATGGACTCATCACACGAAAGGCGTCTCTCAACTCATCCATGGAAATACCCCTAAGAAAATAACAAGAGGCTACTAACTAAAATGTATAGCCATAAACGACTTCTTCCATTCGTTTCAAGCAAGATAGGCTCAAACTCATATGCAACATACTATACATTGGGATTCACAAAGTTTACCCAACCCAAGTACGAGTCTATCTCACTTGAAATGGACCGAAAAAGTAACCTCGGCCGACTTCGAAGACGTCGGCCGCCCCCAAGTATCACAATCATCAAGACCACAAAGTTCAAAAGTGTTAAAGTCGAATGTATAGCACAAGTTTAGCCATAGACATCTTCTTCCATTCGTTTCAAGCAAGCAATACATTAGGATTCACAAATTTTATCCAACCCAAGTACAAGTTTATCTCGTTTGACGTCTTCGAAGTCGGCCTCCCAGAAGTATCACAATCATTAAGACCACAAAGTTCTAAAGTTCTTCTTGGCTTTTGTAAGTAAACCAGAGTCGTCGTGGTCTTGATGATCATGACACGTGTGGCGGCCGACGTCTTCGAAGTCGGCCGAGGTTACTTCTTCCATTCGTATCTCAACCCTTCCATGGAAATATCCCTAACAAGAAAGAAGAGGCAGTGTTAAACTAGAATGTATAGCACAGGTTTAGCCGTAGACATCTTCTTCCATCCGTTTCAAGCAAGATAACCTCGAACTCACACGCAACACGCTATGCATTAGGATTCACAAAATTTACCCAACCCAAGTACGAGTCTATGTCGCCTGAAATGAATGGAAAAAGTAACCTCGGCCGACTTCGAAGACGTCGGTCGCCCCCTTAGTATCCAGAGTCGAAACCAAAGTCGTCGTGGTCTTAATGATTGTGATACTTGTGGCGGCCGAGGTTACTTCTTCCATTCGTGTCATGCGAAATAGGCTATGCATTAGGTTTTCAAAAATTTTGGTATTCTCGAGGTCTAGCCAATACTCTAAACTGCAAGTAAATGTCTAAACTGGCCAAATTGTAAATTCCTAAAAAACATCTGAAATACACTGGCCAGATTCCAACTAACAATAACAGTCTTAAGAGACGCACGGCTAAACTCGAATATTGGTATATATATCGGGGTTTTACTGTATATTCAATATGGATAATTAAAGGAATGAACATATCTTGTTCTAAATCCACGGAGAATCCAGTAACGGCGCTATCTGAAATTTATGATGATGCGTTAAGTAACTTCTCCTGCCTTTCGATGGTGCAGCTTTAACTCCAAACTTGTTATTCGACCACGTTCACCCTGCGCTTTTATTTCGCAATTTAACGAGTCACATTTTCTACATGTGTCACTTCTAAGTAATAGTTTGAAAGTCATTCTTTAAAGCAATCAAAGTTTTAGGATGTGCTTTCAAGAAGCCTTTCTGGAACAGTTTCCATTTCTAGGAATTTCTCCTTACGTAATACGACGCACCAACGATGTTTTTATTAATTTATTTTCGAATTTTTCAATCAATTTGCTTTCTGCCTCCCGATAGCTGGAGGCCGATTATGTAGAGACTGAATTTCTCCTTTCAGCAAATCCATTTTCTATATCTTTCTAGAATTTGGTAAAATTTAATCTGGAATACACTCTTCCAATCAGATTCTTTGCCTCTATTATAATATATATAACTCAACAAACAAAATGTAAAAATCACAACAAAATTACAACAACGTTAATATTTATTAAGTTAACTGATGTTCAACACGACGTTAACATTGTCGCTTTCTCATTATCAAATCATGTCAACGTTGCATTGTCTTAACTTGGTGCTAATTGAGCCTAATACAACAGGGCCAATAAACTCCAAGAAATATTACGAAATGAGTTGGTTTAAAATGTTAATTAAAAGACGTTTTTGTTTGATAAAGTAATAATTATGCGTAGACATCAAGTTTAATTCAATGAGGTGCTGTGTAAGTTGCTTACGTGCTTTGAAATTCGGATTACACAACTATGCTGCACATAGTTGCCATAATTTATGACGATGTTACTTTTTTGGAATATATTACAGTCTTTGTGTTGTGCTTATTTGTTTAAAATTAATTGAAAGTTTATCGTTATAAATGAATGTTTTTTTTTTAATTTTCAGGATGCAACCAAATGGATAAAGAAATATTAATTAGGAAGTGTTGTACAAGTCGCAAGTTATAAGTTAGGAAATCGCAGATTTACTGAGGTAGGAAACCGTTCGACCGTCATAGGTGACGGTAAAAAATCCCCGTAAACCTAAAGAAAGTTGCAATCTGCCCTTTAGCATCAGTCCGTCACACTACGTTTCATGAATGTCGCCACTGTTCACGTCATTCCGGCCTATAACCACAGCTGTCGCACCGTTCGGAGATAATCTAGGTGTCTGAAGGCGGTGCCTGAATTATCTGCGGACGAATCGGTTCATAATATGCTTATGTATTGTCTGTTTTGCATGTGTACAGGAATATTACATGACATTTCATGATGGCTACTAACCAACTCATGGATTCTTGCTTGTAAGTAGGGTAGAGGTCCGTTTTACTCGAAATATCTTTAGTTAATATTTACCTGACTTGCTATCGACACATGCCGAACGTTACGTTATACCGTTATCAATGAATCAATCAATATTGATACAACGCGATAAGAAGCGCGTTTGGTTCGACCTGTTATAAATAGAAATCTCTATCGAGTTTTAAAGTATTAACAGTTTTAATTTACGAGAAAATATGACCTTATACTGATACGAGGAAAGATGGATACCTCTCGTAACGTTTGGTAAAAATAGCTGTTTTCTATAGTAGCTTTTTGTTATCTTTTGTGACGACGTATTGAGTTTCTGTCGAGTAGACATTTTAACCGCAATTACGGAACAATGAGTCAGTGAACAAAGTGTGTTGACAAGTCACCGTTAAATACCGCATGCCTTTACTAATATTTTCTTTTTTCTACTTTTCTTTCGATTTAGTTCTGTTATAATTCTTAAATACTAACTGCAGAAGCTTTAGCTAAATAATTTTACTTTAAACTGACAGGCTCGTGAACAGAAGGGTCGAACAAAGACAAGAACACAGCATTACTCACACTGAAATTACCTCAAGGTAGGATTTCTGACAATCATTCATATCTCACTCTTATCATTTTTACCGACAAACCGCTCCATCCTACCATCAAATTCATTGTATGTTGTTTTTAGGCGAATTTTGCAAGAAAAATTACCAGATATGCAACATTACAAGTAAGTAATCATTTAGACTCCTTCAATAATCATTTAAAATTTTTAACAACGCAACTTTTGCATTTCGAGCAATGCATTTAATAAATATTTGCAATGCCCGACGCCATTATTTAAAATATTCAAACTACTTTCGATTGTAAAACAGAGGTCCGGATGGCGGTGGCTCAGTAAACGACACGGGCTATCACTTGCACAGCAATGGGCATTCGGAACATTCACCAAACTCAAGCCACATGTCTGTGCACAGCGACGAGCCGTTAGTGCGTACCCACAAGCAACAAACAACTCAACAGGTGACTACCGTCACTAAAGTGGTGCGTGAAATTCAACAAATCGGAGACGGCCAACCGGGCGAGTACGTTCCAGTACCAATCGGGGCTTATCCCCATCCAACACACTCTAGAACCCAATACGTGGACTACATGGAGCAACCAGCTCATCATATGTACTCCCAGTACCATCAGCATCCTCACTACCAAGATTACGAGCATTATCCGGCAGCTTATGGAACGTACATGGGATATCCACCCGGAGCAGATCGTCCACCGACTCCTCCCACTCCTAGCGAACATAGCGGAGCACCTTCTCCGTTACCTCTATCCGCTCAGCCGGGTGGCGCTTATTTGCCTTCCGGCTATGACGAATTAACCGAACATTATCGTGTCACTCCATCGCCCGGTGGACCCATTGTACTTGACCCTTACCAAGATGATTCTGCTGTCGTCTATGGTTACGTTTCACCATCGCCCTATGGCACCGCAGGAAATCACCCGGGACCAACATACGATGCCAGGAATTACGAGGAAGCGCTTAATGGACCCGTTCCGTCAATGAGGTTGTACGACGATGACCTAGAGAAGCAAGTCAGCAAAATGTCTTTACACGGACATCCTGTTGGGCTTCCACATAATAGAACTCATGGTATGGCTTCGCCGGGCAGTGTCGGAGGAGATGAAGATCAAAGAGGTTAGAATTTATTTAATTTTTTTTTAGAAAATTGTCGATCTTTTTAGTAATAATTCTTTAGGTATGCGTTGGCGTGATCCAAATTTAACGGAAGTGATCGGTTTTCTAAACAATCCAAACAACGTAATTAAGGCAAATGCCGCGGCCTATTTACAACATTTATGTTACATGGACGACCCCAATAAGCAAAAAACAAGGGCGCTAGGTGGAATACCTCCCCTTGTTAAACTGCTTAACCACGAAAATTTGGACGTTTACCGTAACGCTTGTGGTGCGTTACGAAATCTTTCATACGGCCGTCAAAACGACGAAAATAAGCGGGCCATTAAGAATGCAAACGGCATCCCCGCTCTAATAAATTTATTGCGGCGGTCAAACGAGGCTGAAATCAAGGAATTAGTTACCGGCGTTATATGGAATATGTCGTCCTGTGAAGATCTCAAGAGATCGATTATTGACGATGGAGTTGGCACTATTGTGTCATATATTATTATGCCACATTCCGGATGGGATACTCAAGGGAATCATGGGGAAACTTGTTGGTCTACCGTTTTTAGAAACGCTTCCGGTGTACTTAGAAACGTTAGCTCAGCCGGGGAATATGCCAGAAAAAAATTAAGGGAATGTGAAGGTCTCATCGATTCTTTGTTATTCGTCGTTCGATGTGCTATCGAAAAGTCCAATATAGGAAATAAAATTGTTGAGAATTGCGTTTGCATTTTGCGCAATTTATCGTATAGGTGCCAGGAAGTTGAAGATCCTAATTATGATAAGAATCCTTTACCTACACAAAGTAGAGTTTCGGCAAATTCAAAAGGTACTTAATTTTTTTATGGAAATATATTACTGTAATTTATCATTTTTTGTTTTATTAGGTGAAAATTTGGGTTGCTTTGGTGGAAGTAAAAAGAAAAAAGATTCCCAATCTTCAGAAGTGAAAGAAAGTAACTCTGGAATATCAGGGATAGGTGCAAATAGTGCAGCAGCTCGAGGTGAACCGGTTCGCGGTACTGAGCTTCTTTGGCAACCAGAAGTCGTCCAATCGTACTTAGCTTTGCTTCAAAGCTGTTCAAATCCGGAAACTTTAGAAGCAGCAGCGGGGGCGCTACAAAATTTAGCAGCTTGTTATTGGCAACCGAGCATAGAAATCCGAGCAGCTGTGAGGAAAGAGAAAGGTTTGCCGATTCTCGTCGAACTGTTGAGAATGGAAGTGGATAGGGTCGTTTGCGCGGTGGCCACCGCTTTGAGAAATCTTGCCATTGATCAACGCAATAAAGAATTAATCGGCAAATACGCAATGAGAGACCTCGTTCAAAAATTACCTTCGGGAAATCCACAACACGATCAAGGAACATCTGACGATACGATCGCCGCAGTATTAGCCACATTGAACGAAGTCATTAAGAAAAACGCCGAGTTTTCTCGATCGCTCCTCGAAGCGGGCGGAGTCGAAAGACTCATGACCATAACCAAACAAAGGCAAAAATATACACCTCGAGTGCTAAAATTTGCCGGACAAGTATTGTTTACTATGTGGCAACACCAGGATTTGAGAGACGTTTATAAAAAACACGGATGGAAAGAACAAGATTTCGTTACCAAGACTGTTGCCGCAAGGAATGCCGGGCCTAACTCACCAAACAACGCCAATTCAACACTTAACAGACCGATGGCTTCTCAAAGCGGCACACGATACGAAGATAGAACAATGACAAGAAATGCACCACCTACAAGAGGTGTTGCACCAGTTTATCAAAGAGTAAGTACATATTAATATATTAATTTTATGTTGTTTTTTAATGTTATGTAGATAGCTTAAATAAAAAGTTTTATACAAAGAATGATTTTTTACACTTTTTATTATTTATACTAGGTGAGTCATTAATTAATATTAATGTATATATTGAAAATTAAGTGAAACTTCATGACTCACCTCGTATATTTATGTATTTTCTGTTTTTTCTTTTAATGTTCTTCCTTTCTTTTTTATTTTAATAATGATGTGAGTGGTTCTTATTTATTGGAATAGTTTTTTGGTTGGATTTCTGGTTCCAACTTGTGAGTTTTTCTTTCTTGTGTTGTTTTAGAATGAAGACATTCCGATGGCGGATATGGCGTACCCGGAGCCCCAACCGCCTGTCGGGGGCGTCCGGGCTTATCCGCCGGGTCCGGGCACGAATCCGTCAGCTGTAAGTCATTAGCGAAACGAAAGCGCAATCCCCTAACTGAGAGTCAATTCTTTCCCTAATTGATTAAGTGAAGTGTGCGCTGTACGGACCTACTACTAACTTAAAAAAATTAAAAAAAAAAACGTCGCACCGCAGACTCTTGCTCAATACCTAGCAATATATATACGGCAACATACATTCCTTTCGACCGTTGTTGCATTATGTACTAGCAAAATAACCGTATAATGGCGAAACGGATCAAGTAAAATAAATAGCTAATGAAGGGAAAACGCAGAAATGGCCTCATTTAACAGTATTCACTTTTAGACTGTTATAGTATTTCTCGATGTTCGTTGTACAGACGTAAACGGTGTAGAAGTTTGGATGTAACAAACCCGTGTAATATACCGGGTGGTCTATTACGCATTGCTCAAGGCCCCCCGCTATATAAAGTTTGTGTATTATTTTTAGTTTTTAATATAATCATTTTAAGTAAAAAAGGAACAAATTGATTTGTTTAGAACTGACTTGGGCAACGGGTAATTCACTATCTGCGTATACGATGTAAGTAAAACTAACTAACCCCTGTATCTATTTGTCACGTTCTCTTAATCGAATTGCATTAATTTGCAACTAAACAAATAGCAAATAAACGAAAATAATAGTCATAATGAAATAAATATAAATAAATAAAACGTGACGTAAGAGAACGTTTCAATCCGTTTTTACGATTTTTACTTGTCTGGCCACACCCTTAGTCTTCCGTTACATTGGAGAGGAACCCCCCTTTCCAAGTGTTCGTCGACAATGCCACTAACTATACATCTACATTTCCGCTAAACTAAACTAAAAGAAAGTCGGGAGTGCTTTGAAAGGGGGGAAACTTGATTTAGTGAGACGAGAAGGAATCTGTATCGATAGCCATAGCGTAAAATAAACATTGATACTATATACGAGGTGATAATTGTATAATTAAGGCAGGGGTGGGCAGTGAACGGAAGGCCCTGAAATAGCAAGCAGCAGCGTGTCGTCCCTATAGAGGTAAAGGTAAGGTCGGGTGTGTTTAGCTGCTCAGGGCCTTTGGTTTACTGCGCACGCAGCTGTTTGCCAGCAAACAATTGGCCCTGCCCAGCGGACCAAATTAAACGGGCCCAATTGTGACTGCGGTTTCTGTTATAGCCCGAACCGTTGTACGCGCAGGTGAATATGGAGAAGAAACGTAACCGTCAGTCAAGCCTGAGTAACGCCAATCACCTGGACGACCCGCAACTAGTAGCTCCCACCGGTAAGGACTCGTGGGTCTAGTCCGACCTACACTTGTTATATATCAATGTTAAAAAGTCGCATGTTCAGATATATAAAAAATGCACTGATTCATATTAAATATGTAATAATATTTAGTTCTTGGTTTACTGTGATGAGCTTTGAAATAAATTTTTGCTGTAAATATTCTTTTCACATCCAAATTCCTCTTTTTTATATATGTAATTTTTATTTTGTAAACAATTTATTATTATTTTTTGTTTTCGAAATACATTTTTTTATTTTAAATAAATTTATTATTATATACTTAAATTATAATCAATATACACGTTTATAAATATATTATAGAAATTGTTTTAATTATACAAAAATATATATATTTCATTTTTTATAGGTATACATATAAAAAAGCGCGTAAAATCATCTAAAATAATTCAAATATACAATAGTCAATTTTAATATTGTTTTTAATAAACCAATTATCATTAATTTCTGTCTATTTTATTACCAAGTTTAACTAACATAATTTTGAACCCAAACAACACCAAAAATAAATAAAACAAAAGATTTTCGTAAGGTATAATTTATTTAATACAAGTAACAAATAAATAATATAAGAAACAGTCTAAAGTAATCTAATAATAGTAATAAAAAGGTATAAAAAGTCGGTTTCTAAGACGGTTCAAGGTAAACGAATTCATTTTGAATGTTCGTTTCGTTTGATTATGTACAAATCGTCAAACCTTCTTAGAATTGGGGAAGTGTAGGAACCATATCAGCGAGCAAGTTAAGTACTGATGGATCATTTTTGCTGTCTGCTTGATATGATGAGATCACACATGAATTTGGACGTTCATAAATAAAATGGCAAGATGCAAACATAAATAGGAATTTAAAATTTCGAAACGGGATCAATAAATTATAATCACAATTGAAAGGGCTAAACTTAATAATACGTTTGTTTTCGATCCTGATGAGGAGCCTGATGGTGAAATATGAGTCGGTTTATCCGCTGAAATTAATTAAAAATTAATTCATAAAAATATTTTAATGATTGATTGGATTACTGTTTGGTTTTGTTGAAGGCCTCATTGTTGAATGTTTGATTTTTGGATGTACAGGTCTTAATGTTGCGTCATCAAAGATTGTAGTCTCGAATTCAGGTTCCACACAAGTTTTCGTTAATTGTTTTTGTTTCGTGAGCTTCATTCCAAGAACCCCCTCCATTTTTCTTTCACAATGAACGCCGGCTTCTCTTATAATGATATAATCTTCATCATCAGTGACTATAGAACCCACAAAACATTCAAACGTCCCAACCGCGACACTATCATGTCTTTTTGTGTAAGTATATAATTGATCGTTTTCCCTCCAATGTCCGAGACAACGATATTCTCTTTCTTCGTACATTTGCGACGTTTTGCAGTCGTAAACTTTATAATACATCAAATCCGGCGTTTTGCAATCCGAAGAAAGCGACCCGCAAAACGATCCGCTTTCCGGAATGACCCCGTTGAAAATTCCAGATATGGGACACCGTAAAGTGTTGATGGGCTGCTTTCCTAGAGAGAGGTAATCGAGGTTAACGGAGATTTTCGCACGAGGAACAATGCGCATGAATGATAAAAACTAAAAACTCGATGAATTCTCACGACTCGAAGCAGGTTACATAACGTTTTAATTTAACTTACGTCCTTGAGTTATCCATCCGTCCTGTCCAAAATTGCTCTCGTCGCATAATACTTCATCCCTACGTATACTTGCCTTCAAACCGAATAAAAATTCGAATACGTTATCATCACGTTGTTGCACCCACAAACAACTATAACTTTTTTCGTTTCCACTAAAATCAAAATTAAATAATTACAAATTTTTTTAAAACAAATTTTTTTACCATTGGGCCCGAATATGAACAAAATATCTATTGTTCGCTTCCGCTGCAAGACATCGTAAATCATATTTGACAAAGTTGGCTTGATCCCTATAAACGAAGGTGTTCCGGTCTACAGTGACATGCTCCCATTGGCCTTGCAGCCACTCGGGAAACCTGTCAACGCCAGGAAATGAAACCAGATCAGTTTTTAGGCGTCCGGCTTTATTATCTTTACCTGCACACTTCATTCTCCGTTTCCGCTACCCATGGCGAGTCCTCCTGCGGCGATGGCGTCAGCTCCATCGTCTCGTGACCTCTCGATGCAGTTTCTAAACCACCATCACACGTACTATCTCTACTTAATGCTAACTTTACTATTCCAGTCTTTTCATTTTTTTCAAATAACTAACAATAATAAATATAATATAATAATATATATATAATAATAAATTTAACACGTACTGCACATCTGTAAGTTGGTTGTTGTCGGCTATCTTCTAAAGCAAGATAGTGTTGCCCATTTTGTCCAATCCACTGACCGATGCAGCTTAATTTAAAACCTACAAACCAAATAGTATTGCAATAAAAAGCGGACGCGACGATGATTAAAACAAACTACCGTATCCTTCCGGGCAGTTATCGAAGCTAAGACTCATTTCAGACGCCGATGGACACATATTGACGATTGCGTTGTCCGTCATGCATCTGTTAGTAGAATTAATGTTGGGAAAATGATACTTCACCGAATACTTATCATCGATCGGACAAAATTCTTTTTGAGTTGGTCCATATTGATTTTGAGTTTCTAAAAATTTTTATTTTCATACTAAATAAACTTTAACAACTTAAACTTACTAAATAAAATAATTTCTACGACTCCATCTGATTTAGTGGCATCATCTTTTGGACAAGACTCAATGGCATCTTCCTCTTTAACGTAACATTTCGATAAATTCGATGCGCGCACTTGAAGAACATTTCTGGATTTGAGACTGAGATTAAGACAGTTGTTGCATAAATAATCGTCGGTGCTGAAAAATTTTATAATTATTATTTAAAAAAAATGAACGGGAAGGTTCATCCGCGTACAAAGAACCGTTGCTTGCTGTTGTTCGCGTTTACCAACGACTCGGTCTGTTTAGACGTAGAGCGATTGTATACGCAGATTATGAATGTTAAAACCGTAACGTTTAAAAAAATTTCAAAGTTTTTTACGCACCTGGTTGTGAAGATGAAATTATTATCGTATCGTCGGGTACAAGAACCCCATAATGGCGTTCCGGTAAACGATATATTTATTGTACTATATTCTACTGCGTTTCCTGTATTCACACTTTTTTGCATTACGAATTCTCCTACGTATTCTGGAGGAAAAAAACATACCGCTTCTATACAAATTCCTGAAACAAATAAAATAAACATATTTTAGTTTAGGTGTGGGTTTCAACGTACATAGATAACTGTGGAATTTCCAAAGAGGGCACAGAATAAGAGGATTACAATCTCTTTTAAACGAGGAATACAATGGGCTACATCCGGTTGAGAACGACTGTCAAATATTTACAATGTCGCATACGGTTTACCTGGCACTTGAATTTTTGATAAGTAAAACTCGAAATTTTTTCTTTTTCTTCGGCATAAAATAAAATTTCGAAGAAGCAGAAGTCTACGCAAATTGAAAATTATCAGCCAACACGCCACGGCACCGCAGTCTACCGAAACAGCGTAAATTATCATAATTTAGGAGATCGTGCCGTTTAAGTTATTTGTGCCTCACGGCGGGCCGTTTATCCCCAAATTGCCGGCCTGCCATTATAGCACGCGTTGCACACGTGTGTGCATCGAACTACTACTCTTAATTGTACAAGATGACCTTGGCTTCAAAAGTACATCATAACCTTTCTGAACCAATAAGTGAAACTTCGTTATTATTAATATACTCACCGATGCGCAATATATATTTATTACCAGCATTTTCCCACACTATATGTAGGTACTGCCATGGTTCATATTAGAAAGTGAAGTACAAGAAATAATAACCTTTAAAGGTAAATGTTGAATATGTATTTATTTTTATCACTTTGTTAAGCATAATTTACTTAAAATTATTTTCAGAATGAAATTGGATTCCATGAAGTTAAAAAAAAATTAGTTTTTTATCGAGGATGATTTTGAGGTTGATCCAAACAGCATCCGTGGATACAAGATCCACCGCGGTTGAGATGGAATGTATAATTAAATATAAAAAAAGCGTATTGCAGTCGAATGCACCTGTCGTAAAACAAAACCAAGACCCTCGCCGGGATTTTCTTATGTATACCGGCCGTCTGGCGAGAGAGACTAAATTGCTCTCAAGCCGTACTGGAAAGAACCGAAAATAAGAAGAAGAGGACCGAACAGCGGCCATTAAATAGTTAAAAAGGAAACGGCTACTTTGCATAATGCGCAAACTAGAGTTTTTTTCTTAACTCTCGAGATTCATACCGCATCGTTTCTTTACGTACATTTTTGAACAATTTTTTCAATCCTCGTCGCATTTTGACGATCAAGAGGAATGCGAGGTGATTAGTTCCCTCATTCTCTCTCTTTCTCTTAAGTTTCACTCCGGTTCTACCTGCTTCAGTATTCCGGTAGTCGTGATACAATGGTCGCAGCAAAAGAAAGGAATATAGTATAGTATAGAGGTTTCCAGGTGCCTCTACAGGTGGCAAGCGAGTTGTCGCTACGCAAATACTAGCGTTCTTACGATCTCCAGATCGGTAATTGTTCGCATTCCGCGGATGGATTTTCGATTTTCGATCGCCTGTTTATAGGATCGGAACGTGTGGGATGAAAATTCCTTTTGCTTCAAGGCATTCCAAGACGCCTATCCCTATCCTACCGAGATGATACAACAATAAAGACGCCTACGAAAGACTCGTCCGCAAACTTTTTTTTTCTTTATAACAATAAATCACATCGAAGAAACACATAAAAACTATGTTTGATATATTTATTACAAATATATATAGTTTTACTTGTTATTCATTTTGCTAATTATTGTTTGTATCAAAATATTTTATAAATAAAACTTGTTTAGAATTAAACAAGGAACAACCTTTGTAGGCACCATTTTTTAAAATTATCAATTTTCTAATTTCCCTGTTAACAGTATAGAAACTTAATTCAAGATTATTTTCCTAATTATTGTTTGTATCAAAATATTTTTCAAATAAAACTTGTTTAGAATTAAACAAGGAACAACCTTTGTAGGCACCATTTTTTAAAATTATCAATTTTTGCATTTCGATGTGAACAATATAGAAACTTAATTCAAGATTATTTTCCTAATTATTGTTTGTATACAAATATTTTTCAAATAAAACTTGTTTAGAATTAAACAAGGAACAACCTTTGTAGGCACCATTTTTTAAAATTATCAATTTTTTAATTTCCCTGTTAACAGTATAGAAATTTAATTCAAGATTATTTTCCTAATTATTGTTTGTATCAAAATATTTTTCAAATAAAACTTGTTTAGAATTAAACAAGGGACAACCTTTATAGGCACCATTTTTAAAAATTATCAATTTTTTAATTTCCCTGTGAACAGTATAGAAACTTAATTCAAGATTATTTTCCTAATTATTGTTTGTATCAAAATATTTTTCAAATAAAACTTGTTTAGAATTAAACAAGGAACAACCTTTGTAGGCACCATTTTTTAAAATTATCAATTTTTGCATTTCGATGTGAACAATATAGAAACTTAATTCAAGATTATCTTCCTAATTATTGTTTATATTAAAATTTTTTTCAAATAAAACTTGTTAAGAATTAAACAAGGAACAACCTTTGTAGGCACCATTTTTTAAAATTATCAATTTTTGCATTTCCCTGTGAACAGTATAGAAACTTAATTCAAGATTATTTTCCTAATTATTGTTTGTATAAAAATATTTTTCAAACAAAACTTGTTTAGAATTAAACAAGGAACAACCTTTGTAGGCACCATTTTTTAAAATTATCAATTTTTGCATTTCCCTGCGAGCAGTATAAAAATGAAATTTAAGATTATTTTCCTAATTATTGTTTGTATTCAAATATTTTTCAAATAAAACTTGTTTAGAATTAAACAAGGAACAACCTTTATAGGCACCATTTTTTAAAATTATCAATTTTTGGAACAACTTTTCTTGGCACAATTTTTGAAAATTATTAATTTTTTAATTTCTAAATTTTTTTTAAGACGGTAAAGTGAGGGTTTCTCGTTGTTACGGAACAAAATCCTGTTCCTTCCTCGAGATTCGACACCCGGTATACGATTACACACGCGATATCATGTTACCCATTGTTGAGGACAACAAGAAAAAAAGAAGCCCATACGCAACAGTCGAGAGACGCATCTGCGAGACTACAAAGTAAAGCAAAATTAAAGCATGGAATAATACGATTAGAGACAACGCATCGCTGCGTTTTCCGCAACTCTATGTATTATAAGCTGCTTGAAATAATTACTCGCATTTCTAATACGCATTTTTTTAATATTCCTATATTTTTAATAAGAAAATATCGTATTGTTAAGATTATTATTGCAAAATTTATGAGACAGGTGGAAGTTAAATTAAGAAAAGCAAACATCCGATCAAGAATCCGTCAAGGTATGGTGCGGAAATTAAGGGTGATGCCGCCTCCAGCAGCGCGTGGAATCGAAGGTGAAGGCGGCACGTCGGAAAACTACGCAATTAGCTCGCGCGCTAACTGTTGCTCTATTCAAATTGGTCAATTATCTCGATTTTTTTCACGCTCATTTTCTAATTATAGCACCGTCGACTTTATAACGGCGAATCTTTGTACATTCAACATACTATATTTATCCGCAATGTGATTAATTTAAATCATATTAATGTGAACGCCACTATGACAATATGACAGTGCTTTTAGAGCGTAAATGTGTTAAAATTGTTTAATATGGGGTTTCCCAAAAACCCCCCAGGTGTGTTAATTATTGTTTTGCTCGCTTGGTTACGCGGAAGAAATTAACATAATTATCAAAATCGTATTATAAATATGTATATATAATTGAAAATTTATGACGATAATTTGTGATCTAATTAGAATTAGATAAAAATTCAACGACAGGAAAGAATTTTAATGATGCAACCCGCGCTTCCTGTTGGAGATGAGCTCATTAAGAAAACTGGAAGTGGTCATTTCCACCGGTGTCTTCTTTCTGTGTTTCTTTAGAAGAAACGATCTGCCAATTGCTTGCGCATCTCTGCGTCTAAATATACGATACGCAGATGTCCTGCTCAATACCAGTTTGCCCGGGAAGGTGTGGTTAATTTATTTTCTTTTACCCGACGTCGGCTTCACCATCCTATTTATATAAAGTAAAAAAAGAAGATGCTTCGTCTCGTACACTTTTAGTGCCCCTAAATAACGAATATTAAGGTCACATTCCAAGGGATACATTGTAGACTAAGAGTTACACACCTACCTTAAAATATGCCGGAGCTATATTTTTCGCTGAATTCATTTAAAATTTAAATTTTATCTAGGTGACAACAATGCCGCTAACGTAAACTAACATAAACTAGATTTCTTTTTCTTATTTGTACGAAACTGTTCGTGGAAACAATTTGTAGTAATTACCGACCTCTTTTCATAGATCTAAATCATCGTTTTTTCGTTTAACGGTCGCCCAGGTAAACGTACTTCATTGTCCGGAAGCGGCGAGCGTGAATTATAGAAAGGAATTCTTTAAATTAAAATTTAACCATTAGTTTGAGTGAATATCATCAAATGAGTCATTTGATGGATCCACGTCGAAGATGTATTTCTTGGAAGATGTTGTTTACCACAAATCGATGATTCTTTGAACCCAAAGATATGTTCTGCCAACAAAAGATTAGCTAATTGAAGAATATAATAATTTTTGATGACACTTCTTAAACAAACGTGATATAACTGAGAATATAAAACTCTTTCACAGAATTTAAAATACGTGTACAAATTTTTATGACGATTTCATTCGTTTCTTCATCATACTGATTTTATGCAATCATTTTTTTTGTAATGAATATAACGTGAGATTTTAATTAAGGTGTGAATTATTAATTACATAAAGAAGCTTTTGGTAGTTAATAATTGATAAGATGTTTGCAGGTTGAAACATGTACTGACCTTGCAAGAAGAAAATAAATACGGTGGTGATTCCATAGAAACCAGCAAGTTCCATTGTAGTTAAACTATGTGCCACCGTCTGTTTTGCAAAACTCAACACGGCACCGTCACTGTCAGCGAGAAACGCGCTGGAATTCTGGTTCTTTTGGCATTCTAACTGAAAACCGGCGTTGTGGTCACGATGGAATCTGGTTCCAACAGGTACGTCCGCGAGTCAACTCAGCCGACCGCTGAATGAGAAGGACGAGGGTCTTTATGAATGAATGAGAAAACAACTCTTGGGCAGCCTCGACTGAACATGGTGCGCATGAGCACTTAGCTCTCAGCGCACGGTCAGAATTTCTCTCGGGAGGCGCGCCTGTTTCCGCTTTTCTATCCGTGGCAGATTGTTGTTGTTCTTGCGATTAACAGTACGGTGTACTTGGAATTCGCAAAACAGCTGACACTCGCGTTCCGCGCGATGTTCCACGATTGTGGCTAATTGCTGCTCTTGTTCTACCAACTTCCGTGCCGCTGGACGAAGACTTTAAATGCGGAACTAAGAAATTTTCCTTATGAAAAAACTAAAGAACTTCCTTTTTCGATAGAATCTTTTTACATTCATCTCTTTGATACAACAACCTAGATTTATTACTTTTACCATCACCCACTGACAACTAGAGTTTAATTCCCAGAACGGTTATATCTTTACATCAATTAAAACAGGATTATTAACCTTCGTGATCCCGGTAGAACATTTACGGTGAATTCAACATCCATGATTCTTTCTAATTTCAATAAATTCCCATTATAATTATTTCACATAAAATAGGTCCACTCAGAAAGAAATATGATTATCAATGAAGATTATCAAGTTGGCACCAAAAAAGAAACTTTGAACTGAAGAAAAGTTTTGAAGGACCTTCTTGTGGTCTTGATGATGATGATACTTGGGAGGTTATTTTTCGTGCTTAGGTGTAAAGATTTGTTCAAGAATAGCAAATCATTGTGAATCCTAGTACATAGTTTGCTGCTCACAATACTTTAAGTGGTAACTTCATTATTTGCGTTCCGTGCCATATGTGTCAGAGGCGACCGCATCAGAACCTTGGTCCTAGCAATCGGCACTTGGTATGTGTTGTTACTTCTGATACCAGGTTTGAGTGTAATGAATCCAATTCGAGCAAGAAGTGCACAAAATTTTCTACTAGCATCTTCTCTACGATTGCTCAAAGATGAAAAGTTAAATTCTTCCAATAACGTAGTCAACACTGTAAGTATTTAAGAACTTCTTCTGCACTCTTTCGAGCTAGAGATGTGTAACACTGCGCTGTGCGGCGCAATTGAGTTAACTCAGTACAGTGTGTTACGTGCGCTGATACCCAATTTTAAAATGAGTCAACTCAATTGCGCTACCGTTGGTGTAGTATAGCGCGCCAGTGTGGCTTGACTTAATCACGTATAAAACCTTCATTTGCTAGAACTTGGAACGAGACAGCAGGCGGTACCGGCGCAGTTGACCGGCGAGAGATAGATGTGATGCATCCAGCAATTTGTGTTATGGCGCAAGTGAGTTGATACATGGTGCTAACTCACTTAGGTGCGCTAGTATCAGTGTGCTAGCACAGCAAATTTTGCTGTGTTACACATGGTTCTCGAGCATGAGCTGGTGAGAAGTACAACAAAGATACCAAACCAGAGAACCATATTCTAATTTTGTACGAACAAACGCATAGAAAAGTACTGCTAATGCGGCTACGTTGTTAAATTTTTTACATTGTCTCATGATAAAACTCAATGCACCAGAGGCTGACATTACTATAGCATTAACATGGTCTTTGAATTGTACCACACAATTACAATAATTAAACGTTATTGGGTTATTACACCTTGTGTATGATACCACAACGCATTTTGCTATATTAAATCAATTCCATTCTGTACTGACCAGGAACTGATAATGTTCAGATGGCGCTGTAAGATAACAAAGTCTTCAAGGGATGTTACACGAGCGGATATCGTTAAGTCATTGGCGTAAGAAAGCAGGACCCAGGTTGTAACCCAGATATTGTGGAATTAAATCCACGAAATCATTGGTAAATCCAAGACTGCAGAGTTTAGAAAGAAGTATTGCATGATCTTGTAAAATCTGTGTAAATTATATCAACTTGTTGCCGTTTATCCATGTGCTCACTGATTAATTGCGTTACCTCTGCTAAATTAGTCATAGTTGAACGACCAATCATAAATCCGTGCTGATGATCAGATATGTATGGGCGAACACAGTATCTCGAAGACTTTTGAGCAATTGTTCAAAATGCTAATAGGTCGGTAATTTTCACTCGGCGTTATCCGAGTTTTTTTCCATACTGCAGGAAAAGTTTTGGTTTTCAAGCATAATTTAAATATAAAGGTTAAAAGTCTGCTGAGGAAGGGTGCACAATCTTTAATAATAAAAGTTGGGAGACCGTCGTTGCCAGCTTTCTTTACTCGTTTCATACAGATTTCTACCTCCTCGACAGAAAATGGAGTAATGTAGAAGCATCCAGGACTGTTTATCCAAGTTACAGTTATTAATAGTTGTAAGTCCAGGATTGAAGGCTCCAGAAAACAAGACAGAGAAGGCTTACACTACTTCCAGGGGATCAGAGATCTCAGAGCCAGCAGAATTACCATGTTTCTGATTCACATAACGCCAGAAATTTTTGGAATATACAATTCACGAGATAAGCCTGATAATCAGAATCTATTGCATCCTTGGATAAACGACGCAACCTAACATATTCATCGTAATATGATAGTTGTTTAGATCTCCTCCACTTATTAAAGTAGTGCTCCTTTATATTCAATATACGTTTAGTGCTTCCAGTAAACCATAGAGGAAATTTCGACGGAGATAAGCAGTATTTGGGTACTTGTTTTTCAATAACGCAATATTAATATCCGAGCACATCAATATATTAGACCAGACAACACGAGCAATATCGTCTGATACTAAGTGAATCAAGAAACAGTTCCAAATCATCCAGCGGAACATCAGGAGGTATGTATAGCGTAATAATAAATATGCTGATCGAGAAATAGACACATTTACCAACAATTACATCAATTAGCGGAGCAAGATTTAAAATCTCGGACACATCACAGTTGAACAATTTGATTTTCTGACTGCAGGCAATAAGAACGCCACCGCCCACTCTTCTATCCACAAGACGGTGATTACGATTTCTAATTACATTAAATGTAGTAGGCAGCAACTTAGAGTTGGTGATGTCCGGAGATAGCCATGTTTCGGTAAGCAAAATTATATCGAAATCGGTAGAATTTGTAGCTGTGTATTATTGGTGAGTTTTTGTTCGTAGTCCTTGCACATTTTGATAAAATAAACGAAGTGTGTGAGTCTTCCTGTTGGATCCTATTAGTTTCCTCGTTGGATACTTGGGTCATTGTCAGATGATACAATTCTAGGTCAATTTTGTAGAAAGAATTTTGGAGCGGTGTTTTATCTGTTGTTAGCTTTGAACTTATCAGATTTTAATACTGACTTAATGTTCTTAAGAGCATTGTGAACTACATCAGAGGAGGAAAAAGAGATTTTCAATGGGCGCTTACCCAATCGTTTTACAGTAAAATCAGGTGTCTGGATTTTCAAATAGTGAAGTATCTCATTTATCCATCTAATATTGCTTTGTTGAATGCTACTAGATTACTCTTACGTTTTTCCCGGTCCGAAATCTCTTGAACTATGTTTTCAACATATGACTGTGGAGGCGGCAGAAGGACATTCAGCTCTAAGGATTTCCAGATCCTTCTGCAGAGTTACAACAAGGCTTGTTAGTTCGTGTAACTTTTGTGGTCTTCATGATGGTGATACGCCAGATAGATGAACGCCACCAAGCCAAAATAATAATAATAATAATAATAATGTCTTTATTCGTACCAACATCAAATTAACAAATTAAATATTCTATACAAAACAAAAAAAATAAAATAAAATAAAATACTAAATTCACTAGTAAATTATAATAGTACGAAATGGCGAAGTTCAGTGCAATTCCATTATAATAATATTCAAAAAATTCCAAAACGTTCGGCAACAAGCGAACAAACTAGATATATAAAGAAAATAATTAAAGAAATACCTCTGCCAGTACAGACAGAAACGGAAAAAAAAATGTAAAAAAAAGAAAACTAATACTTAATAAATGCCACCTTCGCCTTACATTTAAATAGTTAGGATGGCCGTCTGTTGATCAAGTAAGCAACCAAACACTCGGTTTTTAAATGAGGAGACGCTTGCAAGCAGTTTCGTTTCAGTGGGTAAATCATTGTACATCTTTACAATCTGATAACTGAAGCTCCGTTTAAATAATTCCGTATTGTGGTTAGTATGCTCTGTATGCGCTGCTCATCGACCCTAAGTAAAGACGGCCCATCTCCAAAATTAAATTTTGATAAAATCAGCGCATTACAAAGTAGAGTCTTAGTGTTGACAGTGAGAAAATGGCGAGAGGGGTACAGAGCTTTTAGTTTACCAAACGCACCCCGAAGCATACTTGACACGTGACTCCGGAATCTCAAATCCGAATCCATCACCAACCCTAAATTACGTGCTTCAGATACAATGGGGAGCGTTGATCCGTTGACCGTTACCCTGACATCTCCACCATAACGCAAAATATCCATTTTTCGGCCAAATATCATAACTTTTGATTTATTCGGATTGATTACTAAACTGTGATGGTTGGCGGCAGACACCAGATCCGACAATTCTATATTCAATAAATTCAGATAATGTTGTTGTTCTTGAGGTTTATATGATATATACACCTGAGTATCGTCTGCGTAAAAATGAACTTTGCAGTACTTAAAAATATTACTTAAAGGTGCTGTGTAAATTGAGAACAGGGTTGGGGAGAGCACAGAACCCTGCGCCACACCCGACCCAAGAAGGCGTACATTAGATTGATGGTTAGACAGCTGCACGTATTGTTGACGACCACTTAAGAAATTCTCAAAGAATGCAACTGCTGAATCTTCCAGCCCATAGTGCTTTAAAATAGTTAGTAAGAGGTTGTGATTTACTGTATCAAATGCCTTCGTGTAATCCAATAGAACAAGTATAGTCATGTACCCTCTATCTGTTGCACCCATTATGTCATCGATTACACACGTTAAAGCAGTCGTACAACTGTGACCATGTCTAAATCCAGACTGAACCGAAGGAAGGATGTTATTAATTTCCAGGTGATGCTGCAGTTGAACATTAATAATTTTTTCCATGATTTTTGACATTGCCGTTAGTATACTTATTGGACGAAGGTCAGAAACGAGGATCGGATTAGCAACTTTTGGAATCGGGCGCACGACTGCTACTTTCCACAAAGAAGGAAATACACTATTTTGAATACAAAAATTAACAAGATGTGTGACATAAGGCAGTAGAAATGGCATACAGTATTCTAATGTTTTAACCGATACTCCATCGGTACCAATTGCATTAGATTTAATTGATTTCAAAATCTTCAGAACATCGCTTTCAGATACTGTAGAAAATCTGAGAGGGATTACAACACGTTCATTTAAGTTGGAATACATATTATTATCAACGGTGGTATTAGTGCTGGGAAGCGAATCAATAAAGAAATCGTTAATAATAGAAGCATCTTGAAAGTGGTTAGGAAGCGATCTATGTTTGGACTTAATTAATTTCGTGGATTTCAAAGTATGCCAGGTCTTAGCACCGTTACCCAAATCCAAAAAATTTTGTAAATATTTTTGTTTACAATTGCGATGCATATTTGTAACCAAGTTACGCGCCGTTTTATATAGCTGCCAATGCGCGGGGTCTCGTGAGCGCTTAAAAGATTGAAGCAGTTTATCTCGATTTTGCATTGCTGCTCTTAGTTCAGCAGATATCCAGGGGGCCCCTGGCTTAGTAATTCGAGCTTTCTTTAGCGGCGCGTGCAGATCCAATAGCACTAGTATATTTTCAGTTAGAAATCTAACTTTTTCATCTATAGTCTGTATCTCGTATAGAATTCGCCAGGGCAATGATTGTAAGTGCTCATAAAACATTAACTCGCTAAAACCAACGTAGTTCCGATATGTCTTGAAAAGGGGTACAACCCTCTCCTGTGGTGTATGTAGCTCAACAAAGACCAGAGAATGATCCGACAGATCATTATCCAACACCCCACTATCAGACACTAATTCATCGTTAGAGAACAGAATAACATCAAGCAAAGTGGCAGTTTTCGGGGTGACTCGTGTTGGCTCTTTAATTAGCCGCTGCAGTCCAAACACCTCCAGAGTATTAATTAATTCAGAAACAGCTGCCGTGTCAGATTTGAGCATATCTATGTTAAAGTCCCCAACGCATAAGACATCGTCAGCCAAAAGAAGTAACTTGTGCCAATACTTCTTCAAAGGAAGCTATAAAGTCTCCAGCAGCTATGTTCGGGGCTTATAAATAACACCACACGATAACGATAATTTCTTCAGGGAAACTTTTATCCATAATTGTTCCAAGGCACCCTCCACATCCATAACCCTACAAACCACGTTAGACCGTACATACCATTGAACCAATGAATACCAATGAATACCAATGAACATTCAAAATTTTTTTGAATATTTCTAAGTATTTCTAAAAGATTTCAAATTGGTGTTCAAGCATTTTATGATCATGGATTTCCAGAAAACATCGAAAATTGTGGGTATTTCCAATTATTTCTAAAGACCGTAAGAAATTTGAAGAGATATTTCACAATTTCATTCATGAAAACATTATTTTGATTCCAAAGTGCAATAAATCACTAATAATTTAAAGCGATCATAACCTCAAATGAATTAAACCGTTAGTAATAAATCTTACATCATCATTTAACGAACGGTCATTTTAAACACTTTACCAATTAATTCGATTTCTCTTTAATTTTAGCGTTTAAACCCAACTAAGGATCTGTACTTATTAGAAAATGCGATTACCAAATCGGATGGGAAACGAGTTTGAGAGCAAAACACAGAGGAAACGAGAACCAAATAAGACCAGATCTATTTTCGGAATTAAATAAGTTGAATTTCCTTTAAAACGTTATTTATTATTTATATTAAAGTAATACAAAATCAAGTTCTAGCGGATTTCTTCACCTTATCGTATGCTTCGGGGAATGCTCGTTCGCAATCGTATTTTTTACGTAATTTGTCGTACAACTCATGATCGAACATTGCCCTAAATTCTTCTCGCGTTGTATAAGTGTCTGCGTATAACATTTGGAATCTAAAATTAAAAATTTAATTATTATTACAATAACGAGCGTTTAAAAAAACAAACCCCTTTACGTCCGAAACAAATTTTTCTATTTTTCTCGTACTTTTAACCGGATGGAAGTCGTTAACTTTAGGCACTCCATAAACTCCAATATCTACGTACATTTCGTCTTTACGTGTGTATGAATGGACCATACCTGGATCAGCGGGTAGATTAAAAGGGCATAACCATAAAGGATAAACTTTAAATGTAGAGTCGAAAACTTGTATGCTTTGTTTTAAATGCCCAATGGGTACCAGCATGTCTTGAATAACGTGATTGTTCTCGTAAAGCTTTTTAATAGCATCGGATTGGGTGAGTTTCAACAAGGATACTTTTGGCGGAACAATCCAGCCGAGTAAGTACCGGAAAAGCACGTTATTTCCAAACGGTATGATGTCCTGGAAATGAAATTCAAATTGCGTTGCTGTTTTAATCGAACGAAATATGCAAATACGTACTTGTAACTCCCAAAATATTGATCTTGTATGCCTGTGGTAATAATCCCGTAGTGGTATATATTCGTAATACCCCTTTGAGTCTTTTTTGCTTTGAACGTGTTTAAAAAACCACGGTTTATACCATTTTCCGATAGCGTTAATCTTTTCATTTTCAACATCGTCCGTCATAACTCCAGTCATTATTACGCCTTCATTGGGACCGTACATTAATCCCTCGATGAATTCATTCCGTGAGTCTTTACTAACTCGAATAAATTCTTCAGAAATTTTATTTAAATCGGAATATCCTTTATATGAAAGTTTCACAAATTTTTTCGCGGGGATTAATTTTATTTCAACTGCAGTTAAAATACCTAAGGTTCCATAAGACCATGGCACTGAATAAAAAAGATCTGCGTTGTTATTTTTTGAGCAAGTTATAACACTGCCATCGCTAAGTACTAATTCATAAGATACGCAGGTGTGTTGAAACAATCCGTACCTATGGGAGCTTGATTCAATTCCCGTACCCATCACCAACCCCCCTACCGTTAAATCATCTAATTCCGGAAGCACAGGGATTGTCCAACCTAAAGGATTTATTGTTTTTGTTAGTTGACCCATTGTGACTAAAGGTTCAACCCTTATTGTCTGAAATAATGAATGGAAAAGTTCCAAAAAACAAAACCAATCGATACGGAACAAAAGATTTTTAGATAACAAGTCACGCAAACATCCCTAAGTTTGGCTAGACGAATAAATAAAAACCCTTTTTTCTTACCTGCTTTTTAGTGTCAACTTCCAAGATATCAACTAGATTAACATCAACTTTATAAAAAGTGTTCTTGTACAACGGTCTCCTAAACGATGTAGTTTGCCATCCAGGCCTTGAAGTACACATCTTCGTTTTCTTTCCATCCTGCGCCCACCTTTTCACTTGATCCTGAACGTGTTTTACTTTATTAACGTGATTCTTCGGTGCACTACTTAATTTAAACACGACGTAATTGCGCAGATAGAAGAGGATATCGTAGACGAAGGATATAGGCAAAAGGAAGAAACACACGAACACCCAACGATAATTAATGAGTATGTATTCGACTAAACCCGGTTTGTACGTCATGGTGTCCAAGTTATTTTTAATGCGATCGCTACCAAGGACGTTGTTTCATATCAACAATTTTACGATATAGACAACTTTTGTGACGAATAATTGATCTGACGTAACAAAAATTTTATTGGAGTGTTATATCTTATCTATTTCAATGATTTCTAATACTTTAAAAAATTTATTATGAGTAATTTTTATTGTATCAAAAAAGTATTACTTTAAATATACCGGGTGTTTCATTTAAAATGTATATATTTATATGTGCCATTTAAAAATAAACTCTCCGTTATGAAGATATCAACAAAAACAAAAATAAAATAACATATAAGTATGAAGGCTTTCACGGCCGGTGTGAATTAAACTAAGATTAGAACTAAAACTAGAAACTTTCGGGTTTTGCCCTGCGTTTTTTAATAAAAGGTTTGACGTTTCGGATGCCATGTTGCAACCTTCTTCAGAAACTGGTTCGAAGTGACGAGATCAAAAAATCGGTAACTATATATAAGTCGGAAAAACTAATTAATAATCAGTTAACGCTAATTACAAACTAATTAATAACTAATTGCGTCGCTTCCGGTGTGAGGCGGGAAGAGGTCTTCGTGTTCACCACCATCTTCCATGTTCTGCTAAGCTCCCAGCCATCTTCTCTGTTGACGTTATTTTTATGTCGGTGAATCTCTATGGCTTCTCTTGTCAGTCTTTGGTAGTATATGTTGTCCCTAGCCAGCACCTTTGTTGAAGAAAGTAACGCCAACCTTCTTGAAGGTGAAGCACCACATCGACTCCGCTGCAGCACGTAGAATTTTGATTAGGACAGAACAAGCACTGCTACGAGAAAGAATCCACAAGACTTTCAATGATCTACAAAAAATCCACCTCCCACTTTCCAATTGTATGTCCGGAGAAGACTGGGACAAAGTGGACAGACTAACAATGGAGAAGGCTAATCGCGAATTTCAGAAGACCCATGACACACACATCAAGAAGTTTGAATCTCTGGAACGCCGGTCGCAAAAGAAAAAAGGTAATCGTTTACCAGTAGAAACAATCGTCATTAACAGATCGAATGTCCCACTAACGAAAGACGAAACCTTTGTGCGAAACTACGCAATCGCCCCGAAGAAGGCCCCAAAGGAGGAAATCATCTGCGAAGTGGAAGGCGCTGTTCGAGGGATGCCTGCACTGAAAGCCGAAGAGATCCGACAAGAAGTTGCGAGAGTATTGAAGTCAGCAAAACCACCAAAATCCAACTTGACGGTTGGTTAAAAGGAGGCACTCCGATCTATAAAAGAAAAATCAGAAATCGTCGTGTTACCAGCAGACAAGGGGAATGCCACCGTTGTTATGGACAGGAAAGAATACGACGACAAAATGATGAACTTACTGGACCCAGCCACCTACAGGAAGATCAAGAAGGACCCCACAGACAAAATCGTTAGAAAAATGAAGGAACTGATAAAATCCACAAGAATTCCAGCAGAACAGCAAACAGGTTTGTTTGTGCAGGCGCCGGTACCACCAAGAATCTACGGACTACCGAAGATTCACAAACCAGACGTCTCCCTCCGCCCTATCGTCAGCGCCATCAACTCCCCAACATACCAGCTGGCTAAACATCTTGCAAAGATTCTGTCCCCCTTTACAGGTAACACGGAATCGTATGTCAGGGATTCTACACATTTTGTGGAATCGGTAAAAGGTGTAAAGCTGGATGCTGGGGATATGTTGGTAAGTTTCGATGTGGAATCCGTGGCATTGCTGCTGACAACAGAACTTTTAATTCCTCTAATCTTTGCGTCATCGCCAAGCAAGAATTCCATCTTGTTGAAACGTCCTGTTTCACTTTTAGCAGAGGAAGTTTCATTTGATCCTGCATTTTGGCCAGTTCACCAGATGCTACAGTGCTTCTTTTGTAGATCTTCATGTTTGAGGGCGTCCATAGTACATAGGTTCAGCGTATGTGCTATACAGGGTTAGTGAGTCTTATTGAGATGAACAGTGATAGCGTTTCTCATATTTGAAGTGTTATCTGTTACAATACAGTGAACTTTTTCAAAGATATCCCAACTTTGAAAAACTTCGCGAAGTGCGCTGGTAACATTTCCTGCTGAATGACGATCAACCAATTGTTTTGTTTCCAGTAGCACTGCGTTGCCTCAACTTAAATTAAAGAATCCTGAGGTCGCTTGCTGCCGAGGCGCTACAATTAATATCATATCATCTCAAAACTATTCAACAACAAAACATGCCCAGATTGCCGAGAGTTTCCCGTTACTAATCCAGTGTTCGTGATATAAGAAATAATTTAGGCAGCCCCAAGTATCGTGAACAATACTTAGAGCGGCCGACGTCTTCGAAATAAAAGAAAATCATTTCTTCCATAAACATGGTAATGGTGTATCACTTGGTATTCGGAGCATGAAACCAAGACAACCAAATCTCGGCCGACTTCGAAGACGTCGGCCGCCCTAAGTATTGTTCATGATACTTGGAGCGGCCGACTTCAAAGGTGTCGGAAGATGATTTCTTCCATAAACTTTGTAATGGTATCACTTAGGATTCGGAGCATGAAACCAAGAGTACCAAATCTCGGCCGACTTCGAAGACGTCGGCCGCCCCAAGTACCATGAACCATACAATAAGTCTACCCTGCTTGAAATTTATGGAAGAAATAATCTCGGCCGACTTCGAAGACGTCGGCCGTTCTAAATATTGTTGATGATGCTTGGAGCGGCCGACGTCTTCGAAGTCGGCCGAGATTATTTCTTCCATAAACTTGAAAAAATGGAATTACTTGGGATTCGGAGTATAAAACCAAGACTACCAAATCTCGGCCGACTTCGAAGACGTCGGCCGCCCCAAGTATCATGAACAATACTTAGAGCGGCCGACATTTTCGAAATCGGCCGAGACTATTTCTTCCATAAACTTGGTAATGGTATCACTTTTGATTCGGAGCATGAAACCAAGACAACCAAATCTCGGCCGACTTCGAAGACGTCGGCCGCCCTAAGTATTGTTCACGATACTTGGAGCGGCCGACGTCTTCGAAGTCGGCCGAGATTATTTCTTCCATAAACTTGAAAAAATAGAATTACTTGGGATTCGGAGTATAAAACCAAGACTACCAAATCTCGGCCGACATCTTCGAAATCGGCCGAGATTATATGTAGTTCATGTCATTTCGGGCGGCCGACGTCTTCGAAGTCGGCCGAGATTATTTCTTCCATAAACTTTGTTAATGGTATCACTCACTACCCTGCTGAAATTTAATGAAGAAGTAATCTCAGCCGACTTCGAAGATGTCGGCCGAGATATAGGATAATCATATAAGTATATATATACTTGGACTAAATTGAATTTATTTCTGTGATGTGTGGTCTTTAGTTAAAGCAAAACTGTTGCATATCTTGCTTAAATGGAATTTTAACTACAAACCGTGCATCATTATCTCGAGCTGTAGGTTCATTAAAATAACTTGCGCCGTATTGTTTAGATGGCAACAAAAGATTGTAAAATGTTATGCAAACATTCCAACGTTTCATAAAAAAGCTCATTTCAAGTTTTGGCATATAAAATAATAAATACACATTTTGTATAATAAATTGAGTTAGTTTGGAGTTGTTTATATGAGTAAAAGCGTAACAGGGTACACGTTATTGGATTTGTGAGGATTGGTTTTAAAAACAGTATAAAAAGGAATTAGATTGGGTTTAGAATAAGAGAAGTTGAAACGCGATCAATATTGCGCTTTTCTGCGAATATATTCTTTTTATAAAAGTATCTCGTATGGAGTTTCCAAACGAGAAAAAATGATTAAATCAAGCATTGGTGGTGTAGTGGGACGTTATCATTCGTAACTAACAAAGAATTCTTTGTGAATAGTATAGAGGGGTTGACAGGGCATCGGGCTAGGAGTAAATACGTAAAATTATATAGTACGGGGTGGGTCCTGGAGTAGAGGGCGCTGAGGAAATACAACGAGGCAGGCGTGGAAGTTATTGATCCAAAGTATTCGACATTTACTGGTTCACCAATAAGGTGGGGTTCCATCATGCTGTCTGCATTCGCCATTCGGACTGCAAATACCCAGTTGCTCTCACCGTAGAGAGAAGGAAGGCGCGTGTGTATGGCTTCCAAGTCAGCTAATATTTTTATCAAGTGCAATCGTTCCGTCAACAATTAGACCTCATGATCGGTTCATTTTGGAATTTGTGCAGAGCGTGCCCTTCAATGCCAGTAGATAAGGTAACCGATAACAAATGTGAAACCTAAACGGGCCGAAAACTGAGTATTATCACTCTTTCAGTTGCACTCTGAGTACAGGAGCACGTACAGATGGCATGAATATACTGGGCCCAGGCAGGAAGTTATCCGCCGGGCACCAACAACACAACCCGGCGTCGGAGCAAATTCCGGTACGACCCGAAAACGAAAAAAAAAACTAATTGGAAATACGCCGAAGCCATTTTTTTTTTCAAACAAAGTCATTTTTAATTTTTAGATGAGAAACCTAACGAACCGCCGAACACAACGCGGATCGATGAAGAGACACAGAACGAATGTAAGTCAATAAAAAGAGTGATCAAAAATGGACGTATCATTAGTTATATAATGTCTCCAGTGCCAAAATTGGAACCGGCTCTGCCAAGACGAAAAAAACATCCTGATTTGGCCTACCGTCACCATGAGTTCCTTGTTAGCGATGGAACCAATGGAGACGCCATAGATGTTGGCACAACCGATAGGGCCAGGGTAAGAAAAAAATGCACGCTCTCCTCTTATTTCACCATTACAAACACACATTAAAATACCACACGCAGAACAACCCGGATTAATTCGCTTCTCGCTTCACCTTAGACTTGGTTTTTTATTCTATCGTACTCTTACCTTGCCTTCGCGGGAGGAATCATTGATTTTTATATCCTGCAGTAAACCACGGCCCTAACGATTTTACGTCCCTCTCAACCAAATAATGTCATTGCCCCCTTAAACTTATGCCCATCTCAACTTGTACTGGTCACCGCTTTTGGGCTACCAGTGCAACATAGAAATGCTATATCGATCTTAAACTGCGACTTGGTTTCCAACTTGCTTTAATTTCCTTTATATATAAACATATATATGGGACGTTCTTTGAAAAACAATCATTTAGTCAAAGAACCAATCGTACGAGAACTTCCCATTTTTAATTAATCATTTTAAATACGTAATGTGTATCGATTTTCGCGAATCTCGAAATTAACCTCAATAACTCGTCGTTACTGAGCCCAAAAAAAAAACAACGTTACCGAACGAATATCAATCTGCCGGTTTATCGATCGCGGCTCGGTTTACGTCTTGAGAGTCGTTTTTCGTCACCACAACCAGTAAAATGGAAGGAAATTCTACTTAAAAAAGATGCTTTGTATTTCCCGGAAGTAATCTCGCGAAATAAAAGCGTAACAAATTTGGAAGCGTGACAAATCAGGAAAGAATTCTAGTTTTCATCTTTTTAGAAATAAAAATGCGCATTTTATAATTATTCTAAATTTAGTTTCGCTCTCGCCGGGATTTGAGAAATTACGTTTCATCAAAGTTGGAGATGTGCAACTCGCAAACTAGAGACGGAATATTAAAGAAGCGTTTCCTGTTGCTAAAGTTCTATTTCGCTTATTAAACAGATGGCTTCGTCTCAATTTGAATCATTTGAATTAAACGCCTCCTCTTCTAACGTCATCCATCGTCAATCATCGGATATTGATTTTCCTTCCCGGGGAACTAATTAGCAATTTCAATCGGCAATTACCGCCGGAATTTGAATAATGGTTGATGTTCGTCTCAAGTTTGATCTTCTCCAATTTCCCAAAGTTAAATAATTCGAAACTTTGTTACATAACATAATTTAATAAGTTAAAAAAATTTTTGTTGTGTATTGTTTAAAAAATAAAAATTTTCCTCTTGTTTTGTAATTATAACCTTAATGATTATTCAACGAAAATTGGATGCCTCAGGATTAAATATTAATTAATGCTCGGGTATACGCAGGAACCTCCGCTCATCATCTGGAGGTATCATTTATCATTTATAATTAATTCCGTGAGATTAACCGAAAAACAAAAAGAATTCAGTTTGCCCAACCTTTTCTTAATGATTGGGATCGTACAACTATTAATTTATGTGTGTGTGCGATATGTATTTTTGATAAACAACACAGGTGTTCGCTCAAATTAATCTTATCTTTAAAAAAAATCCATTGCATTATTTATCGAAACACGTAAATCTAAATGAAATCAATAAAATCGTAAAAAAGTAAGAATAGAAACTTAAATTATGTACATTTAAACATGGTATATTAAATTCGCGCAATTATTAGGTACTCGAATCGAGCATTTGCATACGCGATGATGGGCCATTACGACGTCGTACGGCGAAGTAAATCTGCTTGAAGTAGTCCTTCACTAAAGAAAAAAGCGGGTGCACTGCACAGTTGGCGTTAAAAAAAAGAAAACACCCGTACAACGCCATTCGTAGATAATTAGACCCACTTTAGGTCACCGTCGAGTGCTAGTAGACCGCGGCGATTCCTTGCTTGCATGATTTTCTTTAAACCTTTGTTATTTAATAATTTGACAAAAGAAAGTTTTGTTTTTGTGTTATTATATGTGTTAATTAATTATCGTACCCGACGTCATCATTGCAAGTATGCAACCAACATCACAGTGCAATACGCATCATACGCAAATCGCGTATTGCAATACCACTACTGTGATATTGGTTGCATACTTGCAATGATGACACCGAGTACAATAATTAATTAACACACTGTATTTGAATATTATCGATATTAAAAAAAAAATTCCTTGACCGAATTCTACTCAAGTAGGTTGGCACGGTGCCAAGAACCGGAAGGATTTCGTTTCACGTGAAAATTGGAATTCTTGGTTAAAAATTGAACTCTGATTGAAGAAAGTTATAAATCGCGATCTCAATGTATAAGTTAATAGGCGAATTCAATGAATGAATGAGTTCTTCTAAGTTTTAATAGATGATTTTTTTGAAATAGACGAATTGTACAGTCCGGGTTCTAGTGCATGAGTAAAGGTACCCTAATGCATGAAAATGGAGACCATTAAAATGAATACGTTTCCAAGCGAGGATGTTCTCGATCTCGTGCATGGCCGTGCCTTGTTGGGAAAAGGTGCGCGGAACGTAATTGGCATGCGAAATGGACGGTATAGGAAGGAGAGATAGAGATGTATTCATTTTAATTGCAGTCGACGGAGAGGGAAAGCTCGCAATGGAAGCCGTCCAGGCGCAGCAAATCGGAAGGTCCAGCCCGGTCCACGACGTTGACGCGGTCGGAAAGGCGGCGGGATTCGGACCCGGACTTGGAAAACACGGTAATGTCGAAAATAGGTCGAAACCATCGGGTAAGCTAAGATTCGGTCCAGAAAGGTTGAGATGAGTAGTTCGTTCGAAAGATTCCTCCCCCTCAAGGTTTAGCTTCGTCCCTTATCGTTTCCGTACACAATTTCGAAACGCAAGCACGGCCGTACATGAGTGACTCATCCACGCAGGGTCGCGATCAGGGTCTACTCCAGAAAGCAATATCCAAGATTAGCACTGAATACAGACTACAATTCGCTTGGCCGCAGGGCCACATGTCGAGACGGGACCAGGAGACCACTCCCAGGAAGTCGCAGTCCATGAACGCTATCAAGCCCCCAGCCAACGCTGTCATCCACAAACGACGTGGCGATCTAGAAAATAAAGATGGTAAGTCCGCACTTTTTATCATTTATCACATCCTCAACGTTTTCTCTTCTATTATAGCAAGCGAATTGGAACCATTAGTAAACGACAATACCATTCATGAATATCACGAAACAGCCAAAGACTTTAACACCGAATATAAGAAAAAATATAGACCTTTCTCGCAATACGATTACGCCGAAGGTAAATTTAAATCTAAACAAGAAGTTCATGATTTAGACGACGAAACAAAGAACGCTTTATTAAATGGTCCTACCAAGGAATCTTGGTACAAAGAAGTCGTTGAATTGAGAAAGAAAGCTGGGGAGTACAGAACTAGAGGACGAGGAACCGACATAACCGGCGATAAAATCACTGACGTTTATAATAAACAAGTTGAACTTTGGGATCAAGTATCTAGAAGGTCTTCACTTTCTGCATTATCTTTAGCTTCAACTACACACAGGTAGTTGAATTATGTCAATCGATTAATCGATACTTATTCATTTTATTTCTTAGGGCATATACTAAAGAAGAAAAAGATCAAGAAAACACTAAAAAAAGTTCACCGACTAAAGCACTAAGAAATGCCGAGAATTCTGCTAGAATGGTAAGGGATATGATACGTCATCACCTTGAAAGAACAACCGGTGGTTCGGAATTTGACGGTTTAATATTATCGCCAACGCGTGAAAAATTGGAACCGACCATACCGCGTAAAGACGATGATATCAGAGGTTCGCAGAAGAATAGTCCGAAGAAAAATTCGCCGCAGAAAGTGTCACTTCAAAAGAAGTCAAAATCAAAGTCTGTTCCTAGAACTGGTAAGCGGTAGATTGAAATCCGTACGTCAGTTGAGACTATTTCCCATGTGTTACTTTAGTTAGGTCCCAATCAGTAGGCCCAGTAGAAGTAAATTACGAAAAGCGCTCGCCCAAGCGCCAATCTCGGTCGGCCACCGTCAAGGAAAAGAAGAGTAGCAGTTCATCGACAACTCGTAGACCTAGGCCTTGTACGTATAAGCATGGGCTGGACAAGTGTGTGCCAAAAATATCGTGTTGTGGCTTTTTAACTTGACTATGACTATCCTTATTCCGTCCAACTATAAGAAAAGAATTGATAATGGTATTTTTTGTAGTAAAAAATCTTATTAAGAAACCGTTATCAATTTCACTATCTTTTAACAGTTTCCACACAATTTCTTCTTAGAGCCCTGCATTTTTTTGGTGTGTTCGCTTATTAGTAACCTATAGTACTGTGCGGTTTTTTCTTAACGTTTCTTCCGGTTTTAGCATCCCTGAACACCACTTCCCGATCTAAAAGTAGACCAGTCCCTTCACAGTCAGAGGACGACCGGTCGGGCAAAACAAAATCAAACAAAGCTCAGTCTAGCCAAAGAGACGCAGCAGACGGAAGCGAAGGTAAGCGAACAGGTGTCCGAGGAGTGGGCCCGACCGTACGCGGTAGGCGGATTTTTGGCACACACGAACGAGAAAGTGCCGGATCGTACAAGCGGGAGGGAAGCGTCCACTGATTGGGACTGTTGACGTTTTCAGCGGAACCTGCTCCCACCGTCGACAGAGCCGAGAAAGAAGAGGAGGAGGCTGTCGAGCCCGAGCCGGAGCCCGAAGTCATTAGCCTAGAACCCGTCGTAAAGTCCCCTCCCGAACCCACCCGGGTTAAGTCGCCCGAGCAGATAATCATGCGTTCCCCCGATCCGGTCAACTGGACCGTTCCGCTCGATACTGGAAAAACCTTTACTGTCACTCAAAATGTCAGAGAAGGTAACTAGAAACAACAATGTTCGGACTTCATCTAATGTGTTGCTCGATAGTTTTCTTTTAGGTAGTTTAGAAACTTTTTTGACTTGCAACACCGGTAAAGAATATATTTCACTTTTCTTAATCATTATCATTCTTTATCTCAGTTCAATTTCAAGGATTTCTTATCTCTTATTTGTGTATATGTCTCAAGCATGCCCAGACATTTTCAGGTGCCTAATTGTTTATTAAGATAAAGCCACCCATAAAATAATTTCTTTTAACCTTTGTCTATTTCAAAGTCAAGCAACGTCTCTTTTTCCCCGTCACCGATGTAATATTAGTTGTCTATTTTGGTTAATTTCTTTTAGACCCTGTATAAAAGTATGATAATAAGAATTCTATTGCTTTATTTTGAAAGAGGACCTTCATCTTTTATTAAATTTATTAAATTAATTAAATTAATAAATCGTTAAGTAGAAGTTTGATAAAGTTTTAATAGGTGTAGTATGTTATAGAATAAGTTCTGACGAGTTTTTCGTAGGTGACATTAGCGCTCGACCACAGAGCGAAGTAAAGGCCTGGACGCCACCGGAAATACCGCCCCCAGTAGCGCAGTCTGCCCCGCCGGAACTGCAACAGCAGAAAGATCAAGGCATGTCACTGTCGTAACTTCGGACCTGATTTCTGCTTACCATATCCGATTTGGTTGTATTGCTTTAGGTATGGATTTAGCAGTCAAAGCATGAACTAAGGGCAGTGCAGTAACAGTTAATTAAACAGGCGAGTACTAGCTGGCAACAGACTTCACTAAAGATAGAATGCCTTGCACGTCGCCTAGTCGCTTAAGTTTTGTTGTAATCAATGCAAAATAATAATAATGTAAATGAGAACGTAAACGTAAGCAGAAAGACTGAAGAGTTTGAACTTCCGGTGGGGCAAACCTCTAGTCTACTGACGTGCCATTTTTACAGCTAGGAGAGGAGGGAACGACGACCCGTCTAATGTAGAACCAGTGGAAACAGGTGCAGAGGAGATCGAGAGACCGATTATCGAGCGGCCCGACGAGGGCTCTAGCTTAGACTGTCCACAGCGCGAATCCTCTAGCACTGCCAAAACTGTTAATCCACTAGCCGAATCGAAGTCATTCGCTTCCGATGTACTCGAGAAAGCGCGTAACCGTTTCGACAACTTTTGGAGGAAGAACTCTAAAGATGAATCTACCTAATTGATATAAGTGTGCGTTAGTATAAGACGTATTGCCTAATCGCCATTTACTCTTGTAACGAATTCAACAACCTCCGGGCACCGTCTCCGCTGGCTCGTGGACGCGACACAGGGCGACGACTGGTCATTTATACGACTTTTGCGCATTGCGCGTTATCTCATTCGAGAATCACTACTCCACTATTTAATAAATCTACTCTGTTATAGGGACGTAAACTACGTCGGCGATTATGACGCCGCCGCTACAATAGCCGTAACTTACAATTAGTTGCCAAACTATTTAGCCGTCGATAGGTTTTGTAAACTGCCCGATTCTGATACAGGGTTAGAGAACGGCGCCCGGAGGATAGCATATACTCCAGATCAACAGTCCATGTTAAATGTTAAAATTAAAATAACGAGTGAATAACAAAACCGTAGTCGGAAGAAGTAATGAGAAAATTAAAAAAAAAAGAATATTTTTCGTTGATTTTAAGCTACTCGACCCGGCCTTATTACTAACTGCTTATGTTCATGCCATCCATATATATTTACATATAATACATATACTGTACGCGTAGAAATGAGAATCGAGAACGTGAGGAAACCGAGCGAACGCATATGGATAACTATTTGGAATTACATCCCATCCGTTGCAGCGCCTACAACACGAGTCCGACCCTCGAAACCCTACCTCGGGTTTTGCTGAGACTGCACTCCGATATTAACTTTCATATATATACTATATTGATAACGTTGATATATTTTGTGTAGTTGCGTTTGCTTGCGAACTTGTTGTTTGTTACTTTAGTTTACATCGAAATGCACTCAAAACTATATGATCTTGCAGTATTAAAATAAATAAAGTTTCTGTTATTAAAACATTTTTCTTTCATAATCCTACAGTCTTTAATTTTATTTCCTTCCCACACTATTAATAATAAACAAAACATCGCCAATAAATACTTGTTCTAAAATCAGATTTAAAACTAATTTATTCCAAAAATGTAATGATATAAAATAGCATCATAAACTATATAGGTATATGCATAGTAACATTAAAATACTAATAAATAAAAGTTGTATTTTTCCGTCAGAATAAAAATAAAGACGTAACTTTTAAACGCGAACGAAGCCAACTGAAAAATGGTCGCGCCGAAGCGTGAAACGGAGAGTTGGTGGATTGGAGAGAATTGCCAGGAACTCAGGCCGCGGCAGTGTTGTGTTGGAATGCTAGCAGTGGCCTCCTCCCGTACTTGTCCCGGATGATGGGGTCGCCGTTCCTGATGTTGAATACTTTAGGTCTCCATCGCAGATGTATTTACCCGAAATGAAACGTCGTTTGACTAGAGACAGACGATAGCCGGGTCCCACCAATTGAAAATCTAAACCGGACAATGTTGTTCCTTCGCAATTAAATTGCGATGAGATTATCGTTGGCGTTAGCGGGCCATCTTGATTCTCCAAGTCGAATCGTGCCAACATTGAACCAACACCGTGATTCTCCGAATGTTGTGATAATTCCGTGTATTTCCACTGAATAAAATTCTTCTCCGAGACCCTAAAACCAAACTTAATAGATTAAAAACAATTTAAATTATATACAACAATACCATTGCGCAGTTGGCTTCGAATTCAAATTCTTTATAGTTCCTTCTATAGGCACAGTAACGGTTACGTTTAGTAATGGAGACGGAGAACTCATCGCGTGCGAATTATATTTATAATCCACTTTGAGACTTGTATGCGATGACTCGCACTTCCAATAAGCAACAAGTTGGAATGGACAGGAATTAGCTCCTGGTTTTGATTTTATCTAAAATGAATAAACAATCAAAAAAGTATTAACAAAAAAAAAATTTATATACTTGATATTTAAGAATATCTACGTTAAAATACGATGCGGTGGGGTTTTGTTCTGATTGTTTTTTTAACAACGCACTTAACGCTGTCATATTAAACTCAATCAATACGCTCTCCCCTCCAATTTGCTTATTATCCCTAAAAAGATTTAAATTAAAATTTAAATACGGTAGTGAAAACATAAAAAAGTACTTACATAGAAACTAATTGTTTATTAGGTACTATATTGCTTAATCGATGGGTATTGCGAACCCTAAATGATAATTTAGCCGGATTTGGATTATTAGCCAATACGGTAACAATACCAGCTGGAAACGATAGCATCATCTCGCCCGACATTTTTACTTGGCACCTAAACATGCTGAAAATGAGTAATAATACCGATATGAAATGTTTAATTACCAACCTAGTCTCGTCGGCTCCGCGAAAATAGGAATGAACAATCTCGTGAAATGCAACCGCTAATGGAATGGTATCGGCCATGCCGATTGTTAAAGGTGAAGGTCCTCGAGAAATCCCGACGGGAACTCCTGCCGTTTTAAATTCAAGACTACCAACGCTATCAGCTCGCGCTATTGGCGCAGGACTTATATGGCCACGAGCATGAGCTTCTGATTTTCGAGACGGCGGTCTTGGAATTGACATATAACCGGATGTTGGTGTCGGTGTTTGTCTTACTTTTGGTGGGGCACTTGATGGAGGTTGGATATCTCCAACTTCGGTAAATAAATCTAATTCTGTTAAATAAAATTTTAAGTAAATTAGATTTGTGTTGTTTTTTTATCTTACCTCCATATCTTGAAGATCCTGATAAAGTTGGGGAATTCAATGTTGGTTGAGATGGGCTTTGTAACGGAGCGTACGGATGTGAACTTGTCGGCGTGGAAGCATTAGAAGCAGCGGGACTTTGAAATAAATTTAATCCAAGTAAATCACTGCTGGGTTTAGCTCCTAATTGTTGAGAAACAGATTGCGATCGTTTCATAGTATTATCTTGACCGTCTAATCCGGATCCTCGACGACCAAGACCTCCACCAACAGGTGAAAGATATATATTTTCAACGGTAGCTCTTAATTCATCAACGGAAGCCGATATCGGAGCAGCACCGTTATTCAACGGTTTAATTTCAACATGAATTCTATTTTTTTCACGATCGTCATCGGAATCAGAATCTGAAGACGAATAAAATCCTCGTTTGTCGTTGTTAGGCCAATGATGTTTCGGTGCTTCCGGTTGGACAGCATATCCTTCAGTATCTAATTCCGGTCCTTCTGGCTCAGCTTCTGCTAACGGAGGGGTTTCTTTTACTTCTTCGCGTTCTTCTCTAAATTTTTATAAATAATTGATACGAAATGAAATGATTTCTAAAAATAAACAAAAATATTTCTTACAAATCAGATTTTTCTTCTTTATTACTTTGATTATCGGAATTGTCCTTTTTCTTTTTCGTTTTCTTCTGCTTAACTTTTTCTCTTCTACTTCTTAAAAACCCTGAAACATAGCCAAACAACAAATCCTATATTAACGACTTTTTTAATTAAACAGGAATTGCGAAAAATCTAAAGAATTTGTTTAATATAATAACCCTTTTCCCACATCCTCTCCAACGCGTTGAAAGATATTGAATTGACGCGCGTCAATTAAGTTAATGTTACCGCTTTATTACTACATCCTATGCACTTACAATCTTTGATGTTACGAGTATCTTTTTTAGACATTTCTTTTTGCGATGCAATCAGAATATGTTGATTGACCTTCTAGGTGTTAACCAATTCAAACTCAAACACCGAGTAACTCGTCGTCGACTTAACGCTCGTTTATCAATTTAATGGGTGAATCATTTTAACTGAAATTATTAGAACTGCCGTGCACCTTTGTTCGAAATGGAATTCTTTTACTACTCGGTATTTTATCAAAAAATATCGACTAACCAATTTCCCTATAAAAGTATCATTTTAACGATAACCTCAAAACTAGAAATTGTGAACAATTTTTTATTGAATTTCATGCATGCGATAGCGATCATTTTTGTTCACAACACAAAATTATTAACATTAATATTATAACATATAGAAGATTTAGAACCATGCACATTAAAATATGAAATATTATAACATTTTTAAGGCGTATGTTTTAAAAAATGCCTTTTCATTGTTTTTTTGGGTATAGGAAAAATGTTAGATACTAGAAAGAGAAACAATTTGAAGCAGCAGTAGCAATAACAATGCTGGAAATATTAAAAAATCTATCTATTGTGATGATTTTCTAAAATAATGAAGACTTAAATCAGAATTATATGACAATGTTAATTAATTATTACAATACTGAAAAATTTTGATTTTAAGAATTAAAAAAATCTAATTAATTATTTTGTAACATTGAAATTAAATTTTCAGTACTGTATAAAGAATTTTTCTATACTGTTCTAAAATATATAACACTTTTTTTTAAATAAATGCGATTCTAATATACAGGGTGCCCTAAGATAATAGACCAACTATAAACTTGGAAATAATAAAAAATACATAATTTCATTATTGATTTTCAAAGTTGTACTTTAATGGATCAAATTTATAGATTTATAATGTGAAATCAAAAAGTTGCGGGTGTAATTTTAAAAAAATCGTTAATTCTCAAAATTTTTTGATGAAATATTGGAGATTTATAAAGTATGATCTTTTTAACGAACAAAACAGAACTTGAAAAACTCTATGCGTACATGAGATAATAATTTTTGAACTCAACCTCAATTTCTTACCATAATTTTTAAAAATCGAATTGTTAAAAATGTTGGTTGTTATAGCGAAACGTATGATCTTTTTCATGAAGAAAACCGTATTTGAAAATCTCTATCCGTTCATGAGATAATAATTTTTGAACTCAACCTCAATTTATAACGTGGGAAAAATTTTGAAAAAATCATAAAAAATCGAATTCTTAAGTTTTCTTAATGATATTTTCGGGGCTTATAGAGAAACGTCATAAAGAAAACCGTATTTGAAAATCTCTATTCGTTTTTAAACTCAACCTCAATTTATAGCGTAAATAATTTCTTACCATAATTTTTAAAAATCGTACAAAATCAAATTGTTAAAATTTTTGGGGGTTATAGCGAAACGTATGATCTTTTTCATAAAGAAAACCGTATCTGAAAAGCTCTATTAGTTCATAAGATAATAATTTTTGAACTCAACCTCAATTTATAACGTAAACAATTTCTTACCATAATTTTTAAAAATCGTATAAAATCGAATGGTTAAAATCTTTGGGGGTTATAGCGAAACGTATTATCTTTTTCATGAACAAAACCGCACTTGAAAATATCGATTCGTTCATGAGATAATAACTCTTGAACGCAACCTCAATTTATAACGTTACCAATTTTTACCATAATTTTTAAAAAATCATATAAAATCGAATTCTTAAGATTTCTTAATAAAATTTTCGGGATTTATAGCGAAATGTATATTCTTTTTCATGGATAAGGCCATATTTGAAAATCTCAATTCGTTCTTGAGATATTAACTTTTGAACTCGACCACAATTTTTATTAATTTTCTTCATAACTAAAGATCGCAATTTATATTAGTTTTTGATGTATTTGAAAATTTATTGAAATCAATGTTTTTTGTTTATTTTTTTACCATTTCCAAGTTTTTTTAATACCCTGTAGAAAAAACGCAGAAAAATAGGAGCATATCAACTGATTTAATAAAAAACTAAAAACTAGATGAAAAATTGCAAAAAATAAATTTTGTTTTGGTATATACAATAGTGCATAAGGTGAGATGCTCCTAAGAAAAAAAAAAATAATTGAGAGGTGTAGAAAAGGTTCAGACCAAATACCGAAATAAATTATTAACGGAATGTGAATAAAAAATAATAAATAGTAAAAGAAAGAGCGTCCGCCAACACAGTGTAAAAATAAAGATAAAAAAATAGGAAGGATGAAAATTGGGGTGGGATTGAAGGTGTGTTGGTGAAATGTTTGGGGGAGGTCGTAAAGAAGCCCTACAGCGACCAACAGAGCGTGCCAGAGGCCACCACCACGAGCCGATGCCCGCAGCATGCACCGTACAAAGAGAACTCAGAATTACACTTGGATCCTCGCTGGGCATTACGCGACATCTGCTGGCCGTCAGCGGAACTTGTCGGACTTGACGGGGCGCTGCTGGGCCCGGCTCGGCCTTCACGTGACCCTGTGAACATAACACAATCCCAAGCCCTCGTTAAGAAGCTGCTACAGCGACACAGTGGGGATTTTGCCTCGACCTTGCACCTCAACAGCAACCTGCACAAACAATTTTTTCAGGAGCAGAGTCGATCAACACCCCCATTGCACGAACGACTCTCCAATAACGTACCCTGGGAGTTAGACATAAACAGATTTAGTAGGGATGTTGTACGACGGGAAGGTTTGGTATGTGTTGGCATAGACTGTGATCCCGACATATCAGGCCCGTTACCTTCTTTCTTTATTGGTTTGGCTGTATCCGGATCTTGGACGGGTGATGTCATTGGTTCTTCCACATCTACCAATCCTAAGAAATTACAAAATATCTATTCATCAAAGTTATCCATTACTTAATCCTTTATTCATCTTGAAGTTCTTGAAGGAAAGTTAGTTGTGCCAAATGATAATAAAACATGAACGAAATAAATTTGAAATGAATGATGAAATTAATTGAGGGATCCTATCTATATTATTTCAAATAAGCAACTACTATTTCCAATAGAAGCTGTTTTTGTATTAAGTTCTTACCTGGTTTCTCAAGTCCTGTATATTTACTTAAAACAAACTGTTCAAGAAGCTGATCAACAGTGAATTCTAAACACTGTTTTCGAAATTCTTGGTGAACTTGACCGACAGCTTCGTGTGTCCATAACAATAACTGAGCGTAAGTGTTGAGGAATTCTTTCATTTGTACCAAATGGGCTTCTTCCAATTCTTGGAAGTGTTTACATGTTACCGACATTTTTTTCTCAAAATCGCTTTTCGTTGAACCATATTTTTCTACAAACGATCTATAATCTTCCTGGGATTTTTTCAACTTTACTTCAGCTTTTTCTATTTCTTTAGGCGACGAGTTTTCTTTTTTAAGCTTCTCTACTTCCACACCTCTTTGTGTGTAAAGGTCTTTCGTCTTTTGTACCATTATTGTTATTGATTGCATTGCTTGTACAGCTTCTAAAGTACCCGATTCATCTTCTTTCACCTAACAATTATAAAAAAATTTTATTTTATTATTTATACAGTGTGACAAAATGTTATAGAAGGAAAGTTGCTTCACACTTAATATTCTATTAGCTGGCATATTTAAAAAAGAAAGTGAGGGAGACTCGTAGATTATTAAATGTGTAAGAATTTTTTATAAGAAGGTTTTGTCCAATTGAATTTAAATATCAAAACCTCCTACAACTTTTATTTTAAGAATAAGCTGTTAACAGAGGAAGTTGATAATTACAGAAAAAGATAAAAGAAGAGAGGAGATATATATATATATATATATATATACGTAAATGAAATAATAATGCCAACAAACTCATAAAATAAACTAAAGAGATAAAGATAAGTTTTGAACACTCAATTTGCGCATTTTATTCAAAGTTTATTTGTGTTTTAAATGTATATAAGAAATAGTCAGTTTGTTGATAAGATTAGTAGCATTAATTGAAAAGAGAAAAAAACTTTATCACTACTACAGGATTTATCTATAAATATAAATGGGAGTTAAAGGAAAATTTTAGAGCATAACAAAATGTATGAATAATGAACTTACTGATTTATGTTTTTTATGTAATTCTTCTGCATATTTACTAACTTCCTTGACTAGATCAGTAACCTTTTGTACCATTTGAATATGAAGCAGGGATAACTTTTCTGCAAAGGCCTTAAGAACCTGCCAAAGAGGCGCAAAAGTTCCTTGAGTACAGCAGCTGCCTGCTTGTTTAGCAAGCTTAGCAAGTAATTTGGAGTTGTTCTCTTCCAAATTAGAAACTTCCCTGAGGAAGTCGGCCAATTCTTTGCTTGCAACCAACCCATATTTCATGTTATGATAGAGCACGTCGAACCCATTGTTTTTGGCCCCCTAAAAAAATAAAATCCTTCATAATAAGTTTATGGTTATAAATTAACTACGTTAAAGCAACGTTGCCAAGCCTACTAACACTATTCCTCATTAAATGCTTATTTCATACAACAGCAAAACATTAAAAAATAATAAATCGAAAATCAACGATCGTGAAGCGATTAAATCATATAAAGTTGGGCTATGAGGCCCCCTCGAAACGTAACTTACCCAAAAGTAATCATTGAAGTCCACCGTCATTTTTTCGTCAATATCGATGTAACTTTCGACGCGCAATCAACCACCCCATTAACGGAACACGAAACTCATCGTTATAACGCACCTTAACACCAAACAAAAAATCCAAGAACTGTCTAATATACTCTAAATGTTCTCATAACACGAGGGGGCGGATCATAACACAATTCCACTTTACCAATTCATCGTCAGATGGCTCCACCTTCAAACATATTCATCCTATATACTAAAGAAACGAAAACGACTAAAGTTGATATAACGGAAAACACACTGAGAGAGTGGGACTCCAACTCACAAAAAGAAATTAAATTAAAGAAAGAGATAAAGATATTGGGTATTTCCATCTTGTTCTTTTATATAGAAATTTTGAAACAACTCCTTTAACGTTTCAACTTTGTGTATATTTGGTTGTCTATATTATTATATTTTAAATTCTGCCATTTATACTAATGACGGTTTCACCTACTTTTCACATTATTGTATTTTTCTCGATATTTAGGCATCGGGGCGCAAAAGTGATAAAGAGCAATATTGGTAAGAATAAAATTTGCTATACTAAAACTTTTTTTTTTATCAACAAAACGACGATTTCACCTACATTTGACATTTTCGCATTTTTATCGATATTTATGCATCTGAGAGCAAGGTTGGCCAAAAATGCAGTGGGTTGTTAATTGAACTCAACCTCAAAATGAATCAACTCAATCCTTAAGGAAGTCACAGCTGCGCAAGTAGTTGGGTCGGGTTGCTTTTGGAATCTAGCAACCTAACCCAACTACTAAGTAATCCTAAGCAACCTAAGTCTACCCCAAAGTAAGCCAACCCAAGCCAAGACAAATTCAACTCAAAAGTAAGCAAATCGCAAAGTTTAATTTCAAAATCATCTTCTTTTAATTATTGATATTTTATTAAATAATAAGATTAAGTGGTATTTTACAATTTTTTATGGTTATTAATAAAGATAGCTATTGTTATAAAAATAAAAAAACATAAAATTCAAGTTCGATAAAAAAATTTATTAATTATTAAGCCAACTCAACCCCGAAGCAAGTCACAGCTGCGCAAGTGGCTGGGTTGGGTTGCTTTTGGAATCTAGCAACCCAACCCAACCACTAAGTAATCCTAAGCAACCCAAGTCTACCCCAAAGTAAGCCAACCCAACCCAAGACAAATTCAACTCAAAAGTAAGCAAATCGCAAAGTTTAATTTCAAAATCATCTTCTTTTAATTATTGATATTTTATTAAATATTAAGATTAAGTGGTATTTTACAATTTTTTATAGTTATTAATAAAGATAGTTATTGTTATAAAAATAAAACTCATAAAATTCATGTTCGGTAAAAAAAATTTATTAATTATTAAGCGAAAAAAATTTCAAGTTAACGGTATCATATAAATATATACAACATAAATAACTGTGTAGAATGCCATACACTATCGTACTACAAAAAAAAACAATTATATTCGAAGTCCATCACATACGATTAGATTATTGAAAAATAAAAAAAAAGTCTAGACACCTAGTGCCCACGGACTAGAACAAAAATAAAGATACATGTAGAGTCGACAGCTATAAGTCGCGAGAGTGCGTTTCCCTTCACCGTCATAAGTCATAACGCAAACTAACTGAGTGTACGCTATTGAGATAATAAAAAAAAGGAGTAGGTTTAATAAAAACGAAAAAAAAAATGTATACGCATATATGGAAAGTAAATATGAGAGTACATAAGTAGCAAAAAAACTATTAAAGGAGCGAAATGCATACAAATACATTCGAGAACGTACGTCCCTACGTAAGTAAAATGGTAAAATAGCGAAACAACGAATGGATAGGTTGACTTGTTAGTTGGCTATGTACCATTTACGAGGATACCTCTGACCGCCGACAGCATTCTCAAACAACAACAACATTTCAACAGTCTCACTTATAATTAGTAATAATAATAACAATATCATCGGACTGGCCAATCCGTGGCTAACCATTCGTAAAAAAAAGCCAGTTAGCTCATATTTACTTGACTATGCGCCAAGACGAGAATATCTTTTTTTTCTTTTGGGAAACGTAGTTCTCTTCCCGCCAGTCTTGCAGACTCCAGTTCTCTTTCAGCCTGGTTTAACTCCCTCCTAAGTGCTCCTGCACATTCTTGTTCTCTTGCAATCCAATCTAACGCCATTTGTGATCTCATATCATCATCTAAGGCTCTATTGGAATAGTGAGCGACAACTTCCTGCCGACTACATTGCCTCTCCCTCATCGCCTTTAAGCTACCATTCCAATGGAGTAATTGAAAAACTGTCATTAGTTCTTGAAACTCCAACATTGTTCTACCTTTATTCGATTCCAACATAAATCTAAACGCCCCTATTCCCGTATTAGGATTATCAGCTTCCTCTTGATCCCCTTTGAACGATGATCTCGCCTCCGACACTGCTTTTTCGATGAAGTCATCCGAAATTCTTCTAGAAGGATGCTCGTTGAATACTGAATTCATTAAGGCTATTTTTGCGGCGCTCCGTCTTGCTTCTGCTTTTGTTGGACAATTCTATATATTATTGAAAAAATGAGAAAAAATTATATGTATGATTAATTGCGGGTCATTATTCAGATTAAATCGGTAGGCGGCGATTGAAACAAGTTTAAACGTTGCGTAATGTTCTATTTTAAAGTTAAGGATATACGTTTTGGAGGTAATACAGGAAAGAAAGTTGATAGAGGATTATGTAATATATTTGAAAGTTTTAACAATAACATTTATATGAGAAGTGATTAAATTGAGTAAACCGAAAAAACCCTCGAAAGAAAATTAATGAATGGTAGTGAATACGAATAATATTTACTACCATTCATTATTTATTGCAACGTGGAACTTAGTGTACAGGTCTGGTCAACGAGAACCTTTATGCATCGCCATTCATGACTAACACGACGTGACGAAACGGCTAAAAAGCTCGTCTCGAATTATTTTAATAAGCGCCTCGCTAGAACACAAAGCCCGAGCTGGACCTATTATGTGCGAGCCCCTGGATACAAAGGGTCTTTTCATGACCGCGCTGTGAGATGTTTGGCTTTCGAATTAGGAGTTACCTGGAAGCTTCCAAAGCACGAACCGCCCGGAAGCGTGACGTAACAGACGTATGGCTGCGAGTTCGAGGGCACCGATTCATAAATTACCAAGGCGCCGTTGCGCAGGTCCGCACCTCTCGCTTGTTTCATCTGCCAGAATTCTTGTAGGGCCTCGACCACATTCACTAGATAATAAAAAAAAGAATCATAAAAAAATGATGTTGTCAATCGTTGAAGGATAAAAAAAGCGGAAAGGATGTCACGAGAACACCTTTATTTGTTAATTTTGGCGTGAAGTCACGTCGAGCCGAATGTCACACGAGCCGTAAACGCACGGTCGACAATCGTTTGACATATAAGCGGTCGTAAAACGATTTTCGACCGGAACGACTCTCGCGAATTCAAATGCTACGGAACATTTGCCGGGACGTTTAGTGCGGTCATAAAACACCTTAATATAACCTGTAATCTGACTCCGAAACGCGGCATACGTCATTTACAATTGACGAATTTATGTTGTTATTGAAACATGCTTACCATTCATCTCGCGAAATCATATTTGTTTTGCATTTTTATTAAAAACAAAAATTTTATTCGTAATGTATTATGTATACATCTTGCGGACAGTAGCAAATAATTAAACGGAGACGCGTAGGATGGATATACAGTTAATTAAAAATATGTAAATAAGTATACGTTGGTGGAATGTTGTAGGATACATAATTAAATTGTAAATATCAATGTATCTACTTCAAGAATATACCTACATATATTGCGATAATAGTTAGAAATGAAATAAATGATACTTGAACTTAGTAGCTAGAGTAAGTATATAGACGTAATAAAAAAAGAATTTTATGGGGTTATAACCCGGAAACTATGTGTAAAATTTTAATTGCGACCGTAAATGGCAAAGTTATTAGAAATAGTTAATGGTTTCTTATACACATTAGTATCATTTGAAAAAATATAGGGGTAAGTTTTAATAAATTTAAAGTCGGTGTATACGAGTTTTGGTATCTCGCTTCCAGATTAGGCAACTCGCGCTGGTACATACATCCGTTTTGGGAAAAAGGGCCAAGAGCGCCCGAGACCCGAAACAAAGCGCGGCGAGTTTTTAAACTTTTAATGGGCCGAGTTACAGTTCAAACGAAATTTATGCCGCGTGTGCAACTTTTTTGCCGTCTGCCAATGTCCGGCGCGGCGGAGAGGACCGAGGACACAGGTTCGAAAGGATCCCACACCGGTTTTGCGCTCATCCGCGGGTCCGAGGCATGTTTTAGGGATCGGCGGAGAGGTAAGACGGGGGTAGGTCGAAATTGTCGTGGTCGTCGTCGTCGACATACCGCGATATCCGGCGTCTTCGTACAGTTGGAGCATGGGCGTAGTGGTCGAGCACGTCCATTGAGGGTCCGGGTAGACCATCATATCGTACGGATCGCGCCCGGGACACGCACCTCGCATCAATGGACACCGCACGGAGGCTCGTTGAGACACATTCTGTTGCTATGGGGACGGTCCGCGTCGTTTCGCGGCCGGTGCCGAAGAGTTAGACCCGAAGAACTTGTACTACTAGTAGCGGAGTTGCCAGTCAACTCCGTTCAACTCGTCAACGGACGGGCAACGCGGGTTCGGTAATTTGCGAGATGATTGCCACGGGGACTGCTTCCACTTGCCACTTGTCACAATGCACTCCTCCGGCCCTCGGACGTCGTATTCCTTCTCAAGTGAATAGACACTTTTGCTACGTGAGCAACCTCTTTGTCAGCGAGCGAGAGACCGAACGGCCGAACGGGTCGTCGTCGGGTTCACGTCCGCCGGTTCAGTTTGCCCACTCGGTTTCTCACGACTACTACGCTACCTTTGTGTTTTCGATTTTATTATCGAATTTGTTAAGAGGCCGCCGCGAACCTCCTCTCCCGCTCAACTCCCCACCTCTCCTTCACCACCTCCTGCTTCTCCACCTCTTCCTCTTGATCTTTCCCCCCCTTGCCCCGTTCCTGTCTCTTCACTCTTGTGTTCTCCTTCCACCTTACCTCTACCTGTTCATCGTTGGTCTTTTGTCGCCCTCCGGATCGCTTCGACTTTGTCAACTGGCGCGACAAATTCTTTTCTAAAACTACTAGGTACCTAATGAATGGCAGCAGCCGCCGGATGTGCTCTTAACTTCTTACCGACCTCCTATCCAACTATCCACTTGCCCTCCTATCGGGATAGCTCTCGCTCCTGCCAGATTACTACTTTCCGTTGAAACTCGTCACACCTTGTGCGCACCTGAGTTGCCTGACTTTATACGTTAACAAGTTCGTAACACTCGTATCGGATGATCTATGAGGTCATTCTTCCTAAAAGACCTCATCTATCTCGGTTGATCTTTTGAGACCAAATTATCAGGTGTTTATCATGAAACCACCAAGATTGTCAGATTTCATTATTATTAAGATAATTTATTCCCCATTACACAATTCGAACTAAAATTTATAATTTAACGTCAACGAAATACACCTATTATAGTTAAGTCAGAAGTTTTACGAGATCCCCCTCGTTCCAAGAACTACTTATAGGAAATCTAAATCCTTCACATGGCGAGAACTGCTAAGTGAGTGAAAACTGGTATTTTTACTGCATCACCATTCATCTTATAAAGCTTACGAGTTTATTATGATCAGATCATACCGTTTACGAGGTCGCTCTCGTTCCAGGAACTAGATAAACGATCTCAAAGGATCACTCGTTGTGTTCATCGTTCCAAAGAGGAGAGTGCTACTTTTACTGGTTAGGAGATCCACTTTCAACTCGTTCTCATTGCAACTGATACTTCTTTATATTTTACGGTCCGTATCTTCAAATCTTGTTCAACAGATTGGAATTTAATTTTTGATTAACTTTAAAAAATGTTAGTGTTAGTTGTTTTATACTGTGCGGAAACGGTAAAGATATATTATCTTGATGGATCGTGAGAATAAAACGTCCCAGATTTCGGTGAGCTCCTTCTGCAACCGAGACCTGCGATGACTGCGGATGGCGCCCCCACCGCCATCCGTAGAGCACACCGCCGCCGCCACGCTCTCATAAACCATTTGCATCGGTCTCGCAAGCAATTAACAAGCCAAGGAGAATTCTTGGTCCACCGCGGCGTTGCCAAGCAAGCGGATGGCAGAGCGCATAAATTCCGTATCAAACGGCTTATTTGAGTTTGGGACCCGAAAAAGAAGACGCGCCCGCAGGTGAACGAACCGATCCTTAGCGCCCCATTGGTTGCGCTGGCCGCGGGAGTAATGAAATTTGATATTTTACGATTCCTGGGAACACCGTCGACGTATTGCGTCGTAATTCGACGCTTATTATTTACTTTGTTCGTGGAGGGTCCTTACGTTCACGTACCCACGGGTTATAATTAAATGTCAATCTAAATACGATTGTTTTAAAAGGTCCTTATTTCTCTATTCCACTGGGAATGTGGGAATAAAAATGAAATTTCTTCTCTACAAAGTTTATTTTATTAACAAATCGTAAAAAGTAAAAAAAAGAAGTTATTTGGTCTTTTTTCTGCGCGCATTAGCCAAAGGAACTTGATAAATAACTATAGCAGTGGTAACAGCTTCTATGCGATCACAAGAAAATCACCAATTTTAAACAATATCATTGGATGCGACGTTATCAAATCCGTTAATAGGCGGCTTTGTTACTTCCGCCGTGTACGATTTCTTCCGAAGCTTCTTATCTATATGACTCCTGAATAATTGTATGCAACACGAAAATATGTGTAGCACGATTAAGAACACTAATACCAAAACGCATACTATGGTAGTTTTCCCTGGTTTTCCCCAATCTAATACTGGATAAATAAATGGCTCTTCATTCCTAAATAATACAAAAATTAAAATTATGTATTAAATTGAATTTCTTTTCTATATCTTAATTTGAATTTTCGCGAGTAAAAATGTTTAAATTCATAAGTGACGTAAAAATGTGCTATGGTTATAGAAAACGTAACCGCAACTTTTTTCATTGAACGGTTGCCGAGATATCAATCTTCAAAGTAACCTATTTCGAACTGTAAATTGAGGGGTTTCGGGTTTTGGAAACAATGGTGGTACTGTTACGATAGTAAATGATGGAGCTATAAAAAATAATCGATTGGATTTGCTATTTTATGATATAATCATTATGACATTTTCAAGATAAAATATAGAGCAGAAATTCAATTTTTTCTTAAAATATTACCTTGAAGTTCCACCACAAAGATGGTAAATAATACTGAATACGATATATACTATGCCAAATAACACAGACCAATAACATTGTACAAGGTACAAAGGATGTGCGACTACAAATAAGTCGATTAACATTACAAGCGAGTTGGTACCATGTACAAATATGTTTTGAGCATCAACTTCCATTTTGGTTTCTACAAAAATAAAAAGAAAACGAATGAAATCATATAAAATATAAAACGAGCATCGCTTAAGCGGATTATATCGTAGTTGACAGGAAATTAAATGCGCCAAGCCAAATGGAAGTAATCGCGTTGTATAAAGAGGATTTTAAACTAGTTGATGGAAGCATTAGATGTTTAAATAAAAATAAAATATAGTGCAGATTCAATTTAATCCCGCTACTCGAAACGGTTTAATTGTCTAGTGTTCGTGACGTTAAGTCTCGGTGGTGACCAGTTAACATCGATTGGACAATTGGCAATCATTGTAATAAATTGTAGTTCAATGTCTTTACAGTTTTTAGGTTGCACCTAAGATTTATACGTTAATTTAAAATAACTCTTGTTGACCTCGTTTCATACCTCCGTATCGATTAGGTTGGTCGCATGCCCGTTTTCTTAGTAATTTGCATAAATAATGTTTCTTAGTTTTAATACTTTTTAAATCTTTGTACGCAACAAAGTGTAATAAATATTTATAACCGGAAACAAAATGTTTGGCACAAAAAAAGAAATCAAACACGTTATATAGTATTTTGCATATTGCCGTTTACTATTCATTCTGGCGTTTTGATTGTGAGATCTGATTTATGCGTAGTACCAGAGTATAATACATTTTACTGCTTTATTATCGATTGAATTCCTTTGCGTTATATTTAATTTATACGTTGCAAAACGAAAAAATAATTTTGTCAACAATGTTACCATAAAAAGTTAATAAACATCTGATAACACTAATCCAATTATATGGGTGATTAAATAACTTTGTTAACCTCGAAAATTAAAATACAATAATGAATTTAAAAATTATAATTCAGTTATTGCTTAATCACGATTAATTAAATGTCCATGTGAAGCACCACCTTCTCGCGTTCCCGAGCTCACGTGTCGAATATATTTTGTTTAATAGTTTAATTGGTCCATACCGAAGAGAACCGAGTCTTTAAGTTTAAATTTTCTTAATTAAAGACAATAGGACAGATGATTCCGAAATTATTCTCCGAAAAGTCATCAAAAAATGTATCTATTTTTTAAATTACTACCATGATTTAGACATATCGAAGTTAATAAGCATACAATTCCCTATTGTAATATAACACGTGATTAGTTACTTTTTACCGGTTTTATCAAGGTTATTATAACCTTTCGCTCATTACAATAAATGTGCATAAAAGTTCTTACCATCATATAATAAAGCCCAATAAAGGACGGTTATACCAAATGCAACATCAGTTGCAATTATATTCATAACCCAATACATCCTATAAGTAGCAGAAGTCCATACACTACCCCCAAATCTTTTAAATTGACAGTACCAGATTGTCAGGGTTAGAGCGCATAGAAGTGATTGAAGGAAGCACAATGAGTAACCCCAATTAGTCAAATAAATCATCCATTTCGCGCGAAAATGAATACTTTTATCTAAATGTTTTGGATCTATCACAGAGAGTAGCCAGGTGCCAAATAGGAATGCTGTCAGTAACCATCGATACAATATATATAACAAACTCGGCCTATCATCTTTTTGCCACTACAAAAAAGAATTTTAAAAAATGATCGTTTTTCTCATTATTCTTACCTGAGATTTAAAAAATATTTGAGGATCATGAAATTGCATTAAAAACCTATGCCTGGCAAACTGCCTTTTCCATAACTTCAACATCATATCCTGGAACATTTTAAAAACTAAATTTAAAATCAATCGTTCCGGTCAGAAGAAGATTCAGCGCGCTCGCGTAGTGGCAATTGCTAATAATTGTTTTAATTTCACGTGTGACTTTTGACCGGCCGAATAGTTTTCGCGTACGTTCTATGAAAAAATAACAAAAAATGCCGTTAAACCGTTCCGGTAATTGAGGCAAAGAGCGGATTTTGCGAATTGGTATGATCACGTCGTAATCCGACGCGTAACGACGCTGTCTGCGTTACTTCGAACACCACGTCCTGTATATATATGCAAAAGTGAAATTTTATTACACAATGTCATTTTCTTGTCCTTGTGTAGACAATTTTCAAAACTTTTTTAAATAAATTTAATTGTATTGATTTATAAAAACTATTTTAAGTATTAATTTTTTAAATTTAAATTAAATTTAAATAAAAATTATTTGGTATAATTTTATTCTTACCTTATTATAATTATAATATAATCACGATTTATTCTAACTACTCGAATTTTGGAACAATACCAGACGTAACAGTCTTCCGGTAACGAATGCACACCTCCGGCAACCACGTTCGTTACAATTAACCCCCTCGTGCGGATTCACCTTGCGCATGCTATCTGGCGTGAATCGTACAAGAGTGCACCGAATGGTAGCGGTCTTCTTATCTGGCCAATTGTTTCGGCAAAGTTAAGTATTATCGCACGGCTCAATTCGGAGAGGATTAACTGTAATACACCTATTGTATTAATCGCGATAGGGTATCATGTAACATATATATAATGAGTTTGCGGAAATTTCCTAGGACTGTTTTTTTTATTTTGCAAACGCGCCACTTTGCCCATGATAAAATATCAACTGCGCCGGTTCTTTTTAAACGCCTATTCTTCAATGATTATTTAGAATGGAATCGTATTGTGGAGTACTTAAAGTAATAAAAGAGTTGATGGATCGTATTGGTAGTACGTTCACCTACACGATTTTTCCATTATCAAATTTAAAATATTGAAAAGAAACTTACCTTACTTATTTTATGCGTGATTTTTTTCTGGTTAGAAGTAAATTGAGTTTTTTTTTCTAATCAATAGTCGTCCTTGTAAACCATCGATTGGCGTAAGAATGGTTCGACATTTTCCCCACCAATCCGGCAGCTGCTTTAGGGTTGAACGTGGGGTATCACAGTTGAATGAATGCGGAATTAATTTTAGGACACAAAGTTAGCACGCAATTTTTTTCGATTTTCAAAAAAGAAAATTAGGTATTACCGTCCGTTTCGTGGACTGTATGGTTCTAAATTTAACTAACTATCACGGTAACGATTTTTTTTTAGATTTTCTAGGATGTATAGTATAATAAATAAATGGAAAAAAATATGTTTAAAAGTTTATTAAATAAAGCTGTAATTCTAAATAGTCGCTTATCAATAATAACTTAGTAGCAAACGCATCTCGCGTTACTATTGCACAATGAATACGGAAATTTCCTATGCTCTACACCAGTCGTATACCAATTAAGGCTAGAACATGTGGTACAAAGATATTGTCCCACGTTTGAAAAATTTTATAATAAAATAACTGTAATAGTATAAAAAAGATCATCAAATAAAATAAAAATCTATACTATACTCGCGATCATGTGAATGTCAATCACAACCTAGTTGCCCTGATGATGGCAAAGAAAAATAATATAAAAATAAGAAACAATACTCCCGATTAAAAATTAAATTAATAATAATAGATGTCGACGTGGACTGGAAGAAGGAACAGATCGAATGTGTACTTAATAAATACTTAATTACATCACTTGTAAAATTTGGCTAGCTTCGAAGGCGGTGCCTGGAAGCAGGATCACCGGCGTGGACACATGTCCAGCTTCGATGCATATCATATTCGGGTATTCATCATCCCCAAAATCAGCCGTCTCCTTCGCTTGATCAACCCAAGGATTCCAAACAACCGTATCCGGAAAATTATATTTCTGGATGCGCATCTTACGCCCCGACACAACATTAGTGATGATATGCTCCTGGGGAGTATTCTGATAGATCCTATCAGTCCATTCACAAATCGTCACCACATCTCGCCCTTCCTGATAAATTGCCCCATCTCTTGTCTTATCAACAAATGTACAACCATGCAAACCCGTTATTTGGCATCGTCGTACATCAGGCACCTTGAAGTAGGTGTGCAACAGCATATTGAAACTGAACGTTATATCCTTACTTGGATTGAATATCGCTATATTAAAATGCAGTTCCTTTTCACGCAATATCAAGCGGTATGTTAGGCGGAATCTTTAAAAAAAAGAAACTTGTATATATCTTTTTCTTAAAATATTAATCTAAGTACAAAATAATAATAATAATTGAAAGAAGATTATTTAGAGATTTATAAAACAAGAATTGTCTTACAATGAATCACGAGTATGAAATAATCGCCTCATTACGAATTTTAATAAATTGCACATTTTATAGTTGATTGGCAAATAATATGAGTTAATTATAGAACAAGTATAGACGATTCTTCAAACTTATTATATAAACACATATTGCGCGGGAAGCGACTAAAGTCGTTTTGCGCGGATTTCACATCTTTAGCGGGAAGCGACTAAACTCGTTTTGCATGGTAGTGATGCCCGATACACGGTAAGACTTTGGCGGCGCAAAATGTGTTAAAAACAATGATGTAAGCGTTGTATAAATAAAAATATAATGTATAACAATAATTAAAATAGCGCCTAAAAATCAGCTTAAAAGCGTCTATATCCGGAGCCAAATTTAATAGTGTTTTGACACCATTAATCATTACATGATGTATGCTAAGGCAACGTAGTATGTCTAGGATTTGATGTTCTTGCATCATGTTGCTTGTACAACTACTTGGAGTACATCTTTCGGCCTTATTTTTGGATTTATCATCATAATCATTATTTCCTTGAAATCCAGTTTCTCATTAATCTCCAGTGCTCTTAAAAATTGTATTAAAATGTTTTTGATCATCATAAATAACATTGAGGTTGTGGAAACTTGAGTAACGACGAATTGGGGAAGTTCATCTCAACAATAATCAACTTTTATTGTGGTTAAGTATCGGAACAATTCTAAATTTAGAAGTAAAATCATCTCCAATAATTAATGAAAGCGCATCTAGTACAAAGAATGTGCTGAAGCTATAAATTAGATAATATTGTGCATACTTAGTTAAATATTTTCAAAGTACCAAATTAATGCAAAAATTTGTGAATCATTGCAGGTAAAGTGGTCTTTCTGAACAAGGTACAACAGAAGTTTATTAAGATAAAATGTTCCTTCTGCCAAATTATAGTGATATGCCAAGTTTTAGAAATTTAAAAAATAATATAATTTTTTTTTAATCCATTCGAACAATAATCGTCGGCTGCAATATATAATATGTTCATCAATTTTGAAAGGATATGGGATTAATAGAACTCCTTGGCATCAAGCGATTTCGATATAATCAGATTCTCCTCACTAAGTCTTGCTATAATATTAATTTCAAAGCATAACTTAGCTTAATCAGGTAAAATAACATATTCCCCATAGTAAGCTTAATCAATGTTGGTTGTGGTTAAATCTTTGTAATATTTTGACCACCTAGTAATCCTAATATCCAATCCTAATAAGTAACAATTTGTAATATGTGCAATAGTTAAAAAAGAAAGAAGTCAAGGTTTCTCTATTAACTTTATAACTTAACTCAGTGGGGTTTAGAGTTAATAAAATATCTTACGGAGAGCTCCACATGGATCTGGTGAAATCAGTATCCATAAGTGAAAAAATAGCCTCAACATCTCCACTGGAGAGACGTTCAGGCGCTTTTTCCAAGTTCCATCTAATGATGCGAGCAAATCCATGTTGGGGGCCAAATGCCCAAGGTCCAAATTGAGCTGAAATAAAATGTAATGAAAAAATTTGTGATGATGAAATTGTATTAACTTACGAAAAACGAAAGGAATCCCACCCCTGATGGGTTTCTTTCCATCAAAGACGGCTTGTTTGCTGTAAATTTTTATATTATTAAGGTAATTAATAATTTTTAATAATTAATTACCTGACAAATAATTGTTCTTGATTGTTAACCCTCCAAGAAACGACAGTAGCACCTTTAAAATAAAATTAGAAATAATTAATTTTTGTATAGACAACCTGAAAAAGTTGACAAAGTAATGTCTTGGTATGAAAACAAGTGAATAGGATATGAATTCGAGTGTAAACAAAAAAAAGTTAGGTTATGTCGAGTTTTTTCAAGCATTTTTTTTAACGGTTTTGTAAAAACATAAGAATTCCATTGAAAATCGACTTTTATTTGTAGCAGAACATATGTAAAAGCGAAAAACGTCTATTTACCGTGTAAATTAATAGTACATGTCGTGTTATTTCCTCTGTCCAGAACGACAACACTGGTAGCGGCCATCTCAAAAGCTCTATCCTTTCTTTACACGCACTTCAACACTTTTACACTTTTCTACCTGCGCGGTCAGTAGACAGGTACTACGTCCCTCTATCGGTAAAAAAAATCAGTGCATGTACTTGGCATAAACCCTCCACTTGCTACTAGATCGGGATGTAGTTTTCGTGTCCACCTTCAACTCTCTAACTGATGTGGAATAGCGACGCGGCCACTTTTTTGTGCATCTTTACAAAAAACTAAATTATTCCAGCCCCGGCCGAGCTCCGGCATCATGAAAACAATGCCATCTACCAGCAACAAACCATATTGATCCAACGTACAGAAGACTATTAGTATTTCCACGAGGTTGTTACAACTTACCTTTCATAGATGGCGCTAAATGTCGAGTAAACTTTATCACAATTTTCGATTTTGCTTGTACTTGATTCAATTTTTTTTAAATAAAACAACTTATTTGGATTTTCATATATTTTAATGTACAAATACATAAATTTTGTAGAAACATGATTTAGAGACATGTTCACATATATACTTTCTTCCATAATTGTTCCTATATATGTACAGGATTTAATTTATTTAATTTAATTTTATTTATCTATGGTGTGGGTGTAAGGAACACCGGGAGAGTAACGTGGTACAGATATAACACGTATAACATGCGTTTATAGGTAAAATTTCATTCGAACACCCTCAGGATCAACAACAGTTACGCTACCAAGTATCGATATAAATAATTTATACGATTATTAACGTGGCAATAGATTACGTCTCAATTAGAAATATATGTATGTACAAAAGACGATCGCGTTGAACAACTTATCGAACTAACTTAAATGGTTATATCTCCGTTTATGCCTGCTCGTTTTCACATCCGTCCATTGTCCGTAGCGATTATGAAACACATAATATCAAGGAGGGCGCGTATACCGAGCCGTAAAGTCACAGTAATAAAACGGGTATTCTATTCGCGAAACCATCTATAATTCAGTTTTCATCCGACCTATTTACTATTGTGTATTCCACCATCCCCAAGAACTTGTTTACATCAAATTTTTTATTATTCATAAAGTATATGAAAAGAATTTCCTTAAACATTATCCTTAAATCTTATTTTTCAACATTTCCTTAAAAAAAATGCATTTTTTTTTAACTTTAATGGAAATAATTACCGTAAACTATGTATGTAGAGTCTTGAGAAAAGTATTTCAACATCATACCCTTAGGAAGAAACTCGGTTATGCCGTGAACTTGTTAAAATCTCTTTAAAATAGTTTGTTCAGAAAGTTTCCAAGACTTAATCATAGATGACACTATTCGCATAGCTTTTAAAGTTTAAAGTTTACCAGATATTAGGAAGTTATGAACAACACACCTTTATTAAGAAATCTACTCCTTTAAAATATTTGAGGTATATTTAGAAAATTCTAATTAATTATATTCTGGGAGATGGTTTCATATTCACCCTGTGTTATTTTTTGCATAAACAGTTATTTACAGACAGATTCACTTTCGGGGAATATTTTGTACAAATAAATATAACAGTCACACATACACACTAAGGAAGTCTGGTCCACTCTTAGAAACAGTAGGTACGCTGTCCCGGGCACGTAGACGTTGGTGTCGCGTTGACGGGACCTTGTCTTCTGCCCGGGTACTCTGGTCACCCGTAATAATAATGGCTATTTGCGGATCCGCTTAAACTCCTAGGTACGTCCATTTCAATACTTGGTTTCCTCAGGGTATGATTATGAACCTGGGGATATCTCACCACTTCGGCTATACTCCCCAAGGGTAAAGCAGTGTGAGGACTTAGTACATGAGTTGGTGGTAATGATGGCGTGAGGTCGATGTCAGCATCAACTTCACTAATGTCATCGGTGAATCCGTTAGGGAGTGAATTATCTGTTATGTCGGTTTGTTGAAACTTGGGTTCTTGTTTTGCGTTACGTCTTTGGAGAAGGAGTCTTACCACGAGGATGGTAAGACACAGAACAACCCCGCCGCCCACGCTTATGATTAAATACAAATAAAAGCGTTCTTGATTTTCTGAAAAATTTATTTTTGTTAAAAAAAACTTTTTCTTCGTCAACTGCGTTCTCTTTTGGAATTATTTATTAAACGTGATCAATGAAATGCCGAAAACAGTCAAGAGGTGCTTAATAAATAAACATCCAACTGATAAATATGCATCCATAGATAATGTAGAATTACCACGAGATATCCAACCCTCGCTTAAGCAAGCAAATGGCTCTTGAATTAGTTATAACCTCATTACAGCGTTTATGGTGGCTTTATTGAGTATTTACTTTTGAATCGAAACAACACTGTTTAAATTTGTAATTGCGATTGTTTTCCAAAAGAGAATATTTAACAAAAACCATGCTTTATCATGCTTATAAAGTTATAAAATGCACATTAAGCGGGATTTTTAAAGGATGTTACTTACGTGTAAGAAACCAGTAGGTATTAATCCAATCAGAAACGAATCCTATACCTTTATCGCTATCGGTGCGTTTGGTGGTATTGCAATATCTGAACGGGATATGATCGGCCTGCATGTCTTTGAGGGCTTTGCTTTTTTCTCGGCTGTGGCGGTAATGGGGGCGGTGGGATCGAGGGTAGGACTTGTGGGCGCGAGGCGTGCTTTTTGCTCGGGACGCTAGGGAATCAAAGCTCGCTGCAACGGAAACACGGTTTCAGACGGCCTTCGGTCTCCGAACGTGCGAGGAAGCCGGGCGATTAGCTTTAAAAAGCGGCGGTTCTTCCTAAAGTATGGTAACGTTTACTGCGAACATGCACTGTCCCGTTATTACTACCATAAGGGCTGCTAACCTACATTTTCTTCTGACGTTTTCCTACTAAAACCGTCATACCTTTTTACGGAGAATTTAAAGTTTTTTCATTAAAGATGTTACTGAGAGATTTTACTGCTTTTCTAGAAACTATTGGTCTACTTTTAAGTTGGGATGAAGTATACGGACTCATTCAATTATTTTTAAAGTTGATTCGAAAATAAAATTGCAATTTTAGTTTTATTATTGTTTTTATTTTTCGTATAATTCGTGTCTTAAAATTGAAATTTTACGAATTTGAAGAAAAGACGATCAATTTTCAGAGGGAAACGCGAATCCAATTCGTCCAAAAATCGAACTTGAAGCATTCTCGAATATTTATGAAGTAATCAGGTGGGGCCTTTTAATCCCAACCGAGCGCGAAGTCGGGATACCTGGTGCCTCGCGCGGATATTGGCGTCGCGTATTGAATTCAGAAATTTGTAATGGTTAGCAGCCCGATCGGAGATAGATGGTGAGACGGGGTACGTACCTGGTTCGCGTTCCTTCGCTTTAAATTGCGGGGGCAGCTTCGAACTGGTGGCGGCCAGGTCGTTTGTTAGGTTGTCCCCTTTCGGCGACCCAACGATGCTGGGGGCGGGTGGTGAGGCGGCCGACTCTCTTATGAATTCCTTCCCGTCGTCGTAGTTATCAAACTCGGGGTCTTCGTTGTCATTTTCCGTTTCCAATTCGTCAGGCTCGAGCCTGCCCTCGTACTGCTCCTTTAGGATCTTTCGTGGCACTGTAAATCATTTCACGACGAGGTGAGACCGCAACGGTTCAAACCCAAAGGACCAACGAGGCCCGGAAAGAAAATTCGCTCCGGACCTCGTAAGGGGAGAACTTTTGTTGGCGCGCTAAATTATTAGAAACCTTGGAACTTACCGCACGTGTATACCACTTTCAAGTACATCCTCGATTCTGGTCTACAGGGATTTCCAAACGTACTAGCGTCAGCCGATAGTTCGCAGCTTCGTTTTCCGTGGCATATTTGCATCACAGTTTCCATAGCGTAACTTACTAAACAAGCTAAAAGAAATCATACAAAACAAAGTTATCTCTTTCAAAATTTATTTAGTTTACTTTCTTCGGCCACTCCTTGCGGCTGGGGACACTGGTAGCTTTCATATTCAGTTCGGCCATAACTGGCGCTGTAAACTGCGACTCTTGAGTGCGGGTTACATTTCAACTGAAGTATTTCGTTTTCACACGCTGTTTTGCTGCGAAATTCATCTAAAAGAACAAAGTCCGCCTATATTGCCAAATAGAAATTCCTATCTTTCCAATTGCATTTTATTTGCCACAATATCTACTGCAAGGTCATAAAAAATAGATAAACAATAAATCAGAATGGAGTTCGCAATTGGATTGTTGCGTCGAACAAATATTTGATTTTTTTAAAATATCTTCTTGTCGACAAAAATATGCCATGGTAAACTATTTTAAATGTTTATATTTATTTTATTCTCGTTGCAGTTCGCGTTTGGTTGATTATTTTATTGTATTCCATAATTTTATTAATCTTTTGTTATACATTGCAAGTATGCAACCAATATCACAGCGCAATACGCATCAATACATCATCTGCGATGTTGGTTGCATACTTGCAATGATGACGTCGGCTGCGATAATTAATTAACATACTATATTTGGGTTATAAAAAAAATAATTATTTAAATTGATATTAGAAGTTTGAAACTTAAGGTAAAATTGTATAAATTATGCAAGACGCTTCCGGGGTACCTGATATTGATTCTGGCGCCCACTTCGCCATGCATTGGAATATTCGTACAATTTTGAAATCACGTCTTGTGTAAAGTGCCCGAACTTAGGAGGTGGATATTTGAATCGCGACGTTAGATTGTTTCGGGAGGATGAAAACAAAAGAACCGAAATAGTGCTGGCGCGTCGTGGCTCCTTGCTGCGAAATTGCTGTCATCACACGCTATATTGAATATCAATGGGGGAGTGGGAAAAAATACGTACATGGTCTGCATTTGTAGGCGATTTCGACGTATTTCTGCATGCCGGGACAAGGGTCGCCCCCAAACGTTTCTGGCGATGTGTCGATTTTGCATTGCCTCTTTTTCTGGCAGGCTTCCACCACGGTCTGTAAGAGCGAGTACTAGGTACTGTCAGTTAGATCAGCTGTTATTTTCCCTCGATTGAAGAAGAAAACAAACGCAACAAGCTACAGTAGGTAGTCGAAAAAGGATTGTTTGAATTTTCGACTACCTAACTGGCAGCGTAAGGCGGAGCGAGACGTTATCAGTGAACGTAAGAGGTGATGTATGGTTCTTGGTGAAAAATCCAAAAATAACTATTTCATGTTGAAATTGGGTCACTTATTCTACGTTAAATAATCGAATGCGAGAGGGTTAAATTTCCGGTGGGAAATCGACTATCACAAGCTATAGACCCCAAGTGGCGGGAAATCCTCTTTGCGTATCATAGTATCAAGTGTAACTTTACGCGTTTTGGTTTCAGGTGTAACACGACGAATTCTGCATCGATACGTAAATTGGTTAGTTATTATGTCCTACCGTTGACAGCAACGATGATCAATACTAATAACCAACTAATGTGCAGCAATAATGACCTACGGGCATCGGATACTAATTCTCAATGTTCATAATGCCGTAGTCTTGCGGTCGAGTTGAATTTGCCCTGGTTTTGTACCTCTAATTATATACCGGATAGATAAAGTATTGCACTTACGTTCACGTGCCATGTATCCATAAATAAAGTGACCACACACAATACGCCAAACAAAATAGATCTAAAGTTTAACCTCTTACGTTTACTGATTACCACCTTGGTTTAAAAGAAGACGAAAAAAGTGCTCGAGTGTGTTTTGTGTGGTGGGTACAAAGTATGAAACTTTTATGATACTTACCACTCGTCGTTATTTGTGTGTGCTGTTAGTATATTAGCAAAAGCTCGGCAAAAGAAACGTTAATAAAGAAATGAGAAAGTCGAAGCCAAGGAAGACATACGACCGTTGCTATCGCTTTGTTAGGTACTTTTTCTCGGTCGCCAGTGGTCGTAATTTCGCGAAGCCCCTCGGTTTTTGAATAAGGGCCCCGGCGACTATGTAACCATAATTGCGTTCCTCGGTCGGTCCAGCGAAAAATTCGCTTTAGGAGCCATGATTTGTTTTGTCCCGCGGATCCTATACCTCTCTTAGGTTATAATACCATACTAAATCTTCGTTGAACGCCCTATTTTCCGCCGGGGATATATACCGCTCACGTTCACGCTACACCCACCCTTTGATAAACTATACTACTCCCAGTTATAACTATTTATTAAATTGATTTACTAACTTCGCTACTTTTCACAATCTCCGGGAAAATTCTTATAAATTGATAATGATTTGTATTTCGCTTAGAGATAATTAAATCTAAATAATTCAAGTCATATTAATAATGACAACTCGCGTCCCACGCAAACACGCACAAATAGGAAATGACTGATTTTCAATTACAGATTTAATTGCACCGGAAGTGTAAAACCGACCCAGTAAACTAAAATACTACAATGCTAATGAAACGTCAGAATTTAATTAATTCAATACAGCTTCCGTAAATTGACTAGCCAACCGTGGACCCACAATTTTGATTTATCTTTTAAAACCCTCATTCAACGAGGGCAGTAATTCAAGTAACTTGAGTATTATTTTGTATACGATAGCCGCGGCCGCAAATAAAAAATGTTGGAGGTTTGTATCAAAATTTCATGCTGACCTGTAGTGCTTTCGGCCACAAGCAGGACCCAGCTGTGCCGTCATCAACCTCCCGACGGCCGCACAATCCATTAGAAGGCGCCGACTTTCCGTACTGCGCTACCTGGATCAGGATGTTGGTCCCTGCGGGACACTTGAGCACCACGATATCATTGTCGCAACCGGCTTTTTGATATGTCTTCAATGTCCCTGATAAAAGAGCTTTGGTTGTAGATGAATTCGAAATACACAGCCACCACCAACGTTAGTTACCAATGATGACATGAAAAGAAAAAGATACCTTTGTTAGTTACGCACTTCAATTATATTTTATGTATCAAAAAAATTGTTTACCTATTTAAAATATAATAGAAGTTTATATGAATAAAGGGAAGGAATTGAATGAAATATGAAGCAGTATGTATAATTAAGCAGTAATTGTATTGATTATTCTCCGAAACACAAAAGAAATTGTTGTGCTTCTCAACATTATGAAATTTGTTTGATGTAATAAAAAAGTGTAAACCACTGGAAACGATTTCATTCGACTGTCGATAAAATTAATTAAAACGAAGTGTGAAAAACAGCGTTTCTTTTCAGATTTAAACGGCTTCAGCATAAAGCACTTCTTATTCAAGATCAGTTTAATTAATCTGAAGAATTTCAATTACAATTTAACCCACCCTAACGCTTTAGGTGTATTTATGCCGAAAGTTTGCAAAGCAATCGTCTCGAGGCGTGCAGCTGATCCGGAATGGTACTTCGATAGTTTTTGCGGATTTCTCGCTTTCAAAATTACGATAAAAAAAAATTCTCTTCTCATTTTTCGTTTCTTAATGGACAGCTCGTCGTTGGGAATCCTCCTAAATCTTTTATGGCAGAGAAGTCCGGTCAACTTGATATTAATTATTTCGAGGATGGTTTATTTAGGGGACTCGAGTGTCAGCCATGAAAGAGTTCTCTCCAAAAACCAACCGGAGATGATATAGAACTCATCAAGAATTTATTCGGCGTCTCTTACATAGACCTGCAAACATCTGCGACATAAAAGCTTTTTCTTCAAGTTTTACGTGCATTTGCAACCTCAAAGCGTATCTTGCCACGTTTAATCGCCTTTATTATAAAACGGACGGTGTCATTATGTTTATTTTCGTTTAATTCGCTCTGCATCACTACAGTTACCGCCACCCTTTTACTGCCTCTAGGGGGTACTAATGTAATAATATAACGACACAACCGCGTCGTCTAATTCCCTGAGTAATTTACGAAAGAGTATTAAGATAATTAATAAAAAAATCTACTCAAGGGTTTGCCTTTTCAACTGTTATTATGAAGAAAAATATATATTATAACCCAACGAAGCCGTTTATTTAAATTTTAATAAATAATAATTGTTAAATTATTAAAGTTTGCTTTGTACATAGTTAGTTCGAGCTGTTGAATTAATTGTGGTTGTATCGAATCTCACTTCAGTTAAGTTAATTTTAGGTTGTTAGTTGTGTCGCAGATTGTTTAGTATTTAACTTGCGCGCTAAGTTTTAATCGTTTGCAATAAACGTTAAATTAAATAGAATTTAAAGTTTTTTATAAAATAAAGTGATTTATCGCCGTGGGACTTAAAATTTGTTATAACCGGGCACTTTACCGCCAAGAAGTAGCGGGTATCAATACCATGCAAAACGAGTTTAGTCGCTTCCCGCGCAAGATGTGTTAATATGTAACGGTTTTGTAGAAAATTATTATTTTAAATGTACAAAGTAGTGTTTGCGTGATGAAAAAACACGAAACGAATAATGGTATTGTCGTTGTTGTTGTGTAGTTAAAGTGTCACACCCCATTTAATGCTATTAATTCATATAACGTGACGGTGGATTAAAAGATGCATTATGGTTCCCCTATTTTGTCGGTGGGGCTTTTAATTCGTAGTCGACCACTCCCAGTTATTTAAAATGCCCGTCGAACGTTCCATTAACGTTTAGACGTCAGGCAACCGCCCCACGATTCGACTGTCCGTCACGAATTTTTATGATAAATTCCAGCCAAACCATTACTATTGATTCGACGTCACGGAGTCGAACTCGCCGGCGAAGAACTTGACTCGCTGGAAGTTGGAGTACGATATTTTGTCGATCGAGTTCCTATTTGAAACACAAATTTTCAGGACGTCCGAATAATGGCGAAACGTGAACAAGTTCCGACGACGGAGTAACCCGGTCCGGTCTTCTATAAATGGGAGGATTAACCACTCCTCCGATTTCCTGGCGTTGTGCGAGAGTTCATTTGTAACTTTAACATGCAGCGACTCCGCAACTGGAGCATACACGGTGACAGATAGCCCGGATTTGAGAGACCATGAGGCGGCGGCTTGCCGCACAGCAAAATGAACTTCCAAAACGAAATTTTCGGACTTCTCCTCGCGGGTCATCCCGCGTCGTTAAGCGTTTTAAATTAAACCTGGAATAAGCGCAAATCCCTATCCTCCCTCATTTCGGATGGACCACAAATTTGACGCCAGCGGTTGGAAAATCACTTTCGCGTGTTTGTTTGCGTAAACGGAGGCGAACCCACAATGTCAACAAAAGATCTAATTCTATTTTGAACAATATCCAAGGGTGTTGTTACCTTTTACCTAAATACCGCGATTATCCGTTAGTTAGACGCTTTTAAGCATTAGAGATGTAAATTAAAATTTAATTTTAATCATGGTAAGATTCCTTCATGTAGGGGTTCGGTAAACGGTGAATGATCGGATGAGGTTAGGGATAGTGACGTCTGAAATAGTAAATTCTCCTTTGCAATGTCCATTAGTGGTCCTTGGGTTGGGTGAGAATTGCATACCTAATCAACAGGACTATGTCGAACAATTAGTGGCCTTATACATAGTAATGAGTGTCGTAAAATCGGTAAAATTGCTTTGACAATTTAGCTGCTGCCGAGTCAATTACACGCCGCTAAATAAATTTGCAGTTTTCAACCATCAGCGCCGTCGGACAATTACACCCTCATAATTACGCAAACCGCGTTCCATTATTGATAAATTAATTTTATTTGCAAATGACGTGTTTGCAAGTTGTAATCCTCTCTGCGGACAATTTAAAAAGTCAGTTTATATCGTTCCTAGGAACGAGTATCATCATTTATACCCTAACTGACTGATACCGTACGATAACGTCGTTACCGCCTCATCAGCAAGTTATCTACGCGACCAATGAGGTTTGAATTTCATCACGGCTCTATCCTGGAAACGCATGACAAGTCGCGGTGAGCACGCAAGTCGCAACATGACAGCGCCGCATAGCTGTACGTATTTCAGTAGCACAAGGGAGGAAACTAAATTATACTTTAACATCATAATATCTATATTACTCTATATTAACCCAAACAAATAATATTAAAAAAATAATGTGTGGTTATATAAAATCAATATACACTTCGGAACAGCACATCAACATAAATGAGCATTTTCGAATAATGAAATTAATGAATAAAGTATTAAATATTAAAATAATTATAAATTACCTCTTCAATTAATCCAGATACAAAACATACTTCATTTGATTATATTGTTTTAATAATATTTAATATTTTTTACCGGTTTCGGGATTGATAATCATCAGGAATTTCATTTACAATATGTATTTATGCATTGTTTATAATTTAAAATCAAATACGTTTTAATTAGTAACTAAACAGTTTTCGCATAGAACGGTTACTTCATTAAGAGGAACTCTAAGAATGTCGTAAGCTCCAACACAAAGGGCAGTCAAAATGTCACTGCAACTATGTAAATTCTCTAAACGCATAGGTCAAACGTTTTAGACGTGGTGTCTTGTTTCAAAGACAACTTTATCGTCATGACGCTGGCAAACTTACCGATTTGAAAATCTATAAAATCTACATGCTTGACGTGACGTCGCCGAACTACGAAGAAGATCAATATGACAAAAGTGTTTTCAGTGAAATTGCACGTCCCGCACAAATATATTTTTATTGCCTTTTGAAATCAATATTATATAAATTTTGTCAAAAGATATATATGAGTAGTAGCTAGGATATATTAAGACAGGATAATTGAACACTTTGGTCACATTTTAGAACGCCGATTTCATAATGTACCTGAAACGGAGACGGCGATTTACTCCCTCTATAAATCCGGTTCAATATGTATTTTAAGGAAATTCTAAGTGCTCCTCGATATCTACCAGGCGACAATTTTCCAGTCTACAATCGTATGTTGAGCGGAAAGTAAACATTATTTCCGCTATAAACTTGGATTTATGAACCAGTACAACGATGTACGAGATGGTATTCGATTTTTCATACTTTTACATTTTTATATCAAGACTATACGAGGATTTTAGTATGCTAGTTTTATTTTGTTTTGGCGCAACAATATTTTATTATTTATTGAAGTATAGGTAAACATGGATAGTTTAAAAGTAAACATTTAGAAAAGATGTAATAGAAGTTGAGAAAGAAAGACAAAGTAAGCAGTTCTAGGGCATGGAAATTATTCAAAAAGTTTGCAGGAGCCATTATTTGTGCTGGCGGGCGGTGGCTATACTATAAAAGACGAGTCCCGCAAACAGGAATTTCGAATTTTCATGTTGCCGATAGCTATTGGAAACAACGTCGGCGAATATTGGTGGTATTTCGGTCTAATTTCAAACTTATCGGTTCGTTCATTTCCGTCCTTAGTGACTTATTAAAGGGGGTACCACGATAAAATGCGGACGCCACGAAGAACTTTAATGGGTTAAAAAACGTTAACGAGTTGACTCTGGACCGGCGGCTCTTCCGACATTAGGCGTTAATTAATCATGACGCACGAGAATCTAGCCGAGAATTACGCTCGAAGGTCGATAAGAAAATGTTTCATCGTCGATTAATTATTTTCGTGGTATTACACATCCGGTTTTTAAGAGATAACTATCATCTCGAGTTGATGTTGAAATCGCGACTTGGTCAAGAGCTACTACCGCTTTTATTGTGGATAAAGTGGAGCAATTCCTTCGAACTAATTGAGATAAAAGGAACCGTTTGAAGGACCAGTTCAAGAATCCTTCGGGCAGTTTTATTTACTGCTCTATCCGTTCGTTTATTTCTAAGTTTCGTTCCAAAAATCTTTGGAACACAGTGCGTAAAATTTCTTTTTACCCCCGCTCTCACTCTAACGAAGATAAATTCGCTCTAAAATGAAAGCAATTTCACGTAAGATATGT